TCACTTTGACGAAGTGTCCAGATGGCAGCTCCACGATAGGGTTACCTGCAATTGTGAGGGTTTGCCCCCGGACAATTTTATGGAATTTGATTGATAATTGAAATATTTTTTGCACCTCTCGAAAGGACACGTGGCGATCTCCTGTGTTCTTGCCATGCGTGAACCATCGCTTGAATGTTTCGATACAAATTGTCGAAAGCGTTACATGCGTTACACATATACATGTCTGTCTATGTGCATGTTCGACTTCGATTTCGATAGTACCTGTGTGACTATTACACACTTCTTGTATTGTGTGTGTATTTTGTGATTCATCTTTTGTGAGTTGGTTTGTTATTGGCCGAAATGGTAGGAGCGTTGGATTTGAGAGCAGATTGAAACCGTCAATTGACATCGACGGTTCACGCCGCTCAAGGGTTCACCTAATGCATTCTCCGACTGCAAAACGTACGCGTATTCCGTGTACATGTGCAGTACTCCATTATCTTGCGAAATGTACAGACTTTATGTGTAAATGCGCCCTTTGCAGCCAAATCTCTCCCTCCTTTCAGTCTGCCCCGCCTCTTATCTTAGTCTGCCCTCTTATCTTCCCTTATCTGCCTATTCCCACTTTTCTCGCCTCTCCGTTCTCCCGGCGTTTGGAGTCCAAAGCAGCCCCTCTGCCCGGGCATAATTCGAATGCTGGCTAATGTCAATGATACTGATAGCTGCACAGCTGGAGGCCAGCTCCAGCTTGCGGTGGAGGCGCTTTTCGCTTCATTTTGGGCACCGATCAGGAAGAATTCAAAATGGCGAATGCAACCTGTACAAACGTTCCTTCTGGCTGCCAACATACAGCATTTGCGCGAGGTGCACGTCAACATCTCACCAATAAATGCTCCACAATACCCACTTGCGTTGGGAGTGGAATGCGGGCGGCTGCCCCCTATGCATTGTTTGTGAGAAGGTGAGCAATTTTTGACACATGCGGAGGCATGCCTGCTGTAAGCTCCATCTGTATCAACGCATGAGAAATGGACCTTCATTCACTTAATTGGCATTAAAATTGCTAACTGCTGTCAAGAATCTGCTAAGCTTTCTGAGCTAATCATTGGTCATCAGAAGACGTCTGCTTGCTGCTGCTCAAGTCTTTCTGGTTTTCGTGATTCCCTTTGCAATTGGGTCGGCAGAAGCAACGCCCCTTGAATAGGGGGGGAAAAACGAAGGAAAGTCCTCACGTAGTTGTGATATGAGGCTGCCAACCATACTGGCTGCCACCACTTTGCTGTGAGCTTAGGCGAATTTCTTCTCAAGCAGTGCGCCACCAGATGAATCTTGCTTCAATGCAGATCTTCTACACAAAGCTTCAAGCCCCATCTCGTATCTCCAAAACCAAGCCAGAAGCGCCAACCGCAGCATCTGACCTTCTGGTGTCAAGCTTCTCAACAAACTGGAGACTCTGGGGATGTTACAAACTCGGAAAAGGCCCTGGAGAGGCAGCCGGAGATCAAGTCTGTTGAAAAAGGCCAAGGCCCGCCGCCGCTAACCATTGTTGCAGGTGTTGTTGTTGTTGTTGGGGTAGTGACCATTTTGATCTCAGTGGTGAAGTTTCTCTTGAACACAATCTCATCGCTCATATCTTAACATCAGGATCTGAATATGCGCACTGACTTGCAATGCGCCCCTTGAACCCCTGAGGGAGTCCATTTTAGACCCATGAAGGCCTTCTGAGTATGACGTGATTAAGTCAAGTATTGCATCCTGCAAGATCTCTTTGTTCTACTTGCCCCAGATATGCTCAGCTTGGCGTACAAGTGCAAGAGATAACTTGGGTCGCCTGCCATGGCGGCAGTCTATCGCTGGCTAGCTCGCTCCGAGACATGTCCAGACGGTCAGCCATGGCCATACTATCATGTTCCATTGTAGGAATTTGACTGCATGGCTCAGTATGTCGCATGCACGTTCTTGTACATGATCAATGAGGGCTGCCGCTATTGTTGACAAACTTTACTAACGTTGCCGGCATGTGCGGCAGTGCATGGACGCAGTCGTCTAAAGCCACATGCATTCCTATATACCTAGATCTATACGGCCCTAGAGCATGCTTAGCCTAGAAGCACATGAATTTTCTTTTCAATCAACATGGCGTCTCAAGAATATGTGGTCAACACGATGCAGAAGACATTATGAGCTCGAATTAGAGATTGCAGCTTAAGCAGACTGGATATCCAGATTCAATCACCAGAAGCGTTGTCTTGAAGCAGTTATAGCTAGCTTCGAGTGCACGAGCAATAGGCATGTGACTGCCATGTGACCTCTGGACCTTCATCGTACATGCAGGAAAGCATCATGGGCAGACCATGATCGTAGGAAGAGCAGATGCACTAGTGATTATCCAAATAAAAAGACACGCCGGACCCGATTTGCGATGCAACCATGGAGACAAACCAGCATCGTGGCCCCTTTGATCAGGGAAGGTGTTACAGAAGAATGCGAATGCCCTGGCAGTGTGTAAGACAATTTTTTGAGTAGAGTGCTAATTCTATTGCACTAGAAGTCGTCATCAGTATTGTCGGGCCCCATATCTTGGTCATAGTTTTCGTCCTCCACCTGCTCATCTTCCTCGCCAAAGTTTCGCGTCCTCCAACCATCCGTATCCGTCCCCCTCCGGCAGTTGTCGCAGGGGCTCCGGCCGTCGCGACACCTGGTCGGGTCAAAGGCCTCGCCGAAGTACTCGAGCAGCATCTCTCTCCGACATCTCTTCTGCAGACGCATGGATACCAAGATAAGAGTCTTGGCCTCGTTCTATGCGACGAGGTTTCGGGACTTGCGACGTAATCCAAGGAGAAAGGATTGTTAGGTGGGACAAACTATCATTGCGAGACTGGACCGAAAATCCGAAAAGTGTGCTTCTTTATGAAGTCAGAAGCAGTTTGACGAACATGACGTCCCCGCATGCGCCCTTCCCTACTTCCTACTTAATCTCTCGCGAGTGACCTCAACGCCAAAACCGATCCCCTCTCCTTCAATACGGCCCTTCTCTCGTCCGCCATGCTGATAAAGCTCCGCTTTTCTCTAAACAAGAAGCAAGGTCCAGTCGCTGATCGCCCCCACAAATGGTACCTTTTCATCACCTGTTCCGTGCAGTACTCCTTCATTTTCTTGGCCTGCTCCATCCCGTACTTGAAGCGCGCGGCGCGCGCGCCCCGGCTGACGCGCAGCATGCAGATCACCCGGGAGTAGTCGGTTGGCGTGTAGAACAGTATGCAGGCCGACGGGAGATCGTCCCGGCCCGCACGCCCCGACTCCTGGTAGTACCCCTCGATGGCCTTGGAGAGCGTGTTGTGGATGACAAAGCGCTGCGGGGGAGGCGACACGTGTCAGAGCTTCCGTGTTGATCCGATGCACCTTGCCCTCATGCGGTCTCGTCCCGACTATTTTGTTTCCGCCAGCCTCATCCATGAGGTTGACTGCAAAAATGTCTGCGCCGGATGTGCCTCAGCTCGAAAACAGATGCACGGAATCCAGATTCCGAAGGTCCCAAGACGTTAGTGACGATCGCTCGACTAAGATTTTGGCGCGTCCAATGTCAATCGCAGGGCATGTATCGGACTTTCGTGTTGACCAACACATGGTACAATCTTCGGTCGTGATCAGAACCCATTGATTACAGTAGCAATCTCATATGTCTGAAAGAAAGAACAAAACTCGAGCGGATCAGCACTGTACTCTGCTTCGCTGTTGGATAACTCTTGGTCTTGTATTGCGAGCAGAAGGTTAAGGTCAAACGCTGGTGATAAGTTCAAAAGTATCACGATATGTCAGTTCACAATGACTCACCACGTCCGGCTTGTCGATACCCATGCCGAAAGCAATGGTCGCGCAGACGATATGCACCTTGCCCGCCTGCCACCGCCTCTGCACGTCGACCCGCTTGGCGGGGGGGAGCCCCGCATGATAGTAGTCCACCTTCAGCTGGTGCTGACCCCGCAAGTACTTGCACACGTCGACGCACTCGTTCTGGAGGGAGGCGAGAGAAACGGGGTTTCAGGATGAGAACACGCTCACAGAAGACTGCTCAATCAGGATCGGTCGGAGAATGATGTCGGTACTGCTTTTACAAAATCAAGCAGAACGTAGAAGAAAGAAGAATAAGCTAAGGAACATGCACATATACCCTCACCGAAACCAGCTTCTCAAGAACCGTTCACGTCTCACCATTCTTATAACCTGGACGTTTCCAAAGTTGTAACGCTCTACGGGTGAAAGCTATGCTGTTGTCCCAATTTGCTGAGGCCGTAGAATGATGCCAGACTGCCCTCAGAAGCGCGCCGCGGTCGGCCCTTTTTATCGCCGAGATCCTCAACACCTAAGAAATTCTTAAATCCATACCTTCTAACCAGAAAAGCCGACTTGAAAGATCCCCCACCTTGCTGAGGCAGTAGATGATGCCGGACTGCTCCCGGAAGCGCGCTTCGATGAGCTCCCCCAGCTGCTTCGGGTGCTCCTTCTTGACCTTGACCACCACCTCGTACGTCAGGTTGGGCCGGTCGAAGCCCACCTCGAACGCGCGACTGTCGGGGATGCCCAAAATCTGGAGCACGTCCTGCAGTGTAACAAAGAGTTTCGGTTGGTCTCCTGGAGATAGCGGAAGTAAGAGAAGGATAGAAAGGGGCAAACTCCTTGCCTGACAACAACCTTCAGTTTGTCCTGCGGCCCGCAAGAGGATATTGTGCAACTTCGCTTAAAAACGGTTTTTAAGAAAGACTTGCAGCGCACAGAGTTGGCAATTAGAATGGGATGAAAACACAGCTTTTGCTTGAATACGCGCGACAACTGAGTAGATGGTGAAGGGCCGCTTGGATAGTTATTCTATTCTCTGCTGGCGCAACCTGTTTCTATATCTTGTATGGAAAGTAACATCAGGTGGCGTGGGGCATGAACGCGGATGTTGGAACCACCGTCCTGGCAATCGACATTCTCGAGACCTGACAAGTGTCCGGCAAACTCACCTTTCGAACGTCCGGCGTGGCAGTGGCTGTGAGCGCCATGAGCGGAACCGACGGAAAGTTGGCCCGCAACCGGGCGAGCTCCTTATAATCCGGACGAAAGTCGTGGCCCCACTGGCTGCAAACGAGGAACGAAAGTTCAAAGACTGTCACGAGAGGCATTTCGAAGCATACCCTCTTGATTGTTTGTTTGAAATCCTAGTCAATATCCATTGCCAACCTTAACCCTGCGATGCTGAATACCCGCTCAAAAGCTTGGCAGGACAACCATCGCCTCACATTCTCCGTCGCAGAAGATGTTGTATCTGGAAACACTCAAAGGGATCCAATCGTAACTTTTCAGAAGGTTACAATTCCACAGCAAAACCCAAGGCCCCTATCCGGTTACCAAAACCCAAGACAAAACTCGTACACGAATCTCTGGGATGAAAGTCCAGCCGCCCACCTGACGCAGTGCGCCTCGTCAATCACGAACCGCGCCAGCTGTCCGTTCCCGTGCAGTTGCCGCAGAACGTCCTGAAACGCGCCACTCCCGCACACCTTCTCCGGCGTTACGTACAGCAGTTTCATGCTGGGCCGCCTTTTCCGCAGCTCCGCGATTACGGCGCTCCCCTGGATCGCGCTTTGCTGCGAGCTGAGGTACGTCGCGGGGATCCCCCTGCCTTCAACTAGAGCGAGGACTTGGTCCTGGATGAGGGACAGCAGGGGGGAGACGACGATCGTGACGCCCGGGGTGAGGATGGCGGGCATCTGCAAGGCCGGAGAAACGGGCCGCGCTCTGCTGTTGTTCTGACGGTCAGATCTAAATGCGCGCTCGGTGTCACCTTTCAAATATGGTTTTCTTCCCGCCCACGGAAGTGATCACCTTGGGAGTCTAGGATCGACTTTGCCAACGTGTGAGGTGAGTACGAGTTGAGCTTTTTGGGGCCTAACCCTCGGCTGACGGAACTTGCGGTCCTTGACGTAAGCCAACAAAGCCCGTCTATTATTTGGAAAAGTTGTGCTCTGGGTGAACTGCTGCCTTTAATTCCATCAGCCGTGTTGCTTTGAACGGCGACAATGCTTCTTTAACCTAGCACCTTCTGATCGAGGAATTTGAGTGACGAGGATGCCGAGTATTACAGCAAGTACTCAGCAGACTCGCCGCATACCTGATAACACAGACTCTTGCCCCCGCCCGTCGGCATCAGTACAAAGCAGTCCTCTCCCGCCACCGCCGCCCGGATGACCTGCTTCTGGACCGTCCGAAATGCCACGTGTCCGAAAACGGCCTTGGCCGCGGTGTCCAATTCGTCGAGGCCCTGTAAGTCGTCTAGCGTCACCCTCAAGTAGCCCGTTTTGGCTGGTACGGGAGCGGCGGCCGGTGCGGCGGGGCCTGCGGGGGCCCTCATAAAGAAGCTGGCGATGTGGGGCTCCTGGGCGGTTTGGAGCTCGATGGGCGGCTGGAGAACGAGAGGGGGGAGACCTTTTTAGTCTTGTCATACATGACCAGATCTTCACTTTCAAGATTCGAGCAAAAAGTTGCTTGCTGATTATAGTCGGAAGGGCTTGGTGCAAAAGAAAAGCTGCAGAGGCAGTCTAAGGACGTATCCCGCATATGTTGGATCCGATCGTGTCAGCAGGGGCATCCGAGAAGTTTGAATGAACGAGAACAAGCGGGCGGATCTGAAAAGTGGCTCCAGGAAGGGCCTTATCTTTCTACGAAGTCGGACAGTTGTCCGGTGATACCCATGTAGGAACCCACCTTCTTGGGCGCTGCCGCTTTTGCTTTCTTTGCTTTCTTGGGCGGAGGCATCTCCTTGATGACGTCAGCAGCCGACCGGAACCCACTTGCTCCGCTCCCAATGTCCCCCTTCCCCCGACCTCCCGCCTTTTGGCCCCTCTTTACAGGTGGTCTATCAATAATGACGACATCATCATCCCCGTCAGGTTCCGACTCGCTGTCGGACCCGCCCCCAGAACCATCCCCCCCACGGAAAATGCTCGCGAGTATCTTGCCCCCTTTGGCACCTCGTTGAGCTGCAAGACTCTCTAGGGCCGCCCGCCGCTCGTCCTTCTTTTCTTTTCCGGGGGGGTCTTTCCTCACCCAGTACATGCCCCCCGCTAGCTCTGGGCGCGGACTCGTAGCCCCAACAACTACCCGGGGCTGCATATCCCGTCCGCTCGTGCTGACTTGCCTCCCCGTCCGTTTTCGAGCATCTGCTTCTGAAATTTCAGTAATACTGTCCGATGCAGGGTGGTTCGCTTCTGCTGTCCTGTTTGAGGGTAAGTTCTTTGGTCCTTGTTGTCTTGAGGCATCAGTGATGACATCATCGCCGAGGTCAACGGTTGCTGCCTTACTCAACGGCGCGCTCTTCTCCCTAGCTTTGGGGCCTCTTGGCCCACTGTCATTCTCGAGAGCTGCTTGATCCAGCTTCGTTGGCTTTCTCGCAGGCTTGGAGGCTTGGAGCTTGACAAAAAGCGGCTCATCCTGGGGGATAGGGGAGCAGGAGATATGTGATAGGAAATGAGGAGATGGCACATACGAAACAGGAAAACGACCTACGATGTAGGATCGCGCTTCAAACTATTTTCGTCGTCGCGAACTGTGAACACCCTGGTGATGCTTCAACGACCAGAAGCTTCCATCAGCAAACATGGGTTTGTTTGGGACAACATAATGTGGAATGGTGACGCTCAACGTCCCTCCTGTTCCAGTCAGCTCTCCTCTTCTCCCTTCCAGGCCGACAAAGGGAAGCCGAACGTGCTGACCCCCAACATCAGACTCGGCCACATCACAAACAGAACTTACCTCAAACGCATCAGCCTGAGGCCCTTCCTCTCCCTGCAGCCCCCACTCTGGATCCACCTCTGTATCCCAGTCCTCATTGCTTGAAGCCAGCCGGGACAGAAAATCCTCGCCGCAGTTCTCGACGGTCACAAAGGCGGCTCCATCGGCACCTGTCCAGAATAGCAAAGGTGCTTTATGAGTCCTGCCTGCATGTTCAGTGCATTGCAGGATACAACTAGGAGTTACGACAAGCGTTCAGGGGTTCTTTGGGGGCTTTTTGGGGGCATTGAGCAGCAAAGCTGGACAGGGCCGTCCCTCGAAAACGAATAGCCTTCCAGCTTTTCTTCATATCTCCTGAAAGTGGGCCAGGAGCTTCTTGGTTGAAGGTTGAACTTTTCATTGGCTAGACTTCTACAACAAATTCCGTTTTTCCTCTCAACGTCATGGTTCTTCTGCCCGAAAGTCTTGACACACCCGTCTTAAGAAGGAGCATTTTGTCTACTTTCAGTCAGTGTCCAAGCTTTTTGTGCAGGAGATACATGAGATTGGGCAGGTGAGCTGACGTGCTTAGTAGCAAACAACCAGAATGCAAAGCCGCTGCCAAACCTTTGCATAAGCAGCTCGTATCGTGCTACCACCACGAGCAGGTTCTCCGACATCAAACCGGTTTAAGAAAACTTTTTATGCCCGCTTTCTTCCGAAACTTATTCTGAAGTCCGAGGTAGTTTATCAAGTTAGCTGAAGGTCAATCTATCTATGCACCCTTGCAGAAATTCCTTGAGTAGTAGTGGCACACAATTGTAGACTGGTTACGTGTGCAGAACTTTGAAGGACATCTTCCACCACCGAAACCCTCACCATATGTTGCATAGAGCTCGTCCAAACATCGGCTGGCGTGCTTCCGGTCAAACCCCCACTCCCTGGCCAATTGGAGGAGGTTTTCCTTTTCATCGGCCTTCGCTCTGGAACCCACTGCTGGGTTTGCTTTCTTCGGCATTCTCTTTGCGGAGCCTGTTTCCTTGGAATCCCAGCCGGGTTGAATGCCGCCGTACCTGATCAGAATACCTCTCTGGTACTCAACTCTTCACAATCAAATGGAGAGCGAACAAGAGCAGCTCCAAGTTCAGGAGCATTTCCTGATCCTGCAGCCTTCTAGATACAAACTTGTGGACAGCTTTTCAATGATGAAAGCCCAGGTGGGGCTCCTTTGTCCTAGAGGCTAGTAGTAGAACTACCGACGGTCCATGGAGATCTGGCAAAACAATGCTCACTGGCATTGCTAAATCCTGAACAGATGCCAAGTGCTGTTGAATGGCTCCCAAATGCTGGCGGGAAAGTTTGAAAGTGCGTCATCAACCTGCTTCGTATGGTGCTTCAATTGGTTCTCACATCGTAATGACATCAGCATCCAAGAAAGCATCAGAGCGCAATTATCGGGCGCGATTGATCCCCCGGGCAGTTTCAACGGTTCAGTTTTACCCCCGATGTCCTGCAACAGCGCTCGGCCAGCAGCAAACCCTAATTTTGAGCTCGCTGTTCATGCATAACGATATGGGCTACTACTACTACTACTAGTAGTATAGTGTTCTGTGATATCGCCTCCAAAGCTCCACCATGGGCTTGTAGAATGGAGGCCGAGCTTGGAGCTCATCAGTTGACGGTCCAATGAAGAAACATGCGAAAATCTGGCTCCCATGACGTCCAAAATGGGCCTTTTGTCTTTTGATCCACCGGAGCTCGTCTTCCAAGACGTCCTCCTGAATCAGGTACATTGACCTAGCTGCCATCAAGATCTCATTACCAATCTCTGCTAGCTCTGGCTGCTTTGGTGCCCATTTACAGACTGCCTTTGATTTGTTCTCATTTGGCCCACGTCTATTTGATCACTCCTTTCTTTTGGTGTTCTCAGGCATACACTCAGGAATTGGTGGTGACAAACCACTTGGCAATCGCCGTCACCATATCCATCCGGCCAGGCAGCTCCGAGCGCTTTTCGGTGAGTATTATCGTTGGTCCAGACAAAAACCTGCTCCCTTTCTTGCAGCCCACAGTCTCTTGCATGTTGTGCTTCTTCTGCTTTTCTGTAATCCCAGCTCAGTAGGGGCTTCTCCTCTTTGGTGTTTACCTTTTCTACGTTGGCACTGTGAAGGGGCAGAGTTGCAATGCATGTCCAGACATAAGCCCAGATGTTCACTTTTTCCCAATTAACACTGCCAGGTGGCCCCCCCCTCCCTCACTCTTGCGGCAGGCGCCAGTGCGTCTCTGGCGGTCACTCTCAAAGTACTCAAGTTTGCTGACCGCAGAAAAGCAGAGACCGTGGGCCAGAGAGGTGAGTTTTAGCCCAGCTGTCTAACAAAGTACCCGTCACTTGCTCTCAGGTACAAGCATCAAGGCCCTGTTTGGGACCATGAGAGCTACAATGCACAGTATAAGTTCATGCTCTAAATGTGTGGTGCAAGAAGTCGACGGTGGTCGATGCTCAGGAAAAGAATGTTGTAAAAGATTATTCGCTATGGTGTTGGGATCAGGACAACGGCTGACGGATTGTCACTGGTGGCACCATGCCAAAACCCTGCTCGCATCCTGCAGATATCTTCCATGTCAAGTCGTCTTTCTCCGAGCACAAGTTCTACTCCACCTTCTTCCTTGCGCCCCCCGCGCCCCCTCCTTACCCCCCTTCTCAGTACGGGGGCCTTCTCTCCCCCCCTCACGAACGGCGCCCTCGCTCCGTGACGCCCCCCTGGGGGGGAACCCAAACAAACCGCCACCGGCGCGAGGGGCTGCAAGTGCCCCACTCTGATGCCCCCCAGGAAGAGCGGAGGACGAGTTTCGAGCAGACGCGGCATCCATCGCCCGGGGGCACTTCAAGGAGGCTGGCAAACGAGGGGCGGGGAGACGAAAACCCGAGAGCGTTTTCTGCAACAGGCTCGCACCGGTTGGGGCCTATGCCGGGAAGTGGGCGTGCGCTGTCCCCTGCTCGTGAGCATGGCATTACGGTTTCACAACGAGAACGTTCTCTGGGGGGCCTGGACTCGCCCCCCTCTTCGTGCTCCCCCCCACGCGCGAGAGCCCCACCAAGCATTCCCAGTAGTCCGAGACAGCGGGGCATGCAGGAACAGAACGGGCTACCACATTCTGGTAAGGAGACGGGGGCCGAAGCCCAAGACAGCAGGAACACGGCAGAGGCGTTGCTCCAGGAAAAGGAGGAGATCATAGTGGCGCTCAAGTCGCAACTCGAGGTCCGCACAGCACGAGTGCTGGCGCCGCGCGGGGGCCGCGGGGATCCCCCTCCGGTGGAGGAACTGTTGGAGCGGGTCGGGGAGGCAGAGGGCGCCAATGATGAGCTGAGAGCGAGACTGCGGGAAGTGACCGCTGAGCTGGCGGGGGTGAAGGAAGAGCGGACGACGCTGCTGCAGTTGCAGGAGATGCTCGAGGCGGCCACGCCAGACGCGACGACGCTTGCCGAGGCGGCGCGCGTGCGCGAGCGGGCGCATGCAGCGAGCAGGGAAGAAAAGGTGAGCACCACTAATGGGCGAGGGTTTTTTGTGACTTTTCGGTTCTATGGAAGCCCAATAGAATAGGTATTGTCCAAACCCAGGTTCCGGATCGATCAGGTGTATGAGCGTGTCCCGCTGTGGTTAACTAATAGCACCTTGATCAGTGGGACTTTCCTTAGATGCTCGCATTCAGAGACATCCTCCAAATGGGATGCAGCTTCCGCCTCTAGAGTAACTTGCGATGACTGGTTCTCAAAAGATTCGGCGGGTGAGAGAGAGATTCGAGCCTTATTCGCCAACTCTGGTCAAGAACTCCCCCCACCCTCGACCAGATGCTGGCACTCCTCGCTGCCAAGGACGCCGCCCAAGCGTCGCTCGAACGCGACATGGAGGCTGCAGGCTCCGCTCTAGAGGGGATGCGCAACTCTTTGGAAGCGATGGGGGCGCAACTAGAGGCGAGCGAGGCGCACGTCGTGGAACTGCTGGAGGGGCGCCAGGGGGTGCGCGAAAGCGCGCTCTCTCAGGCGCAGGAAATGCAGCGCGTGCTGGACGAAGCGAGGGAAGAACGGGATGCGGCGGAGAAGCGGGCGCACGCGGCGGAGAACGACAGGGCTGCGTTGCAGGTGAGCCGGAAGAAAGGGGAAGATGGTGGTGGGCGGTTGGAAATTGCAGGTCGGGAAGAAATGGGTGCGAAAAGCTCCTGTAAGAAAAGCGCATGGGCAAAGCTCCCGGTTGGTTGTCACTATTTATGAGGCCAAGACTTCGTACGTGAGGTACATTATGTTCAAGCGATGCATGTGCACCTTGAACAGATTGCACGCTTTGGACTTGACCGTTCATACCTCAAACCATGAGCGTCAAGCGATGTTTACGAGTGGCCCTTGAATCGAGTCTTTGAGAAGCGTGTTTCGCTTTCCCGGTTATGCCACAAACCTTGTGCTGGCCGTGAAAATGCTTTGAAACGGGGGACGCCATGCTGTCTCCTGGGCTGCCTTCCAAGCCTCGTGCGCGGGCAGAGAGCAAACTCCGTCATGCTGACGCATGCAGGCCCGGCTGGAGGAGCAAGAGGCTCGGCTGGACGATCTGAGCCAGGCGAACGAGGCGCTGACGGCCCAGCTGCAGGCGGCGCGCCAGGCGGAGCAACAAGCGCACCGCGCGACGGCTCGCATCTCCGAGGTGCGCTGATGCTGTCCGCTTGGTTGTTTGTCTGACATATTCGCCTGGCCAAAAGGGTTTGGCGCTCATCTCGTTCTGGACGATGCGCACCGTTTGCATGGTTGGCACGGTCGTAAGTCTAAGACACAAACGGGTTAATTTGTGCATGTCAGGCGTCCTGGCCTTTCCGTACGGTCCTACGAAGGGCTAGAGGGCCCCCGTCAGCCAGTGTTTTAGTATTTGGAGGCTCGTGGCGTCCCTGGTCAATGCGCACAGATTCCCGAGCGAATCGAGTTTGCAATGTTTGTGGTTCTTCTCCTACTCTCATCGACTGCAAGGCTCCTGATTTTCCTCGTTCCGCGACTTGATTCTGTCTTTGATTTTCTAAGTTGACGGATATGGGATCCCACGATCATAAATCTTCTGCGTGCTGACTATCGCCCTCGTATGCGATTGCAGCAGGAGGCAGCAGCGAGCGTATCAGAGCCTGCCAGCTGGCGGCGCGCGCTTGCGGAGGCGGAGGCTGCCCTGAGCGCGAAAGACGACCTGGTGCAGCAGCTAGAGGAGATGGTGAGGGCAAGCATACGACGACCTTTCGGAGCATCTTATACTCACTCTTGTTTTCCAGCGCGTTTTTGATGTCGCGTTTCTTTGTAAGGTCGTTCGCTTGATTGAATGATCGTCTCTGAGGCATTCGGACACGCATGCTTTAAAATATTTTGGTCCTGGTTACTAAAGCCTGCGAAAGGTCTTGCGCACCTTGCGAACATCTGCGTTTGATTCAGGACGGACGGCACACTACACTGGTGCCGGGACGTGACTGATTAGGCAGACGTGATACAGTAGGACCTGATTCCGGTTCCGGAATGTAGACGGTATAGACCAGTTCATTTGTCCCACTCAGAGACGGTCAGCCGATCCCAATGAAACGTGCGGCAACCAAGCTCGGAGTAGCTGCGTTCACATGTCCGACTGTCTCCGACATGAGAAACCTTGGCTTCATACTTGTCACTATTTGTACTAACAGCATTTGTTGATTGTTATCTGCAGCTGAGCCAACAAATGGATCGCATCCAGACCCTCACAGCCCAACTGCACGCTGCGCCACGACCCACTTTTGCACCCCCCGGCAACACCTTCCCAGAAATATCGCCCACAGAACCCCGTGCCTCAGACGCCGCCGACTTGCCCCCCGAGCCGCGAAGCGCCCGGCCGAACGGCCCTCAATTCGCCGTGGGGGGTACAGAAGAACCCCCAATCTCCCCCCGGGGACGAACTAGTTACGGCACGCTCATGAGCCGGGGGGGTTTGGGTACTAGAAAGAGCCCCCAACGGGCGCCTGTGCGGGCACCCTCCGAAGTCGAGGATAACGGGACGCGAACTAGAGGCGGGAAGAGCGGGTTGCGGAAGGGAGAAGCGGCAGAGGGTTTGGTAGCGCGGGCGGAGGCGGCGGAGCGGGCGGCGCGGGAGTTGGAGGCGAAGGTGGAGCAACTGCAGGAGAGGCTGCAACTAGAGCGGACGGAAGGGGGGCGGCGGATGGATGGGGACCAAGCTCTGGCCAAAAACGCTCTGCTTCAGGTAGAGGTGAGCGTTCCTACACAATTCCTTCACGGAGGCCTTTGGTTTTGTCTGCCTGTAAAGATTCTGTTTGCTCGTCTTTTGAGTTCCTCCAGGGCTTCGCCGTTTGCATGAGTGAGTTTTGCAACGGTCCTGGTACCGTCAGCTGGAGGGTCTGGTGACAGGAAACTAGCAACTCTGGACTACAGGACACATCTTTGTTCTGCCATGGTCAAATATAATGAGGACGACAGGAGCAGCAACTGACACTCCATGTCAGAGGGGGCGATGATCTACACATTACCCATCTGTCGAGACTGGGGACGCCTTTGAGGCTCCAGTACCTTCTCAGCTGTAACTGCATCTCCGCATTTCTGACACGTTGCGAACAAAAGCCCCGGATACGCACGTCCTGGTCACTTAAGCCGACACGAGTCTGCCCGTCCCTCTTTCAGCGCAAGATGCTCGAGCTGTGGATGTCGATCAGCTCGGCTCGAGGAAGCATGTCTGGGCTCCCGGGGTTGCTGTTGGATTGCGCTACCTGGCAGGTTCTCCCCATGGATGAAAACTGTGTCAATGTGGCCCCGATCATCCCGGTGCTCATTTTGAATATGAGGAGTTACAGCCACTCCGTTGCAGGAAACATGACGTCCGAATAACCAAAACTAAGTAGGGGGAAGTTTTTTGATACCGTTGCAGAAGACGTTTGGAATAACTGACTTGTCAACCTTGGACTGGGCACTAACAAGAAATGCTTCGAAAGGACCCCGATCTCAAGCAGTTAGCGTCTTCCTAGCTCCAGCGGAGGATTCAATCTTTGAGAAGCACAACCGTTTAGTCAGTGGTCTCGGTCAATCTGGTACACCTATACTTGGGTTTGGCGCCACCTTCGAGAACTCTGTCTGATAGCAAGGAGAATAACCTCAAATTGCGTCGCTTGCTGCAGGTGGATCGGCTGCGCATTCAGCTGACGGACCTGGAGCGCGAGCTGGCGGCCGCGACGGCGGGCGTGGCGCAGCGCGAGCGCAAGTGGCTGGACCACAAGGAGGCGGCCGCGCGGCGCGCGCTCGCGGCCGCGGCGGCGCATGCGGCGGAAGTGGGGAGCGCCACGCGCAGGGCCGCAGAAGCAGAGGTGAGCGGGCAGCCTGTTTTGAGGGAAGAGAGTTTTCCTCAAGTGCGCTCTGGACCATGGCAGATCTGAGCGGGCTGTGTGACACTTTGACCCGGCGCAAACATTTGACAAGCTTGATGGATAATGTGACACGCAAGCCGTCAGGCAATATTGCCCCAGACGCATACCGACTGTTCTGGAACGCGTCGGTTGCCACAATTTTCTTCTTCTGCCCCAGCAGTAGCGACGTGCGAACTGTTCTGACATAAGACGGAGGAGTGGCGTGGACCAGATTTTGCATAGTGGCTCCAGCCTCTCTGTTTGGACACGCAACATACACTCCTTCAACAGGTCCATTTTGCATTTGAGTTCTGGAGCCTTCCACTGAGTGATTGCCCCCCGCTCCCTTCTGTAAGCGCAGATCATCTCTCACTTGTTGCCGGTCGACGCAAGCACTTACTTCTCCGTTCCTTTCTGCAGCGGAAGGCGGCCGTGGCCGGAATGGAGGCGCGGCAGCTGGGCGAGGAGCTGCAGGCCGCGAGAGCGGAGACGGAGAGGGCACGTGCCGCAGCGGAGACCGGCAAGGGGGCCGCGGAGAAGCGGGTGGCGGCCAAAGAGGACGCAGTGCGGAAGCTCCAGGAAGAGGCACTGGTGAGACATTCTCATTGGCGTGAGCGCGAATTCTGGAAAATGACTGCGGTTGGGTCCTGAAACATGTAGGTGCCACTGAAACAAAAAGTATCATTTAACTGCTTATAAGAGGGATGACTAAAGAACGTCGTACGGATCTGGAGGCTGTGAGCTGGTTGTCGGTGCCTTTGACGAACTTTTGAAACGACGCCTCAAGGAAGGTAAAGTAGTCCGGACTCTGTGCACGGACGAATGACTGCCGTAAAGCCAGCACTCCAATGACGATTACCTTCTGGCTTGTCTTAAAGGTCCAGAGGCATTCTACCTATTACGTCATACAAGCTGCTGTAAAGGTTCTGCTGAATTTGCGTGTCGAAAAGCTCAACAGGCGCCTGCTGACCGCAATTACTGCTCGCACGTGCAGGCCCTGCGGCGGGCAGCGGAGCAGGCGGCTTCGGTGGCCGACGAGAAGGGTCTCCAGGTGACGGTGCTCATGGAGACGGTGGAAACGCTGCACAGCGGAAGTGAGGCGGAACGGGAGCAGCGCCTCGTTACGTTGACCGCGCAGCTCGCGGGGGCCAAGGCCATCCAGGCGGCGCTTGAGAGGAGGGCTACTTTGCTGCAGGTATGCGCGACTTCTTTCTTTCCCTCTTTCCTTTTGCTTTGTTGTTCAGATCACGAGAACGCGCGTTTGTGGGGTTCCGCAAACACTGTAACCCCTAGCTGTTAAGGAAGTGTTCCATTGGTGCTCGCTTTACAGAATAGTTCCAGTCGCTTCGGTGACATGGCACACAAACAGTTAGACGTGAATGCGAAACTGGTGTCTTATGGATCACCTGGAAGCTCAGCAGATTCATGCACCGGGTAGAACCAGGTTCCAAATTCGAGCCGACCTGTCGGCAAGCCTGCTTTTCGCTGCACGACTGACCGGATTCGGTTCCATACCTCTAAGAATCTCGGGTCGAGGATCTCGTTATGAATATTGACGTAATCACTTTAGGTAAGCCTGCTTAACGCTACACTATTTACGTCTTCTCTCTTCCATTTCTCGAAGACTCCCTCGGGCGAGGAAATTGTTACGAATGTCGACGTGAAAACTCTCCTGGGCTCAGGACGAAGCTCGCCACGCGGGCCAAGTCGGCGCCGCCACGGCCGCGGAACTTGAGCGGGTGCGCGCGCGGTTGAAGCAGCGCGAGCAGCGCCTGGCGCAGAGCGCGGGCGCGCACGAGGTTCTTCGGCGGGAAGCGGCCGTTTTGAAAGCGGACCTGCGCGATCGGGACGCGCATTCAGCGGGGCTGGCGCGAGAGGTGGACAGGTTGAAGGAGGCGCTGGGCGCCAAGACGGAGGAGGCGGAGAGTCGCGGGGCGGCAATGGAGCAGCAGGGGAAGAGGCTACTGGCGCAGCTGCAGCGGTGAGTTGCCCAGGAGGCTTAGGCCGGGTTTGCAGTTTGGTGGGCGGATGTTCAACATCAAGGTCTTAACTAGACTAGACGTCTTCCAAATGCTTGCGGTTAATTCAGGGGCCCGGTTGTCAACTCAAGCCCTTGCAACAACTTCTGAGTAGAATGAGATTGCTAAACGCGTTGCGATCATCAGCTTCGCTTTGATCAAGTGCGAGACCACTGGCCAGCTCTGGTGATACCGCACCCTTAGCAAGAGGGCTAAATCAGTGCTCGCGTTGCTTCCAGCCTCGTGCAAATACTCTGAGTTAACTTTTCTTGACTTCTTGCGATTTTCCCCCACACTTTTGCTTGACAATCCGTCCCTTGAAATGCAGAGAACGTACAGAGGCAGCCGCGCAAGACCAATCCCTCCGCGAGGAACTGTCGGCCGTGTCTTTCCCGCAAGCTACAGAAGTGGGTCTCCCGCCGCCCATCGCTGCGCGCCTCCAAGAAGCGCTGGACAAAACCGTCGGCGCAGACTGGCAGGCGGTGGTTATCTCCCGGTTAACCAGTCTGGTTATGGATAGTGAACGTCAGTTAAGCCGCGCCCAAGCGGAGGGGCGGATGAAGGGCGGAGAGGCCGCGCGGTTGCGGGAACACGTGGCAGCGCTAGAGAGCGCGCTGGAGCGGAAGATCGGCGAGTGGGAGGTTTCGGAGGGGCGGCTTGCGGTGGCGCAGGTGCGGCGAGAGCAGCGGAAAAGCGACGACGCGGGATGGGCCGAGGCACGTGTGGAGTTACTCACGGGGCGCGTGGAGAGTCTGGGGGCGCAACTAGAGAGGGCGCAAAAGGAGTTGGTGGCCGTGAGGGTGGAGTTGGCGGGGGCGGTACAAGAGGGCGCGCGGTTTAAGGAGCAAGCGGAACGGCTTGGAAGGAGAGTGATGGTAGCGGAAGCGGATTTGGCCGCGGGAAAAGATGCGGAGCGGGGGCAGGGAGGGGAGAGTCAGGAGAGCGGCAAGGGGGATGAGGAGATCAAGACGTGGTTCGAAGAACAGGTGGGTCTACGAATGTCAAGTCGATGATGAGATCTTTTCTGTAGCACAACCATAATGAGATCTGGAGCTTGAAGAAACTCAAAACGAGATTGGAACGGTGAAAAAGACATCCAAAGCTGCCGCGGTCTTTGTAACGGCTATGGTTGGATATCCCCTCATTTGCAGTGACTATTGAACCGGCCCAGGGCGCTGATTGGATAGGTCAATGAGAACGCTTCCATTATAAATGTAAGAGATGGTTCCGTGTAACCCGTCTCTTACGGCAAGTGCTGCATGCTTTCTTTTCAAGGTGATTCTCTTGTTACGTCTCATGAATTGACTCACCTTACAGGACTTTTTGACACTTTTCTTCGCTTGTGGCCTAGGTTTTGCGAGCGCTTCTTCGAGCGGACCCCCAAGAGAAGCTGGTGGCGATCACTCGCGAGCTCGCGGCGCTCAAGCTCGCCAACGGGCAACTCCAAGATTTCCTTGCACGCGCGCGCCAAAAACAAGACGCTGCCGTGTCACACGCTTCCGCCCTACACCGCGTGATCGATCAACTAGAATCCAAGCTCGAGCGATCCGGCTCCGGTCCCTCCGGAACGGACGAGTCCGCCGAGCCGGAAGCCTGGGGGGATCCCCGGGTGACGTCAGCCGCTGAGCTGGCGGCCCGGCTGGCGGTCAAGACCCAGGAGCTGTTCGCACTCCAGGACGAGGGGTTGGCGCTTCGGCAGAGGATCGCGCGGCTCGAAGCGGATCTGACGGAAGCGCAAGCGCAGCAGACTGAGAGCGTCGGGGCGGTTGGGCGGCAGCGGGAGCAACTAGAGGCAGCGGCGCGGGCGAGAGCGGAGGAGGCGGCGGCGCTTCACAGGGAGGAGCTGAGGAAGGTGCGGCAGGAACTAGAGGCGGAGGCGCGCGCGCACCGGCAGGAGCGGGCGGCGCTGCACCAGGAGAAGGTAGGTGCAAGGGACAAAGCAGAAGATTCTGCATGTAAGGTCTATTTAAACGATACGTCCAGCTGAGCAGCCTGTTAAAGCGCAGCATGGGCCATTGGCGGAGCCTTTACATTGAGTGCATGCTTTAACGAATGACTTTAGGTCTTTCGGGTTTCCGAAAGTGTTTCTAAGAAGCTAGGAAGTGAAGGCTTCCCTTGGTCCATCATGCCCTTATTTAGAAAGTGTACTTCACCCACTGCAATTCTGTTCCTAAAGCTGGACTCGTTTCTACACCAGGGCAGGCAATCTTCGTCCCTGCCCTCACTTCTCTTCCTGGCGGCCGCCCTGTCTACTCAATCAACTTTCTCCAGGCACACCGTCAGTTCCGTTAAAGCGGTGTTTTGACCTTAACTTTTCGGTCTTGAAGATATTGGCACGAGCGTTATCGTCCTTTCTGATTCCAGCCCCTAACTTCGCTTCGTACTTATACAGGTGCGAGTGCTGGAAGAGGCTCAGTCAGAGCACGCGGCGGCTCTGGCAGCAGTCCAGGCGCAGCTGGCTGAGGCGGTGCGGCAGCAGCAGAGTCTCCAGGGGGTACAACAGACGGCGCGCCGCATCCCCCAGCTAGAGCAAGAACTGGAACAGTGCAGGACGGAAAACGAGCACCTTGTGTCCAAAGTGAGTGCTACGCCCGTCGTCGCAGGGGCCGCGAGTCTGTCTTAGGTTCGATCTTAGCTTGTTCTTTTCTGTTTGTAATCTGTTTTTAGTCTGTGCTTAAGTGTCCTCACTTTGTTCATCTCGGTCATGCCATGCCAGGTTTGTCAATTTTCGATAGGAACGGTTGATACGTTCCTTCGTTCTTTATGTGTCCTTTATGTGTCCTTTCTATGCTCATCTTGAGGATATCATGCCCGTTGTGTCAATTGTATAGGAACGGTCGATAGATTGCTCCGATCCCCCACGATGTCTTCGTTGTTGCGGTCAAAGTGTAGTCTTGAAACACTCAAATACGAGTCTTTACGCTGGCCGCTTAAAGTTTAATAAACAAACGCTTCGTCGCTACCGCCAAATACGACTCAACAACACCTTTCTATTTCCGTCTCGTTCCATGAACCAACACTTCCCTTTCCCCAACAGGTCGGCGCACTCACTTCCCAACTAGCGGCCCTACAAGACGAGCGCGAGTTGCAAGCAGGCGTAGTCTCCGATCTCGAGCGCATCCTGGCCCGTATTGAGCACGCGGGTGCAAGCCCCGCTCGGGGGGGGACCAGCAAGACTGCGGTGGCGGGGGGATCCCTTGCGGCGGTGTCAAAGCAGCTGGTGCAGGCGAAACTGGCGGAGGCGGACGCACAGAGGAAATTGCGGGTTAGTGCGGCGAGGTTCCTGGCATGCTGGAAAAGAAGAGTGGGAATTGATCGTTGACAATGTAGGCTGTCCTTCCGGCAAATTCGATTGCAAGTGGTTGAAATACACGTCCTGGATGGCGATGCATGACTCAGTTCAGGTCAGAATGTCGTTCAAACGAGATGAAAGATTTTGGGATCCCAGTGCAACTCAAGTAGGAAAAATTTAACACCATGTTGCGAGAACCCGTTTCAAAATGGATTCAACATGCGAGAAAGACTAGGAAAGCCGTCAGGCAGAAGAGAAAGATCAAGAGATTCTCAGTTGATAAGACCGTTGAATCGTATCCCGCAAAATCCGAAAACCTAGATTTATAAGTGGATTCTGCAACGCAGGTGAGTGCACGGGCGGAGTTAGAGTTGCGCCAACTCCTGGCCGAGCGCGAGAAGCGCATCGACCAACTGAAGCAAGGGCGGGTCGCGCTCTCCCCCCGGCCCGGTCCCGCGCGCGCCGAACAATGGACCGACTCAGAGGACGGGACTGGAGAGGAGTTCGGCGAGCAGCGGGCGGCGTGGCGACAGCAAGTGGTGGAGCTGCGCCTTGAGGTCGCCAAAAAGGAGGCCGCGATAGCGGGGCTGCAAGGGGCGTTGGCAGACGCCACTGCCAACGGACGGCGACAGGACGCGGACCTCCAGGAGATCTTCCAGCAGGTGGGCCGCGGTTTGTGATGTCTGGTTGGGCAAAAGTTGATGTTTCAGAAATGTAGGCCCGTTGCTACAGTGTGCGGTTGATGGTCTCAGATACGTTATGGGGCAGTTGGCGATTGGTTCTGATAGGCGCACCCTTTGCGGCTGAAGGCGGGAAAGAGTCTCGGCTTGTAGCATTCAAAGGCTTTGACCTTGTACGACTAAGTTCTTCATAGAGCATTCAATCCAAGCGGCGCAAAAGACGACCTTTGGCTTGTACGGGCCTAGAGACCTTGTCGGGGTCCAATTTCTTCACTAAATGGCTTCGTAGCAGTAGCAAGTTATGGTTGTCTGCTGACCCCTCATTCCCTGGTTTCTGCAGCGAGACGAGCTGGAGCGGCAACTAGAGGCGGCGCTCCAGGCGGAGCGCAAGCTGCGGCGGCGCGTGCAGTACTTGGAGGAGGACCACGTGCTCACCGCCGCGGCCATCTCATCTGCTGTTGTCGCGGACGGGGCCGGGACGCTCAACCGGGCGCCCCCGCAAGGACCGCTCACGGTCTCCGTTCAGAAACTGGTCCAAGTAAGTGGACGGGTTCGATACTTTCAAACTTGCCGCTCCATGATCGATCGCTCATTGTGGCCGTGTAAAAGTTGTTCCAGCTTAGCGTGGGCATCGCGCGAGGCGGAGCGGGCAGAGTTTAGGGGACCATTTGAATGTCTTAGTAGCATCCGCAACCGACCCGCACTCATCGCGTTAGGAGCTTCATTCATGTTATTTCTTTTGAGCTCGGGGTTGTCGTCAATCAATCCTACCCGTTAAAATAATCATGGGCTTCGTCCGGCGTAGTCGGAACTTGACGCACTGCTTCTTTCTTTCAGAAACTCTGCTGCACCTTGTTTTGCTGCACTGTCCCCGGTTCGTATAGAGCCGGGAACGATCCTTTTGCAGAGGCTGCGAGACAAGGACCTGGCGTTACGCAAGATGCGTCAGCGGAAAGCCGGCAGCATGACGTCTGCGTCGAATTTGGAGACGGTTCTGGCTCCCGCTTCCGACGAATCGAGCTCCTCCCTACTTGACTCCCAGAGCTTGGTCATCCAACAGCTTTCAGCCCGAATTGCGACCCTACTCGAGGTAAGTGCGAACAACTCTTTGGTTTATCCAGATGACTCGACCCATCGTCGCTTTCCCCGGAAATCTGCCCCGTTCTTTCGTCGACCCTTGCCGTGCAATGTTTCCTTGCAACGTTCCCTCACTTATGAAAACTGGCTTTCCGAGCACTCAGTCTATTTCCCACGTAGACCGGCCCGTTTCTTTCTGTATCCACCAATGACGTCCACCCTTCTATCTTAGGCCCCTGAGCAACTGGCCTCCTTCCTTGCTTCTAATTGGACGTCCGCTTGTTTATCAGTCTTTCAAAAACGCCTCCTCACCGCTTTGATTTTCGTTGTCCCGCAGGAACAAACCCGGCTGCGCGCCGAACGCGTTACCTTGCCCCCTCAACCCGCACTTCAAATCACTGACTCCGCCCCCCCGGCCGCCGCCCCAGCGCCCCCGGTGTCCCCCTCGGAGGAGGCCCCGCTGCCACGTGTCGCCTCCTGGTCCGACCGCCTCTCCACACCCAAGCATCCAAAACCGTCGGTGTTTAAGAACGCTCAGAAAACGTCTTCTTCTCAGTCAGCCGCAACTGTGAACGGCGGTACGATGACGCGCCACAACGACGGGCCACGATCGCCAAAGCCCCGGCCTGTTTCGCCGGCAATTCGGCGACCGCAAAATGTGGATCGGCCGACGGAAGGGGGCTCGGCAGCCGTTGCCGATGTGAACGGAGTCCGGCCGGAGATCCAAAGGGGAGAGTCGCAGAACGGTGAAACAGGCGAGTCAGTACAGCAGAAACAAGCGGTGGAGATGGTGGAAGGACACGTAGCGTGGGGGGAAAGGCAGCCGTCCGCGGATTCCGGCAGACGCAACGGGGAAATTTCTGGGATGGAACCTGCTCTAGGAAACCCCAGCCGAGGTTTGATGGGAGCACCAAAAGGGGCGCGGTCCTTCGTAGATCTCCACCAGACTGGTGCGATTCGTTCAGACAAAGGCCAGTCTCTCGAAAGTACGCACCGAAGCACGGAGAATCTACCAGAGCGAGAGAGCAAAGCTCCCTCTAATGCTGCGAAAGCCCCGGAGGCGGCGGCGGTCTCGGCGCTGTGCGATCTGCTGTTACAGCACATGGAGGCGCTGGAGGCGAGTAAACTGGAGGTGCGCGCCGCGGCCGCGGGGGCGGCGGCGCTCGGAAAAGCGAGAGCAGCGGAACACAAGGACGAGACCGGACGGACCGAGTTTGGGCGGAACGAGAACGGACGGAACGAGAGCGGGCGGAGCGAGGAAGCACGGGACGACGAGGGCGCTGCGAAAGGGAGTGGGCGAAATTTCAACGAGGGGAGACTGAACGGGGGACAGGGTTCAAGTGGGCTGTTACGAGGAGGGAAGAGGGAAGTAAGTGAAGAACCGGTTTTGAGTATACTGCCGGAAAAGCTGGAGGCGACTGCGGGGGCTATGGCAAAAGAGCTGACGGCAATGAGGGCGGCGCTTGCCGTGCTGACGCAAGGGCTTGGGAGTCTGCACGCGCCTCAGACCCAGGGACCGGGGAAATGTGGCGTGGGGAGAGTGGTGCAAACCGAGAGAGTCAGCCACGCAGACTCAGCGGTCCAAACAGTTGGAACCGCTCGGGACGAAGGCGAGATGTCGGGGCGAGTGGGGGTGCACAGCACGGCTACAGCCGACAACCACGCTTCCGTTGGTATTGTGACTACAGCCCAGATTGATGTTCCTGTCTTGAGGAAGACTACAGCCCAGACTGACGTTTCAGTTCAGACGGAGGCGTTGGTTCACACCGACCGTACTGCACAGACGGTTGCCACATTGGCCGAGGATGCGACTGCCCAAACGGACCCTCATTCAAGCGGAACCATTGCCCGGACGGAACACGGTCTTGACGGAACTCTTGGTCAAGCGGAAATTGCGGTCGGAGGTAGTCTAGGAGGACCGATTAGACGGAACAGTGGAGTGTTGCGCGATCAGTGTGACGCCATTTTCCAGACGGATTTGCCGGTTCCGTTTGCAACTGTGGCAAGTGCTACAGCTGTAGCTAATTCAGTTGCTGTTGGTGAAAGTGAAGGACGGCAGTCGCCCGCTTTTACAGAGTCTGGGCCACTAGATCGACAAGTTAGCGCGATTGACACCACAGCAACGCTCGAAACATGGGGTCCCATCGACCCCGCACGTAGTGAAGCGGTCAGACTGGGCAGAGTGTTGGAGCAAAGCGGATCAGTGCAACAAGTTGGATCAAAGATCGCGATTAGGCCTGCATCCGTTGGCGTGACTAACGGTCATGGTTCGGAGGGGAGGCAAGCTGTCCCCAATGATAGTGTACTTGTCTACCCCCCTGTCAGACAACGGGAAAATATAGCCGCTGGCGAAGTGCAGGATTGCAGCGCATTGGACGGCGATAGTGCTAACCACAGGTCGTTGGGTGCGGGGGCTGAAGGTGCCACTGGGCGAGGCTTGGTTGGAGAAAGTAATGGGGATGGGCTAGTCCCGTGGGGAGCGAATCGTGCGGCTGAGGGACAGACCGGGGGGTCTGTGAGACAGTCCGCGACAGAGCAGAGCCAAGTTCGCCTCTCCCAATCCAACAACGCCCCTCCGGAATCGCGCGCGGATTCTACACTTGCCTCCATGCAACGCCCAGAAGCGGCACAGCCAAATCTGACCGACTTTGGTAGTACCGCAGGAGGCGCGGCCAGCGTTGATGGGCGGGAAGGGGGTTCTCACGGTGCGCTCTTGGCTGCGGAGCGCCACTCTTCCGGGCCGGAAGATCTTCCTTTTGCGGTGGTTCCGGTGTTCCAAGACCGTGAGTGGACCCAGCAAGCACAGCTGATTCAAAGCCAATCCAACGCTGCGGTCGCCGGCGGTGCGGTGTCAAGCATGGGGCCCTTGACTGCGTCTTGCGAAGTTGGCACCATGACAGATCCGCTCGTAGAGACGGTGCTCGGCGCAGATCCAACCTCTAGCTCTGGACAAGGAGAAGAGAACCGAAAAATGCCCCGTGGGTTGCTAGCAACGCAAGGAAGAAGTGAGAATCTTGAGAAGGGAACTGAGACCGACTTTGGAGAGACGGCGGAGCGGGCAGCGCAAACGTACGTTGAATGTGCAGACCGGAGCGCAGGGCCGGGGCCGGGGGCGGAAGCAGCGGAAACGGAACACTCTCTGAGGGAAGCGCAAGTAGAGAAGCTGCAAACGGAAGCCTCCTCAAGGGATGCGCAACTAGAGACGCTACGAAAAGCGGTGGAAGAGTGGGAGCGGCGGTGCATGGCGGTAGAACTGGAGCGGGGGAAGCTTATTGAGGCGGCTCGCCAGCGGGAGACTCTTATGGAGAGCAGATTGGAAATAGAGCGGCGGAGTCGGGAGGAGGAGGGGCGGCGGCATGCTGAGCAGGTGAGGGGCCGACAAGCTGCCACGTGTGCAGGAGGAACCGTCCTCTCTTTGAAAGACACCGCAACCAGAGCCTGTTGTGAAGTTTAACCCCACGACAGCGCTTTTGCCTGTCCTTCGTTAAACTGAAGGTTCAAGTATCAAAAGGCGACTTCGGATCTCAACTGGCCACTGAGTCCGTGCACGGAGTAAGGCCCAAGTGAAACGTCCCGTCTCTCTCTACCTCAAAGCCAGGACAGGTATGTTCCTTTTCTTCACTGAATATTTTCTTTACAACATTGCAGGTCGCGGCCGCGTCGGCAACCGCTCAGGCTACTGAAGCCGCCCTCCAAGCCGCCCTCGCCTCCGAACGCGTGGCCTGCCAAGAAGCCCGCCACGCGCTGCAAGCCGTGACCGCCTCCCACGCCTCCGCCGAGGCCCGCTTACGCGAGCTTGACGTCAGCGCGCGTGCTGACGTCGGCGCGGGCGCGCGGCTCGCGGCCGGCGCCGCGGTGATGTCAGCGGTGCAGCAGGAGGTGGCCGTTTTGAAATCGGTGGTGGGCAGCGAACGGCAGGAGCATCGACGGCTGGTGGGCGCGCTGAGGGGCGCGCTCGCGCAAGCGGAGGAGCAGGCGGGGCGCGAGAAAGAGGCGCTGGCGAAGGAACTAGAGGCGGCGAAGGAGGCGGGGGAGCGAGGGAGGGCTGCCGTGCAGGAGGGAGAGCAGGTGAAGACTCCTCAATTTTGATTTGGATTCATTCGACAAGGTGAAAACGACTAACTGTAAAGTCGCTGAAGTCCGACTTCTCACGCATGTTGTAAGCTTTGCGACATGAGTCAGTTGCCGGCAATTCATTCTTTCCGATTCAGCTATCGGCTATTAGCCACAAAACAGAGACTTGGGATTGAGGCGAACAATCACGTTTCTCGCCCTCTGTGACACTTTTGCAACGTCACAGTGACAGCGGCGGATTGGGTGCAGGCATTGGCAGTGGCAAATGAGCGCTTGGCAGCGCTGCGGCGGCAGTGTGAAGCGGAGATGGAGGCGGGGGCCCAAGCGCGGAGCGGGCAGCAGGAGCTGGCGCGCCAGCTGGTAGAAGCTCAGCGGCTACTCCAAGAAGCGCAGCCACGTGGCATGGCTGGGCAGCAGAGCGCCGGGCAAGAAAGTGTCCTTTTCGAGGAGCGGGTGAGGAACAGGGGAACGGCAGCGGGGCCACACCTTTATATTTGCTTTTAGCTTCAATTTGAATCTGGGTATGAGTTGGTAACCCCGTGTGAGACACTCGATGGCCCTTCTATGCTTTCCTGTTTGTCGGGGCAATTCACGAGCGGTATCTGCGGCGCCTTCCTCAAGAAACTCGCCGATGTTGAAGGGTCCTCCTGGAAAATGGACTCAAGGCCGGTACAGTGGTCCGTGTAACAAAGGCGTTGGATCTTTCTGCTTGCTAACAAGAGTTCTTATCCTTGACTGCGTCCATCCACAGGCTTGTCTTTCAGGTCTCAAAGTTCTGCCCAAGCGATCGCAAGTGTGCTGACGACGCAAACTTATTGAGTCTCCTCTTGCATCCAGGACGGGCCCCCATCTGCCCCTCAAAACGGTCCCAGTAAGGGGCAGGCCGCTGCGGTTCTTGATGGGGAGGCTGGTCGGCGAGACGAGCAGCAGAGGCAGCAGTGGGCGCGCCTGGCTCGCGCACAGAGGTGAGTAATTCGGTGACCTGGCAATTGTTATCAGGTTTTCGGTCCATTCGGTCAATTCTGTACTGCTTTTAGGAGACGTACGATCTATCTCCAAGTCTCAGGATCTAAGTTTGTGTGAAGGAAACTTTCTCTCTCGCGGCTACCTGAGCTGTGCCTCCTCTCGTTTGCAGGTACACGCATCTGCTCCAAGCGTTGCGTTCAGAGTACAAGCGCCGCGCTCTAGAGGCTGCCCAGAGAGTGGCGCAACTAGAGGCGGCGATTGCGGAGGAGCGGGCTCGGCGGGCGGAACTAGAGGCGGCAGCGGGGCGGGAGCGGGAACGACTGGTGGAGCAGCACATACAAAACTTGCAGGACGTCGAGGCGAAAATGCTGGCAGCACAGGCCAGGTGAGGGGCAGGACACCTTGGCAAGAAACGGATTTTTGAAGTACGGAGCGGAATAATGGTTATCAGTGCTTGAACCCAGGTGCAGTGCATATAGTCCTCTCAGAGGAGGCGCCCAGCTTCTGTGCCCGTTCTGGGACCTTTGTGCAATGTTTCAATAATCTCTAAGATGTCTTTAGTCTTTGTCCTCGTTCCCTCTTCCTGCCTTCTTACTATCTTCCTCGCTATCCGCTCGATAATCCTCGCGACCTGCGCTTCAAACACAGCTGAGCGGAGCTTACTCGGCACAGATGTAAGTCGATCATCGACCCTTTCTTGATGTTCATCTGATCCCGTGCTTTTGCCGCCTTGTTCCAGGTGGCAGCAAGAAATCGTCGCCGCACGCACCGACGCCGAGGAGAAAGTCATTAAAGCGGAAGCCGCTCTGGCGGAAGCTCGAGAGCTCTGGGCCGCGGAATCCGCAGTAGAGCGCAAAGAGTGGGAGGTGAAAGTAGAGGCTGGAATCGTATACGCGCGCGAGCGCCAAGCCGAGCGGGACGCCTGCCAGGTGGCGCTCCAGGAGTGTGCGGAGCAGAGGGATACGTGGCAGCGCGAGGGGCAGGCCGCCGTGGCGCGCTTACAAGCGGAGTATCAACGGTGGGTCCTAGGCGGCTGTAAAAGCCACGAGAAGTGCACGTTCTGTCTTGAGGTGATTCACGATATGAGCAGAGACAAATGATGGATAAGCTGGTGTGTATGGGAACGTTTGGATTGATGGAAAGATCGTGGTGTCTGATTAACCATTGTCGTAGGTAGAAGAGCAAAGTACTGATCACGGGCTTAGCGTCTCACGCCCACAAAGAACCATCAATTCATCCTGCGAAGTGCAATTAAAACGAATACTTCTGAGCAGTTTTCGGTTGACTGTCGGCTGACCAATGATCTTACTGGCCTACAGATACCGCGCGCTGAAGGAACGCGAAGTCCAGTCCCTCGAGGCGCGGCTCCAAGCGCTCGCGCACAACACCTTCCATCACGATTCCCCCCCTCAACCCCGACGCCTTTCTCCCCCCACTCGCGACACCGATTCCTCCCGGGGGAAGATTTCACACGGGCCCCCGGGCCCCGAATTACCAGAGTGTCCAAACCCCGAGGCGTGGGCCCGACAGGTGGCGGACGCTGCACAGGCGATGCGCGCAGTCGCGGAGAGCGAGGGGCTGCGCGCGATGGCGGGGGAGCTGCAGTTTGCGCGGCAGGAAAAGTGCGCGCTCGAGGGGAGGCTCGCGCAGTCGGGAGAGCGAGTCGAGCAGCTGCGGGCGAAGCTGGCGGCAGGTGAGGCGCCGCTCACGGTTGATAAAATCAAAGCAGAGGAAACGGTTAATGTTGTGAGGACAACAGCGTTCCTTTCAAAGTTGCGTTCAGGACAACGGCGTTCATTGCTCAGGTTTTGGACGATTTTAGTAGTCGATCACTTTGGCAGAAGGCGGTGGGTCCTCCTTGTGGAGCTTGGGCCAGAAGGGGCGGTGAAAAGAAGTAGATGCTAGAACTCGCTAAGCAGATATTCAAATATGCTGTTGTGCTGTTGGAGAGTTGCTAGTTTGAAGTGTCTGACATGATATGAGGGGTTACCGCGCGAAGACTCTGCTTGGCCGCGAATGCAATCAAGGTGGCGGCCTGCGAGAGGAATGCTTGCCTGCGCAAGGAGCCCACAAAGCGCTCCTTAATGATGATCCTGGTCAAACTCATCGCTTCTTGTAGGCGCGAAGTCGTCAGCTCTCCTACAAAGATTGTTTTTCCAGGTAGCTGCCATACTTCGGAAAAACCTTTGACAAGTAACTATGGTTGGAACCAGTTCACCGACTCCCTCTCCGCTCTCCCCTTTTGCCAAAAGCTAGAATCGTACTGCGAGATTTTTGAGAAGCCTCGCTTGACTGCTGGATGCTCCTTATAACGCTCTTGCAGCGTCGGCGGAGCTGGTGGACGTAAAGCGGAAAGCGGCGCGCGAGGTGGGCGCGCTTCAGGAGCGGCTGCGGGCCGCCCAGAAGGTCGCCGCCACGCACTCCCCCGAGGTCTGGCAGCAGCAGGCGGACGCGCTCGCGACGTGCCAGGTGAGGCGACCCGTGCTGGGGCTTAATTCGTGTCTGCTTTCCAATGATTGGATAAAACCCTTGAATTCCAGAACCCCAAACAAGGTCGCTACGACACACTCCCCCGAGGTCTGGCAGCAGCAGGCGGACACTCTCGCAGGCGGTGCCAGGTATGGGCGACCCTTGCGGCAACAGCGGCACCGAGGCCAGCTGTCAGCGGCCTCCGGTATCTCAAGATTCTTGTCCATCTGTTCTGAGATTCACTGCAGAAGGCAGCGGGTTGAGGGTCGGAATCAACGGACGGACTGCGGAGGCGAAAGTTCCAAGAGGGGCTGCTATTAGGTGCAAAAGCGCAGGGGCATGCGGTGCTGCACTGGGACTGCCAGACGAGACAGGTTATATCCCCGCAGACGACGGTTGAGGTCTGAAGAATGGTCGCAGGTTGCCTTGTGCATGTCCTTTACCTCCCCAGCTCTCTCTAAATACTTTCTCTGATATGCGGGCGCTCACCTTCCTTACTATGCCCAAGCACGATGTTTGAAGTTGCAGCATTGATTTCCGCAGGCGGAGCTAAAGGCCGCACGCGCAGACGCGGCGCGCAAGTCCCGGCTCCTCAACAGCCTCGAGGGCGAGTCCAAGCAGCGCGCGGCCGCGGCCGCGGCTGCGGTCGACGCGCGCGCGGCTCTCGAGGCGGAGCTTTCGAAGTCGAAGCTGGCGGCCGCGCGGCAGGCCGCTGTGGTCAAGGAACTGCACCGGAAACTAGAGGCGGCGGCCGGAGTGGACCGCGACGCGAGCGGGGATCAGAAACGGATGCAAGCTGCGGAGGAAAAAGTGCGGAGCTTGAGTGCGGCGCTCAAGAGTAAGGAGGCGGCTTTGAAGGAGGCGAGAGAAAGGGCGGAAGTCGCGGCAAACGCGGCAGAAAGGGAGAAAGAGAAAGAGCGGGAGAAAGATAGGGAGGGGCTCGAGGCCGCGGTCAAGAGGTGGCAGGCGGAAGCTGCTCGAAGGTAAGCCTCACAGGACGGCCGGAACCGGACAGATTGTTGTGAGGGGTTGATTGAAAACTAAAGAATGAGAACGTTGTAGCAAGTGATCCGCCTCTCTGGACAAATCCGCGTCGTGCAGGTTTGAACGGTGTCTGATGGGAGTTCATGTCGCCTTTCGACCCTTTCTATTGTTTCTTGCTCTTAGCCGACACAGTAATGCTTAAGGCTTTGTTCGTGGCCACCGCCGCACGTTTCTTCTGACCTCCGTCGTTCGCCTCACTCTGACCTGCCACGTGTCCTCTGCAGGGAGGCCTTGCTGCGCTCGTGCCGCAACCAACTCGACGCCGCGCGGGCCGAGCGCGAGGCCGAGGCGGCAGCTGCCGAAGATCGACTCGCGGCTGCGCAGCGGCAACTAGAGGTGGCGAGAGAAGAACTCGGCGTGGCTCGCGCGGCCGAGGCCGAGCTCGGAGCCCTTGCAGCGGCGCTAACTAAAACCGGTGCGCGCGCGGCGCGCGCTTTACGAGCGGCGGGCGAGATCATAGAAAAGCAGGGTGCGGGGGCGGAGAGTGAGGGGAGCGAGGAATGGCGGGAGCAGGGTGGGGAAACGGCGGCGGCGGCAGAGTTGGTGCATCTAAGAATGGACGAAGTGAGGCATCTCATGGGGAAAGGACGAAAACCGTCTTCCGGGGGGGTGGTTTTAGAAGGGGTTTTGGCGGAGGTGGAGCGGTGCCGGCAGAGCGGGGGAGGGGAGAAGGGAAAAGGGAGGAAAGGGGGGGCGCGGGAGCTCACGGCGAGTTTGCATAGGGCGCTTGCTGTATTGGAACAGGAAGTGCGGTGGGGGGAGGTCATGGCGGCGGGCGCATAAGAAAGGCGCGTGGCAGTGCCGTTTCAGCACCGCTAACTTGGAGTTTGTCGTGACAGCTGTATTTATTAGTACATATATTACGGTCAACTTCTAAAATCGAAACTTTCTGTCAAGAGGACGGTCTAGTGGAGCCTACATGGAAAATGCACGAGTCTGGACGGCGGTCAATGGCAAAAGCAGAAATTTGGATACGTACAATCTGGATCGTCAAATTGCTTTTATCGGTAAAAAATTGGATCCATGTGCATTAGCTTATGTTATTTGTTATGGAGCTGTTGGCCGTCTGGAGTTCGCTTTTGAAAAAGGTTGAACGGGCCCCTTTTGATGCAAGGTTCACCGTGCGGGCAGAATCACTTGCATCAGATTCGATCGAGATGATCGCTTTGAAGGCCGGCGGGCTTAGCTGTCCGACCGCTATAATCGGCGCGTCGATCCGGGTATACTCGCGGTATGTAAGCCTGCCTGGGCAGTTGATTGCCACATGCAAGCGCCTTAAGTTGCAATTATGGAAATTATCGTCACTGACGCGGTGAGCTGCATGCAAACTTTTGCAGTCCATTTAGTGCATCTCTTCTCAAGCCCATATCATTCACGTCGGACATTTGATCATTGCCGCAATGTGGCTCGCCAGCAGATCATTCCATGGCGCGGCCGCGGCGGGGTTGATCAAATTTGGCATGCTTGACGCCGGGTATTTGTCATGCACTAGAAACTTGAAACATGCGCAGTGGCACGCGCTTGTGAGCACATGATCTTATAAAACATCATGTAGACATTCAGTGTCAGGTGCTAGGGACTATATAGTCGAGTCTTTCTACAGATTAAAGCTGACGGCCACGCATGCATGCACATACACGCCAATGGAATGCAAGCGTGCTTCAGGCTAGCCTAACTTTGCTTGCATGATATGTGTGATGTTCGCCGACTACCCGGCCATTTCTCAATGCCAGGAGTATCTTGTCTATATATCATCAACATTCAAACGCAGCACGAGCATGATAGCTGTAAGGCCAATGCGAGAAATCAATTGCAAGACAGGGCGGCTGAGCCTTGAGGCTTACAGTTGACCAGATGCGCTGCCTCGAAGCAGCTGATCATCAGGCTAGGACATAGACAACACCGTTTGCACCGGCATGCATGGCAGTAATGAATCTCCTCTCGGGGGCTTAATGCTGCCTCCCTCGTGGCCTGGTTTCCACTCGAGTTATAGCGGATCCTCGGAAACGAGGGCTCCTTGCGTCACGGTTTCCTCGCCCAAAGCGTACAGTGCATCTAAAAAGTGCGCTCTGAAAGTGCCTGGTCCCCCTGGGTGCGCTTCAACTGCGACCTGAGCTGCCAGCCTGCGAAAATCCACCATAGAAGGATTACTTGGATACTCAAACCGACTTCGGAAAGAAAAGACGACAGCCAAAAGCAGTTTGGCAACCATAGAAGGGTTCATTAGATGCTTTAACCGACTTCCGGAAGGGAAGACATAACCAAGAGCAGATCGGCGGATCCTACCGGAGAACCTGTAGCGCAAGCAGAAAAGCGCCCACGCTGATGCAGCTCCTCTTAAATTTCGCACGGTCCAAGAATCGCGAGAAGAAGGAAAATTAGCGAAGCGTGCTACTGGGGGCGGCTGCTTCCCGACCGCGGTAGGAAGCTGAGCTTGTAAGACCGGTAGAAAAGCGTAGCCTCCACGACCAATAGAAAGTTAGGTCCAAACAGCCCGTGTAAAAGCTCACCCGAAATAAGCGAGGGTGTATGCGGCCGCCTCTAGGGGCTGTAGCTCGGGATTAGCGGCCAGAAAGACGGCGATTAGCGCCGTCACGGAGCACCCCGTGGCGGTCACTTTCTGCAGCCGACACGCGAGGGGGTCAACAGCGCTCCATCTCTTTTCCCTCCTCAGATACGTAACCGAGATAATGAGAGATCGCTCCGAACTGATTGAGTCGGTAAGATTTGGATGGTAGATTTGATACGCAAGCCGAATCAGGTGTTCGTTTCGGGTCGGGAAGTAAAGAGCAAGGTCTCGAGCTCAACTTGAGAATGTATCACTTTACCGATCCGGTAGGCCTTGTGGAGGTTAGGAGAAGGGTAACGGGCGACTTTCCGAAATCAAATGTCATGTGGGACCCAGAAACAAGTTCTCCTTGGAACGGTGTTCAACTCTTGCGCAATAAATGGTGACAAAGGTTTGACTGGGAACAAGTGTGTTTGTGGACCCGCCTTCGCTTTGATGTGTCCGGATCTTTTCCCCAATAGCGTATGGCAAAGGCGATGCAACATATTTTCCGAAAAGGCAGTGCTTAACTGGGCAAATCGAGCTTTGACTGTCGTGCCAAAAAGCAACGTAACAGGTGGGATCGAAATTGGTACTGACCTGAAGGAGGGGATCCCCATTGGCCACGCGCAACACCCGTCTTCCATCCGTGATAAGGTCGATAGCGCCGCTTACGGCGACTACGGACCCGCACGCAGTGGCCAATTGCTTGGCGGCAGAAAGCGCGTCTGTGGAGGCGGCAGAGCTGTCAACGCCCTGTCGGCCCAGAAGAGATATGAGGCTGTCGAGAGAACGGGGCGAATGAATTTGGAAAGCCCACCGAATCGCGTTGATTATTACCACATCGACTCTCGAAACTCAAAACTGACAGGTTACGAAGGCAGAGCTGTCAACGCCCTGTTGGCCCAGAAGAGATACGAGACTGTCGAGAGAACGGGGCGAGTATTTGAAAAGCCCGCCAAACTGGGCTATAATTCACCACGTCGACTTTCGAAACTCAAATACTGACAAGTTACGAAGGCGGAGCTGTTAACGCCCTGTTGGCCCAGAAGAGATACGAGGCTGTCGAGAGAACGGGGCGAGTATTTGGAAAGCCCGCCAAACTGTGCTATAATTCACCACGTCGACTTTCGAAACCCAGATCTGAGAAGGTGACAAAGGCAGAGCTGTGAACGCCCTGCTGCCCGAGAGAACAACGAGAGAACAACGACACTGTTATCAAAAAACTGCGCGGATTGCGGAAGAGCTCGCCAAATCATGCAATTGATTTTTAAGTCAGATTCACGAGCTTTTTCTAATAAAGTGCCAAAAGTACTGCTGTCAACGCCCTGCTGGGCCAGAAGAGAATCAAATCTGGGGAGCAATCCGAGTATCCAGGAGCCCGCCAACTTTCGAGAACTTATAGCTGAAAGTTTTTCGAGAAATGAGGACCGAACTATGGAAGAGCTCGCTGCAACATGGGATTGCCGCAATTTTCATATCCACACAGAGGGCTGTCAGCAACGAGCCATGCTCGAGAGCCTCTATATCTTCAAACATCCTGGATCTTGCTTTTCCAGAAGTTTGTGTCATTCGGGTTCGAATATCGGCTCTGAGGGCGCGCACATCGTCGATTTGAAAGCAGGCCCGAATGTCAAAAGCAGTTTCCGCCCCCCCTCATGACACCTTTGCAAAGGGAAATATCAGGGGGCGCAAATCTTACCCTGGTAGCTTCAGTGGCTGCCCCCGCCGCTGCCAGGATCTCAGACGCATTGCCCCTAATCACTGTCGGGCCCATTGCTATCAACTCCTGGCATATCTGCATGAGCAGAGAAAGGTGTGAGAAGGTTTGTTAAGGAGCTGCAGAAAAGAAAGAGCCGTCCTGAATTCCGGCAATGAGCACTCGTCGACTCGTCATTGCAAAGAGAAGTCCGGCTTGGCCGGCTGATAAGCAGACGCGAGAGCATGTGCGATTTGCCACATATGAGAAAACGGGACTGCACTTGGCCCAAGATTGGGCCGAGATGACAGAAAGGGCTCACTTTTGTTCGATAAGTGGTGGCCCCAACTCCTACTGGGTCCAAAACCCATGGCTTGCCCGCCTCTTTAGCGCCTGCTATGGCACGGCGCATCCCTTCTACCCAGGGAGGCGATAGTGTGCCGATGTTGACACTCAAAGCACCAGCAATCTGCAAATGTCATGAAATGGTGATGTGGTGTCAACGTGCAGATTATGGAGACGATGGAGGGTTGGTGCGGTGGGAGGAGTGACAAGATTGAGGAGCAATGCTTTCTGTCCATTGAACCTGCTTATGATGATTGAAAGTTCATCGTCCAGGCCAGGCGAAAACCTTGAGGAACAGACCAGAATAGTCTGAACAATAAGGCTGAAGTTGCTTGTTTGGTCTTTGTGAAGAGGGGGCTCTGGGACGGCACGAGCGGCAGAGCGCCTACCTGTATAAACTCCTCCACCTCCTCTGCTGAATGCACCATAGCAGGGGACGCTCCGGCCGCCTGCACATTCGAGCAGCTAATTCAGGAAATTTATTTGCGCTGATCCAAACAATGGGCGCTCAAAGCAGATGCCATGCTCCAGGGCACAGTAGATATAGTTTTCCAGCATAAGCGCCAGCTTTTGTAGTCGATGCTGCGGAAGGGGGATACATTGGCGGCTTCTAGCCCTTAATGACTTCCAATCTAGATCAGGCATTCATTCACTCAGAAAAAGCACCCAAGCGCCCAACCCGAGACACCCATTTAAGAGTCAAGAAGCAGAGAACGAAACCAAGAAAACCAAAAAGCGGCGTGCAATGCTGTTGGAGATTGACATAAGCACTTTGAAATCCTTGCATTCTCCCTTGTTGAGGTGCACATCAGTTGGCGAGGCCCTCACCAGTAACGTGTTGGCCGCCAGGTCCATGCTCACGTAGTTTGCAATGCACTGGACCAGCGGATTCTTGGCCCGAACCGAAGCCAGGGCGGCCCATACGTTGGCGCCGTGAGTTGCAGCCGCCATCGTGCAGCGGCAGGGCTAGATCAAAGCTAGACGAGAAACCTGAACGACCTCTGCAATTGATTGTCTAAAACACCTACCTTGCGACTTTTGTCAGTGTTGCCATTGGCATTGGTCTTCCTACAATGTGTCACTGCGCAGGAATGCAGGGCCTCAGCTCAGTGGTTTGATTGAGGGCGTCAAAACCCTATTTCGAGATTAACCCGGGGTTAGCTCTAGCTACCACCACCGGCTGTGGGTTTGAGGTTCTGGGTTGGCTAGAACGCAGTTAGCTTAACCGCAGTTGAGCTGCCGAAAGCACCGTACGTACAGCTTGAAGCGATGCAGGCGTCTTCAAATGCTTGCTAAACTGTGTTGAACTTGTACACGATCAGCGTTGAGCTAGTCACAATGGCGTCGTCAACAACGTTTTGCAAGACTACCACTCACGTAAACTACACCCTCCTGCACAAACAACCGACGCGCAATGCTGATCAGATTCTCACGAGCAACTTCTTAACACCGTTGTCTTCACAGAAAGCTGCCGGTTCGAACAGGCGCTTGCACCACATGCAAGAACAGCAATGTCCCTGCCAATGCCGAGTTCGGCCTCCCTCAAATTCCCTTATCCAAACCTCCTCTGTTGAGCAACACCAATCAGAGCCCAGCGCCTCCGTTCAAGACACCAGCAGTGAAAGCAGCCGGTCGAGTCGGCGACAGATCCTTCGCAATGTGGGGGCTGCGTTGACTGCCCTTACACTCAGCGCTGCGGCCCCCGGGGTTTTGTGGGCAGAGCCCAACCACAATGTGAGGCTTGCAGATGTTGAGAACACGGAGCTGCGCCAGGCGCTTGAAGCTGCGGGTGAGCTCATTAGGCTCGAATGCCATGGTCAAACGGCTTTGGTTTCTGGCTCTCTTGCATGCAGGCCCGCCGGAGCACGGACTCCATAAGGGGATGTGTCGCAATGGTCTTCTTCAGACTCTGATCTGCCCCCCCCCGATAAGAGAGGGGATAGGCGCCACCAGTGTGGTCAGCGATGGCGTTACCTGCAGATACGGAGGGCTGTTTGCCACTTGAGAGCTGCCGCGTTTGCTGTGTCAGAGATGATGACGGTCATTTGATGTGTGTCAGTGTTCCGCCCAGCCCCACCGATGTATTGTGCCCCACCAACTAATCACGCTTGTGACACGACGAAAGTATCAAGAAGCTCGAAACTGCCGTGCCGCCAAACTGCCAGTCCATCTGACGTGAGTACAGGTCTTCACTGCCTGTTCAATGCCTCCGGTGAAGCAAGTTCTAATTGGTGTTGCGGTCCGGAAGGTGCTAAAGCAACCAGGAACCATGATTGCTCATTCTTGAGTCTTTCAAGTTTCAATGGGACAGTTGCGGGGGACTTTGCACGTGCCGAAGACATGTTCAGCGACATTCTGAAGGAGGTTCCTGACTCCGCTTCCGTTTGGAGCAACCGGGGCAGTGTGCGGCTCTCCCTAGGAAAGTTCGAAGCTGCGGCGGCGGACTTTTCAAGAGCAATCGAACTGGCGCCGACGGCATCAGTGCCATATTTGAACAGAGCGATCGCATATGAGGTAGGAATCACGTTTCGAAGTTCGAGCGGCCTGGAGGGGTCCTCATTGCACTAACGTATCTATTGCATTGGCAACTATCTATATAGCTAAAGTGCACAGCATCAGGCTGCGGGAAGAATCCTCGAAGGAGGGGTGTAAATTTGCAAGTCTTGTACTTCCAATACTGTTCCGCTCTGAAGTCGGGATCAGCTGTAGACGTTTTGAGACAGGCCTTCTGTAAGGAGCGGGGATCTTTTATTCGCAAAGCGAACGGACACGTTGCCTACTCTTTTGCTCGACTACTGGTATCATTTGCTTTTCGAAAGTCTCGATCAGTCTTCTTCCTAGTTCGAAAGGTTCCCCGCTTGTCGTGACTCTCTTTTGTCGTTGCCGTACAGTCCTCCCGTAATTTGGTGTTTGGTCCAACGAAGTCTGTCTTCTTAAGACAACCACCAACAAGCAATGAACCTAGTCTGTCCTCTTTCAACCAGGTTTGGAGGACTTGCTATTCTTGGCGATTCATGGTTGCCTCATACACCTGTATGCAGATAGAGCGCCCAAGGAACGCCCTGAAAGACTGCCCTAATCATTTGCAGGCTCTCGCCCGATATCCAGAAGCAATTAACGACTGTGACGCTGCTATTAAGAATGACCCTCGAGAGTATGCGGCCTGGTTCAACAAGGGGAACGTTGAGACGCGAGTTGCAAACTACAGCGGCGCTCTTTCCGATTATCAAAGAGCGGCTGACCTAGCCCCCGGGATTGCGGGGTACCGGCTACGAGCAGCCACCGTTCTTTTCCAGGTAAGGTTTCGCGTCGATTGGAAACTGCCGAGTCTCCATCCTCTCATCTGAGGTTTTTAGGTACAGGCTCGTTCGCGTCCGCAAAATCAACCGTGTGTTCAAAGGAGTACCTTTAGCACACACTTGAAGGTACTTGGAAAACTTGCAGCAACAAATCGGACGCTCGATCTATCTTTTCCGCCCTGTCCTCAACGGGACGAACGGGATTCCTGTTGAGTACTTTCATTGCATCTGGACGCTTTTTGGAGGCTTTTTGAACGCAACGTAAGCTCAACACGCATGGGGACGCTCACTCGAGCTCGTTTGATTACTTCGTAACCCGTTCGGACGCTCATGTGAGCTCGTTTGATACTTAGCAACCTGTGGGCGCTGATTTGAGCTCGTTCGGACACCTCGCCACCCGTTCGGACACTCATTCAAAGCTCCTTCGCACCCTTCTTGATCATACGGACACCCAGCGTTTCTCCCCGCTCTGTCCGCAGCTGAAGCGGCCCGACGAGGCGGCGCAGCAGATCAGCAGCATCGTGCGCAAGTACCCCAACTACGCCGAGGCGCACGCGGCGCTTGCGGCCATTCTGTGGAGCCAGGGGAAGCGTGCGCGTGCGGAGGGGGAGCTCAACGCGGCGACCACGCAGGAGCCCCGACTTGGGACCATGAAGTGAGGGTCCAATCTCTCTGAGAGCTTCGAAACGCAATCGCTTCAATTTCGCTTCAGTCTCGCTTCACTTTCGTTTCAATGTCGATGGTCGGCTTGGAGTGTGGGACAGGTAGTGGAGTTGGAAATGGACTCTTTGGCAACTTTCTTTGAGCGAAGCAAGGAGCGTTCTCATTATCTACGTTCTAGACCGTCGATCGAGTCCGATCGGACTCCCTCACCCACTTTCGCGTCGTCCAGAGGTAAGGCAGGCGGCCGTAGTCAAAAGTCGGCGCCATCTTCAGAAGAGTCCACAAAATATCTTTCTGTGTAACGTAGGCACTTCAACATATGGGCTCGACAAGTGGACCTCCCTTCCAGTGAAGGACCAATCCGCGTTCTTTTTCGGTGCTTCGTTGCTTGCTTCAACGGTTTAATCTTATCTATCTAGGAGACTACACGCTCCCTTCTCCATTCGAATCTCCCGACACCCAGGAATACCGATTCGTAGGTTTGCAACGGTCTGATTCGTCATTTCCCCTCCCAGGTTTGCTAGGGCTGCCCTGCAATGGCCCCCCAGTCTACTTGAGGCAATGGAGAGGCTCATCACCCTACAGCAATAGCCGCCCAATTACACGGCGCCACGTGTATCCGGTCCACTCCCTACGGAGGCCTAAAGGCTGTACGGTCTTGGCTCGAGTCCGCTTCTCCATTGTCGCTCCCGCACGGTGTGAAGGGGCACCGAGCTCCAATGAATGACTGCCAGCTGGAGTCTTCCGAGCCACGAAACCTGTGGCTTCGTCTGCAGAAAGCCCACATGGTTGGGTTGTGAATTTTGCCAAAGTAGACGGCTGATGGCGATATCCTCTGTTAGTCACATGCGGGAAAGTTTGACGTCGAGGCAGGTCCGTGTTGTGATCTGGAAAGGCAAGAAGTGCGAGTTGATGCAGCTAGGAGCTCTTATCCCATGTGGTCATGTGGTCCAAGAAGACGGAAGGATTTGGTGACTTTTTATGCGCTGAAATCACAGAAGCAATCCTACGCGAGAACTGACGGCGTCTCATTTTTGTGTGTTGAGGTTACGCAGAGCTACCGCACCGTAGACTCGAATGGAGGAGAGAATCGTACTTAGGGTATCTGTATCCGTGCTGACAGCATGTACAGGCGCTTGTAATGAAACCGATCAGTCTCAATAAGTCCGGTGCGTTACATGATGCATTATGTGCTTAGTGGGCGAATACTTAGGTCAAGTAATATATAAAATCTATCTTAGTGACCGCAATTTCCTTCTTAAGACTCTCATGTCCGTACTGGCTGCATGCATTGACGTGCTCAGTCGAGGTCTGACACATGAGTGCACGCGCCGCGTGCACATTACGCGGGAGTGCTGTGCCAGTCCAAGCTCGGACATCATGAGAAACGTGACTGGTGGGCTCCACATCTGCACATGCCAATCATGCAGACAATTTAAAGCACCCCTGAGGAATTTGAGATGATGTAATTCCAGGCGTTGTATTATGGATGCATTGAACCCCGGATGATACCGGATCTGTCACGGCGCACGCAATTGAAACTTGAATGCCGGTCATGTGACATGCAAGCCTGCCAATCATTGAGAACAGAACCCCCCTGGACCGCAGCCGCCAAACGTTGACCCTACTAAAACGGCGGCCTCAAGACTATCAACACGGTATGTTGTCATCAGAGAAGTGCGTCCAGTCTCCAAAGCGAGGCTACTCTGGAGCCACGACATACCCGGGCCAGGTAAGCGGTTTATCGTACCGACTTCAAACAGGCAGTCACTCAATTGGTTTTGACACGTTGAGGCGGTTGCCTGAAGCTTGCATCATGCATGCCTTTGAAACCGTAGCATGCATGTGCATTATGTACCTCAACATCCACTCGCGTCACGCGTGCCCCTAGAAATCTGCCGCAGCGGGCGCGCGCAAGCAAGTCCTTCCAACTTCAGCACGCGAGTAACGAAGCGATACTCAATCATCAGTTTGTTCGCCCAAACAGTGACTTGACCTGCACAACCGGACAACTCTCGGGCCCTCGGTGAAAGTCTTACCATGTCAGATCCTTGGATCGCGCAGCGTGGCACTAGCTGATTATCGTCGAACTGCCCATGCACCCAGCGTCTGGAGACTGGCCCGCCGAACAGGTTGTCAGCAGGTTTCTGGTCAGTGGCTGCTGAGTAAGGCAGACGTAGAAGAGACGATTGACGAACCCACCTGTACTCCAGCATCCAACGCACACGCTCACGTGCATGGACCACGTCCATTACGGTAGTGCATGGCAGCTCCGGCTTTTGATAGAGTCGGTAGACTTAAGGTCTTTTGGAGAACGAATGCAACTTTGTTAGCCGGAGCCTGTGGCTTCTGCAAGTGCCAAGCATTATCAGATACCCCCCCAGTGACCGTCATGAGTCGGCTCCTGTTGCATACCCTGCATGATTCTTGACCGATAATTGTCAAGCTTGGTACATGCATCGGTGCACTTCTACAATGCAATGGGCGGGAAGATGAAGAATATTGCAACATGCGAACAAGAACATTTATCAGCACTGGCAGAATCGCAACGTCCCTATAGCTTCGCCGTAGCTTTATGTACAAGTTCTAAACTAAGACTGTACGGAATACATCCCGCTAATACCTTCAAAGTACACAGTATTATTCTCGAAGAACAGGACAGATCGGAGCGAGAAACGATGTCATCTCACTATAAGTAGATATCCCAAGAGTTTCTAAGACGAGCTCAAACTTTGTCGTCATGGAACCACCACTTGGTGTCCTTCGGGTTCCGTCCGTTTTTGCAGTTCCGGACATAGCGGTCGTTGTCCGGAGGTCGTTCCTGGAAAGGCCCAGAACACCAAATTTGAAGAAACAGCTGTCTAACCAATCCAACAGATTGCAACCAGAAAAGAGTCGGCTTGACGCCCTCTGAATTGTCAGCTCACAAGCTGTGAGCTATCTTTGTTCCGCAAGGAAGTTCAAGCTGAAAACATGATGGCCTTTTAAGGCTCGTATTAAACATGAATCTGCGTCACAGAAAGCCCGCGAAAACGCGGACGGCCACATTTCTATCGTTCAGCCCTGCGAGCCCGATGAGACCATCAAAACAAAGTAAAACGCAGCTGTGACCGGAGAGAGAAATAAATAAGGAACGGGGGCTCACCTTTACTGTGTTACTAGAGAGCATGGACAGGAGGCTTATACAAATGGAGCTGACCGTCAAGGCCGGCGACCAGGCTTCGTATAAGATGTCTGCAAGAGAGTATTACCACAATTACTGTAGTGGCTTGTACTTGAATCTATGAAACGCTATCGGTCTGGTGAGGTTCGCAGACATCCGGATGGCTCAATCCAAGGATGGTATGCGCTATGCGCAAGGCGGTTCGAAATGGTATGTCGACGAAGGCACTCCTACGTTGCAGGACCAACTTTGCGGTTGCATGTCTCGATGCGTCTGAGCAGAGAGCTCAAAAAGCTTGCGTTTTCAATGGTGAGTACGCAGCCCAGTAAGCATTGAGAAGCAACACAAGCGGCCCACAAGATACTATCGGACGGAAATCCAACATGCTCCGCCACTTTCACGGAGATGCGGCGTCCGCACCTCAAGATCGGGCTATACCATGGATGAGAGTCAATTGGAGTATGGGGCATTCAGGTATTCGAACGTTACCGATTGGATGTCCGCACCGTCAGACGATAATTGGTGCAGTGAGCGATAAGAGACGAAAGACCGGATCGAAGCCAACTGAGGAAATGTGAAGTTAGCCGAAGTGCAGTCCATCTACTTGTCAGTTGTGTTAAGCGTGACATAGCGGACAGGAACGAACAGTCCGACCTGATGCCAAATGAGAAGAAAGAAACTCGAAAGCAGATGGGCCTTTCCAAACTTGCGGCAAAGAGGAGCGGCTCACCTAGGCAGATGTGCCCGTTGCTATAGATGTGCGGATGAAGGGGCGGCTTGGTGAAGATAACCTGGGGAAGAAGGTACGAAGATGGTCAATAGCGCCTGACAGCAAAGTCGACCTCTCCGCAGATAAAACGTCGACTTTGGCGACCGCTTTGCTGCTTTTCAAAGGAACCGGCCCGCTGTGGTAGCAACACGAAGCAAAGTAACGGCTTCCGTGCTCCAAAAACTCTTCTTGTGTTTGTTAGGTACTCAAGCAGCGCTTGACGGGGCACGTAACGAGAAAGTGTATCAATGACAAGATGCCAAAGATGACTCTTTCCGGTCAAAGATGCTAACTCTGATCGGACGCCTCAACCGTCCTAAACCCAGTCCATACTAAGGCAGAACGCATATGCACAAATCCAGTTTCGGACAAAGCAGCGTGGACCTGATTGTAGCGGTTTGCAGTGGACGGCTCACCTGAGGAGCTTCCATTGGATAATGCTCCGGAAACTCGACCTGCAGCTCGAAATGCTCTCCGGCATAAATCGTGTCCGGCACCCCGTCGAGCGCTATGATCCATCTGACAGGAACACGTTGCGCGAGGTCAGATGCCGGGGAACTGGCGTGTTTGAAACATGGGCGCCTATGCTGTGCTATTAGAGGCATCTTATTCGAGCTCGTACTTCTGATCAGCTTATACCGCCGCGGAGGTGGTTTCGATTCAAACGCCAACCTGTTTTCAGGATAGGTACGGTGGTGCCAAGATACAATTTTTGGACTCCTGCCGCGTCGTTTTAACAGCAAGATACGGCCTACTTTACCCTTGAGGGGTTTCGAAGAGCCTGTCTCGAAATACACAAGATGCTCACATCGACTCAAATAGAGTCTCTCCGGAACTTTGTTGGAGAAAGGTCGCAAAAGACTGCAACTGCCAGTTTTACCGTCTTACAAAAACATTCGTCCACTCTCGGATCGACGATCGAGTTGGTTCAATTCTCACTGTCCGCATCTTTGAAATCCACCCTCAAACCCACAGGACAATCCGTTGGGCCATGGTACGCGTTCTTCTGCATGTTTTTGCCGGTCCACTTTGCGCGCCTCTGTAAACAACCAAATTATGGTCAGCATGCTGCAAACAATCCACTCGGGGAGAAGAGAGCCTCACCGTTGGAGGTCATCGGTCGGTTTTCGATTGAATCCTGTTGGAGGGTGCAGCTGCCACTCCGTCAACTCTTTTTGCAGCCGGTTGGCGGCGATCCTGCTCAGGGCCTGTGCGAAAAGACGTTCGTGTTTGATATAACCGAGTCGTATGGTTCTTGATGCCATGGGGGTAGATAACCGAGCTTTGCCGTCGACCCTCTTTGCAGCCGGTTGGCGGCGATCCTGCTCAGGGCCTGTCCGGGGGAGAGACCGAGGTCAACGCAACTTACTAAGGTCGTTATTTGCCACCGAGCTTTGCAGTCAACACTCTTTGCAGCGGCTAGCACCAAATTAAGTTGGGGCCTGACACAGGGTAACCCTCATGGAGCTGAGATGTCGACTCTATTCTCTTTCGCTGACAAAGTTACCAATAAGTTCTGCCAGGATATGCACAACCAATAATTGTAGAATTTTTCAAGCCTGGCGAGACTTGAAACAAGGGCAAGAAGGACTCCTGCAAAACATGGGCGGACCAAGCGTCGGGATGCCCATCAAGCGGCCGTATCTAGACACAGATTGGGTATACAGAGCTACAACCCAGGATCACTTGAAATACTGTCAATGAACTTGTAAGCACTGTGTGACAGCTTCAAGTCATCTGGTTGCAACCACTTGACCAGCATCAATTGATGTTTTTACGGAAGTTGAGGACAATTCCGAGGGCTATATGCTGCCTTAGACCAATTTGTTGTTGACTCAAAGGAGAAAGAGGTTTGACACTCGTTTTTGGACTCTTATTTGGTTAGAAGGGGCTGTCTTTAGCATGGTGCAAAGCAACATTGACACTCTACTCCTTCAAGTACGAAATTGATATACAGGGTGGTGGCATTCAATGCGCAAGTACGCTCAAGATTGGAAGCGCGATCAGATGCTTGAAGAAAAGGCAAGTTCTTAGACAGGATCTTCCCAATGATCGTAAATCTCAAGGGTTGGATGTTTGAACATCGCGCAAAACCAATGGCTTGCCTGCTTGACAAGAAACACAGGACCAACTCTCCTGCATTGGCCAATCTGACAGAGTCCGATTGGGCATCGCCGACCAAAGCGCATATCGAATCTGGAAAACAAGGTGCTTCAAACCTGCGGAGAACCATGCTAGGGCATAACAGCAGATCGTTGAAGTTTGAAAACCCGTGATGATCTATCCTTTGAAAGTGAGAAGACTTGGGATGCAATTGCACATAACAGAGTCCACAGAAGGGTGTCACTTACTTTCTGCTGGCTTGAGCCAGCCATCACCAGAAGAAGCCACGGAATCTACAGCCGGCGATTCAATGACTGCTAGGCTTGCTAGGGAACACACCCCTCAATTCTGGCCCGCCTTGGCCTCACGCGCATACGAAACTGCTCTTAATTGAGCCAGTGGACCTGTCTTTCTGCAAACTTGACTCTGGCGGCCCCCAAAGCCTAGCTAGGTAGGTGTAATATGTAGGCTGTTCAGCAGCTTCAGCTCTACAAACAGGAGCACGGCTGACCTACCTAGCTGGGGCAAGGGGTACAAAGAAGCCAAACTTTTTTCGGAATTGTACGCAAGTCGGCGCTCGTCCAACAAAGGTGGGTACCGCGCAGACTGGACTTCAAGTACCGTTGCAAGCTAAGGTACCCACCACTGCACGGTCTCTGTACCGGGCCAGAGTGCTACCGGGGAGCCTCCGACCAACACTAAAAACCTAAATACAGTGACATAACCCTAACTAACACCCTAAGTCGTTCCGCCACGCCCACCCTAGCCCACCCTAACCCGCCCACCAACCCCACCAAAGTCACTCGGTTGTGCTCTATGAGCAGTGCCCGGTTAAAATACATGGCGTCGACGAGCATTCTATTCCCAAAAATGTTTGGCTTCTTTGTCCGTTTTGCCAAGCTGCCTGGGCTCGGGGCCGGATAGGGGCCGGATCTGCCACTCTGACTCCTGAGGCTGGAGCTGCAGACTGCAGTGCGGGCCTGGGCCGCAAGAGAGGCGCGCGGGCGCGTCAATTAGACACAAGGCATAGGTTATGTCAAACTTCATCAGCGTAGGTATGCGCAACTGTAGTCATAGCACACTACAGATCACGAAAATAGATTTCGCGAATTTGCCGAGGGATTTCCAAAGGTGGATCGGAATCTAGCGCATAATCGGGGTAAGCTCAGCCACACGTATCGAGGATTGGGTCTGGTTTGTGGCTCGGAAGCTCTTGGAAGGTGGAATCTGGTCGCATGTTCTTGGCTGGGAACTTCATTGTGAAGATTGTCAGATCGTGGCCGATAATTTGAGCTGGTTAAAGCTTGGATTTACTTGAGCCGCCAGGTTCATCAGCTGCCACGCAAATTGCTGAACATCCGGATTCTGACGGTTTCGCTTTTACCGATTACGTTCTTGTGATATACCGGTAAATTAAGTTTGAAAATTGATACCTATATATATAATAGTCCCCTATTAGTCATTGTGACCTACCTATAAGCTACTGTTTTGTGTAAGAGGACTGTATACTTGGTGGTTGGGCGGTCGTACCCCGCGCTGCGCAGTGCGTACCCGAGAAGAAACCGGGCCTGCCCTGTCTCGCAAGCAACCGGGTAACAAGCAGCTCCTGAGTCCTCCCTCTGACAGCAGGGTCTCGCAAGCAGACGGGTGACAACCGGGCACTTCCCAGTGACATTTGGGTCTGTCGGTCACATTACCCTAGGTTTCTAATGTTGTCCGGGGCCTCACATGTACAAGAATCCTCTACGGTACCTTATAGATATTAAACTTTATGGTTATTCCTTGTCTGAAGGTTAGTTCGCCGATTTAACCGGATCGCCGGTCGTCCGTACGGCTGATGTCAACGCCTTATACCTATGGTTTGTACCGGGCACCCTGTACCTAGTGTGTAGTAGGTATGTACCCTTGAGTCTTTTGGCGCATGGCGCTTGGTTTGACCAATGAAGTGGTCCTCCGAGACCACGTGGTCGGACAGGTAGGTACCTATGGTACTTGTAAGTTGTTGGTGAAGTCGTGATCGATTCGTCAACGCGCGGACGGACGGGTCACGGCAGCCTCCCGCCGCCCGGCCATTGCCGCTCTCCCGAATCCTCCCGGCAGAGTCCACCTTCGGGCCCCGGCCCCCGGCTGATCTGGGAACTTGTATTGCGCAAATACGTCCGTCAGATGGATTCGATATAAGGACCTCCCCCTCATCCGACGGCAAACAACAAGTGTCTCCACTTTCAAGCGCAAGCCTGCTATAGCTGTAGCTCAAGGTCAAAGTTGAAACACGACAACAACCTCCAAGAGCTCGGGAATCGGGGCACGGGCGGCGAAGAAGTCGGAAGTCTTCCTTCTTCCAAGCTTCTGTTTCTGACATTCGCTGATAATTCATCTGACCAGGTCGGTTGTTCGCGCGTGCGTCGGCAATCACCATGCAGTTGTATAGCTTCGCCAAGATGAACTGCCGGGCGTGTTTGGTCAGCAATCTGGGCCTGAGTCCGCAGTCCAGATCTGCCCGGAGAATAATGGCTTTGGTTGGGGAGGGGCCCCGACTGGATTCCAGAGACGGGGAAACTCGAAACATGGAACGCTCCCGGTGGAATCCCGGGACGGTTGGCTATTCGGAGTCTCCGTACTTTCTTGTACTTTCTCTGTACCTTCCCGGTGCCAATTGTACCAGTCGTTAGTAGGTACCTGGTACCTACTTGTTCCATGGCCCTACCTAGGTACTAGATCCGTACATCGTGCGATCAGCACCCCATCACCCCGGAACATGCGGAACTGGTCCGGAAAAAGCTACCGGGCCACCAGCTCTCCTGGTTTACCGTACTGATCCTGTGTCAAAGTTTAACAATCCAACTCTGTCGGAAACGCCGGAGTCTGGACTCTGTACGAGTCCGAAGCTGTTCGATCATGATTCATGAGATTATCCAACGACTCAAATTCCGTGATTCGAAACAGACTTGAATATGGTTAAGGTAGCCAGGTTTGGTGCCAAGAGTAGCCCGGTAGGCAATGGAAATCTATCCCCGGTTTTGGGCGACCCTCGTACATGGGTACTACCCGTACCAACACGCCGGTCATGGGTAAAATATTTCTATACTTTGAAATATTGTTTTATTCACTGTGCCCAGATCTACAATATATGGAAATTTTAATGTTTTATCTTTCACCTGTTTTGGTTGGTGAAAAAAGGGTTTCCTGCAAATATTCCAAATCTATTAAATTCTCAAAAGTCCAAAATGAGTTAGCCCACCCTTCAAAACATACGTAATCAATTGTTGGGCAAAGATCTGCCCAACCGGCGTGTTGGTACGGTAGTACAGGTCACATCGCTCAGGTCCGGTACTAGCGGGAAACGCCTTCTGGCAGGCCCCATAATCCGCTCGCGCTCAAGCACAAGCAGAGTGCAAACGACATCCTGTCAGAGCGCGTTTCAGTCAGCAGATTTCAGGTCTGGAGTCTGGACATGGCTGCGGGAATGATGCCGGAAGAGAGGTCGAGGCAAGCTAGTGGCTGAGCAATGTCTGCCACAAGCGTCCAGGCTGTCAGGTTTTGAGCTGAGGGTCTGGCGTCGTTGGGGTTTGCAGTGCTGGTGAAGTTGGTCGGAACCAGCTCCTTTGCGCCGCTTTTGGATGCCCCCTGTTTGGTGACTTTCGTCGAAGGGATGCTCTGGTAGAGGCAGAGCGTTGCGGAGGCAAGCCGCACAGGGAGGCACAACATCAGATCCCCTTGTTTGCGTTGTCAGGGTTTGCACCAGGTTCTGCTGCATCATCAAGCCTTAACTCAGATGGTATATCTGCGGTTGGGTTGAGTTGCAAACAACCGCTTGAAAGAGCACTTTGAGTAGGTTTGGCCCGCTTAATGCGCAATACAGAAACCAGGGCTGACTGTGATTGTCGTCAGGGGCGATTTGAGGCAGGAGAGGTCTGAAGGCAGAAGGTCTCAGGAGCATGCAGTTCTGCTGAGGCAGAAGCAAGCAAGATTCAGAGATTGTTGCTCAAGGTGAGACTGTGGAAACCTGCTGACGGGAATCCCTTATTGCTGCATCTGGTGTTCTGAAGCCTGCACATGGTTTCCCCTTGTTCCAGCTCAAGCCCCAGCGTCTCTGGCAGCACTCTGTATGATTTGGCCTGCTTCTAACCAGTATCCGGGATCGTATTGGTTTTAAGATTGCCTTTGCTCAGGCGCTAGTCTCAGGCAAATGACACTGGATTAGCTGAGCATCGGGTTTGCAATGATCGTCGAGCAGAATTTTTAGCTGTATCGTTATCATTGGGCCCTCCGCTGGAAGTTCTTGCACAAGATTCAGCTATTTTAACTCGACGGGTTTGCATTTCCTTGGTGGATCACAGAGTGGAAAAGTAAAAGCTGCCAACAGCCTTGGAAACTCAAGACGTATCGCATGCACGAGAGGGTGGAGCTCGTTGGAGTGACACTGCCACATGTTGGACGATGCCTTGGTCGCAGACAGCGACAGAAGCATCCCACACAGGTTGAAGAAGAGCTGGCTTTCTGCCTTGCAGGACATGGGCCATTGTGTGCCTGACTGGCATGGAGAGTTTGACTCGGTGTTTAAACCAATGGACATGCCAACAGTGTACAAGCAAACGGACATGGCAATGTCGAAGCAAGGCTTTGCAAGCAGCAAAGAGATGGCGAGCGCGGGGCTCGAGTGAGTTGCCTTTAGCAGATGCATGCTGCCTCCAAGATGCCTCTTCTGAATGCACGAGTGTTGGTGTAAGCTTAGGCTTGGGCTTTGTCACCAGGCAAGGTGCGGGTGGGGTCAGCAAGGTAGCAGTGCAAGTACAGTTTGACAGGGCAGCATCTCTGTCAGAAAGGGAGATTTGTTGTCTTCTGCTGGGGTACATTTTTGCTCGCTATTCTGGAGGGGGGGCGCCTGAGGCGTGGTGGACTTGGGTCAGCAGTGCAAGTACTGCGGGTAGTATTGTGGAGTAATACCGGGCCGTTTAGGGAAGAGGTTGGGCAAGAGGTTGCCACCGCCCTTCGAGTACATCCTGCAAGGGTATTAGTTGCCCTCATGTCATATGCCCCTGCATTGTGGGGTTGAGCAGAGGACAATCTGGACCATTTTGCGGAGCTACCTCCTCCGCCTCTCTGGCCCTGCATTCCTCAGGTTTACCGCATCGTCGAGCTTGTTCTGAAGTAGTAGGAGAGTGTCTGCATTGGCATATTGCTGGTTTTTCCCAGGGTAGGGAATGAATCTGTTAGGGAACAAAGCAGAAGAGGAGCCTGGTTGAACTCGGCAGAACACCCTCTAATCACCTTGTGTACACTTGCGTCTGCAGTCCTCTCTCCGATTTTGGCGACCTGGCCGGATGGCAGGAGCATGGCGGGATGATAGAATGCACAAAGGGGCTGTGGACTGAGCACATGGATGGCGATGGTATTGCACCTGAGCTCAGAATGGGGGCCCTGGAGGAGGAGATGAACCAGCAAGAGCAGCATGGGAACAGTGCGCTTGCAGCGCAGCAAGCAAAGGAGGCGCACGACGAAATGGAGTCGTGGCTGCAGGTAACCTTCTGGTCTGGTGATTGCTTTTCTGCCCTGCTGTTCTGCATCATGCTGCATAGCTTGCAGTTGCTTGGAGGCTGTGGCCAAGGGAAGGGTTTGCGCACAGTCTGCTTAAGCACATTGGACTAGAGCTGTGCAAAGTCTACCTCCTGCTTCAACGATATTCCTGTTGTGCCAGAAGCACAGTCGTTGATCCTGCATTCCTGCCCTTGTTATTGAGTTGCTTGGTACCTTCATATTGCTCTTGGTTGCTCTAGGGGTAACAGGTTACGCTGGTCCTGAGGCTGTCTTGTGCACCTTCCTTCGCAAGCAGTCTTCCTAACTATTCGCTTTCTTGCTCTGCAGTATCCTGCTGACGAGTCCATGGACACAGACTACTGCGGGGAGGGTTTTGGTAACCTGCCCGCCCAACCTGTTGCGGTCCAGGCCTACAAGGACAGCTTTGCTTCTGGTCTGACCACTACCCGGTTCGTCCGTGCCAACCCCTTTGGCACCCAGCCTGCGCAAAACGGGGGTCAAACGTCTGCCCGCGCTGCCAACTCAGCAGCCGCGCTCGCCGAAGGCGCTGCTAGGGTTTCAGGGCTTTTGCCAAGCTCCCTCCCAGAGGCCCTGTCCCGGGTGCGTACGCAGGCCCAGAGCACTCCTTGGGTCACCGCCCCGGCCTCTACAGGGCCCACGGCCTCCACTCGGAGCATGCCTGCCAGCGAGAAAGGGGCGCCGGTCGCATCCCAGGGGGGGGGTGTCAGCATGGCTTTGCCCACCCCCCTCCCAAGGCAGCAGGTGTACCCATCCATCTTTGACAGGAGTCGGGTAGCGGCAGCTGCTACAAGAGTTGGGGCGGGGACCAAGTTGAAAGCTAAGGAGTCGAAGAAAACGGCGCAGTTGAAGCCAGAGCAGCCGGAGGGAGGGTCTCCGAAACCTGGGGCGACGGAGGGCGCCCCACAGCAAGGACGGGAAACAGGGTTCTGCAGGGTCGCAGAACCCGCAAAACTCTGGGGGGTCTCAGAACCAGGGCGGGTTGAAAAGCCAGGGGGTCGCGCCAAACCAGGGGAGTGAGCAAAGCCTCCCTTCCCCTAAAAGCATGGTGACTGATGGTAAAGGAAGGGTTTCCAGCAACCCCCTGCAGCGTGCGGGGAGTGGCAGCGGGGAGCTCAGCGTGGGCCAGCCAGAGAGAAACGCGCCGCCGGCGCACCGATTTGGGGGGGACAAGAGCCTGGAGGAGCGGCAGAAGGAGCTCCAGGCGGAACTGGTGCAGAAGCAGGCAGAGGCGTCGGCGCACTTGCAGCGGCAGCAGCTGATGAGGGACCAGCAGCACCGGCATGACATGCAGCGCTGGGGCCGGGGGCAAATTTCGCCCGTTCAGCTGCCCCCCGACAGGCCCCGCACCGGTTTCAAGCAGATTCAGCCCAAGCCCGCTGAGGGAGCGCTGTACGAGGCTGGGAAAGGGGTGCCGTGCTACCCTCCCCAATCATTCATGCAGCAGCATGCTATGGCAGCAGAGGCAATGCGGTTGGGGCGGCAGTCAATGGATGCTGGGCCGTCCGGGCAGGAGGGTTCGGTCGTGCTCAGCAGTTTGTCACAGGAGCGGACGAACGGCCCTGCGCCAGGAGCAACACATGTGCCCAGTGTCAGGGCGCCCGCCTGGGCTTCGCTTCTGCAGCGGGGGCCAGTTCCTCACAGCCCGGTTGTTGCTCCCAGGGGGGGGAGGGTAGGAAAGGAGCGCAGCTCGTCGGGCTCGAGGGCCCTGCCGGATGCTGCCAAGGCGTCGACGCTCACGGGTGGGCGGGACTCAGTGAATGAAACCACGGTGACTAGCAGTTACTCGGAGGGGGACTCGCTGGCCACCTCGCGGGCGTACCAGCAGAACCCGCTGACCGTTGGGCGGAAACGCGAGCGGTGCGCAAAGAGCGATACAGAGGCGTTGGAGGAGGACAATGACACGCTGACAGAGGGAACGTGGATCACGGGCGAGACGGAGGGGCGGGCGGCAGCCAAGGCGGGGGGCAAAGATAAGGGTAAGCGGTCCCGGGCAGCGGAGGTGCACAACCAGTCGGAGCGCCGGCGGCGGGATCGTATCAACGACCGCATGCGCGCGCTGCAGGAGCTGATTCCCAACTCGAACAAGACGGACAAGGCCAGTGTGCTGGATGAGGCGATTGAGTACCTCAAGAATCTGCAGACACAGTTGCAGGTGAGCGTCGATCAGAAAGTCTTCCAAGGTTCAGCTGGTTAGCTGTGCGCTGGCTCTTCCTGTGTTCCTGCTTCATGTTCTGCTACTTCTGCTTTGCATTGCAGTCAGGTCAGTGCGTGCTCCTTGAGCTTGAGCTGCTCCCCAGCTTGTGCACTGATGCACACTGTTGTCAGCACCTTGCTGGTTTCGGGCAGAATGTGAGGCATCAATCACTTCCAATCTGACCAAAGTGCTTGCTTCTTGCAGTTCATGTCCATGCGGACTGGCCTGTTTGCTGCAAACCTTCCCCCCGGCGCGCCCCACCCCCCCGCCCCCCCTGGCATGCCGGGCTTCTCCCTGCCACCCATGCACCCCCCCAGCGCGCACTTACCCCCCATGCCGTCGATGCATCCACCCTTGGGCATGCACTCCATGCCGTTCTTGGACCACCCCATGTTTGCGAACAGTCCTATGATGCAGCACGAGGAGGGGGCGGAGATGAAACCTGGGAGGCCTTACGGGGACAGCAACCGTGAAATGTACAATGCTCAGGAGCAGCAAAGAGAAGCGGGGCCTTTCCATCCGAGGTTGGATTTGTACGAGGGGTACCAGGGACATGGGCACCCCTCGCAGCAACCTTCGCCCCGTTTTGACCAAGGGGGTCGGCAGTAGATTGAGATGCAATCTTGTCCCAACAGTTTCGTTGTGTACCAGTATTTCGTTTGGGGAATGTCTGGGGGTTTTCCGGCCATTCCCATTGAGCAGATTTAGCTCTTGGAGAAAATTTTGCTTTCTCTAGGTGGCGTCCGCAATAAAGACTGTCTCAAATTTGTCAGCGTTATAGATTGCTGCAAGATCGAAAATGGCATTTCAGGGGTAAAATGGCTCCTGAAACGAACCAATAGAGGTTTTCTGTTTACGTGTTCTTTCAAAAACCAGGTTGAAACATTCATAGATTCCGGCCAGATTGTTGAGTTTATGGGCGGTCTGGAAGCTACAGTGATTTAGTCTCGTGCAATTTGTGATCATAATATTCCCGTCTCAGTTTCCCGTCTCAGTCTCAGCACCAATCCCAAATTGGCCAGATCGGACTTGGATCTAGATTTTTGATTGAGTGCATGATTAGTACGCATTTGTAGAGCAGATGCTTGCGCTCCGAAGAAAGTTTGCATGGCGCTGCGTTGCATATACGTGCTGGCATGCATTGACATCTTTCCTGAAGCTCACTTCATCAATGGATGAAAAGTGTCCATATTAAAAGCGACTCAAGGATCTCACGGCTGCTTGATTAGAAAAGTCCAACCAAGTATGATTGTAGAGTGCACATGCATGATATACCGTCATACTAAGATATGCATGGCATGATACATCGATCAATGACCGGCCCCAAGCTCGACCAAAGTTCTGTGCAGGCATGGCGGCCATATATGACTCGGAGCGTGTCATAAGTTGATGCATGTGTCAGTACGTGCTGGCATGCATGTGAGGTGTACCGTCTACTTATTTTGCATGAGAGTCGAAAGATCCTTCAGTACATTTTCGTCAATGGTGCACCGTGGCGGTTGCAGACGTAGTTCAGTAAAAATCAATGCAAATGCACTGCATGAAGCAGACTTGACGATGCATGGGTTTCATATCATCTCATGTGCATCAGTGAACCAATACATGAAGTAGATGCATGCCAGTAGAGCAGATTGTTGCTGGGACAGGACGGAACGGCGACAAAAGTATACTTGACGGTCCACGAATGAGCACGCATACGTCTGCCAAAGAATTCCATGCCTCATCATAATCTAGAAGCTTGCTGAGGCTGCTATTCTTTCAAACTCAAGTGGAGTTTTAGGCCTGAGGACGATTAGGACATAGATATGTTGCCGTGAAGGATGCGCGAACCTCCAGCATCTGGTTTTGCCTGTGGCGCTAATACAGAGCTCGCATGCGCATACCCCATGTACGAGCACTTCAATTGATTCTATAGGCTGCAAAGACCGGGCCTTTCTGCAGGCTCGTATGACGGGGAAATGAACGTGCTTATGCTGGCGCTCGTGTGAAATGGTCGTCAGCAAACCCTTCGAGCATATACACTCCTGAATCTCGAAGCCTTTACTAGTTACTGCAGTCAGGACGCAGCCCTCGACTTTCTGCTCTGTGATTCTTGGTCCTCTTCGTGGCTCCTCGGACAATTCTTCTGGGTACGGCCTCGAGGATCTCAAAAGGTCCTTTTTTAAGGCGCAGGCCAATAGATAATCACTTGCAGATCGGCGCAAGTTCAAGCAACAAGTTTGCAGCATGTAACATCGATGCAACAGGAGTGTTCAAAGTCAAATATGGCTAGGTATTTGCACGTATTTCGAATGTTGCGTATATCCACGGCGGCGTGTCTCTTCTTGGCCACGTATTAGCTATTGCACACGTACACAAATTACGCATGATATTCACCCTTGGGTTCCAAGGTGTTATGTTTGAAACCTGTATTACGGTCGATATTCAGCAACTTGATGATCAAAATCGGTTGACAGCACCCAAACGTATAATGCCATGCTACCATGTGTCACCTTCTTATGCGCGGGCTCGCCAGCGGATTCATCCCACGCCCTCATTCAAGAAGCTTCCAAGCACCGTTGACCGAATTGACACTTTCAAAAGAGACAGGTTTCTGTCATCTGCGCACAAGTCCACACCGCGACCCCTGGCTGCTGCTAGATGAAGAGCTCGATGCCAATCGGACGGCTGGGGACGCTCCCCGGAGATGCGACGGCGGGAACATGGCGAACTGTGACAAGCCGCCCCGCATCGGCCCGCCGCTGCAGCAGCAGAACCAAAAAGAGATGATAAGATCCATTTGCTTCAATCACTGCAGGTGGACAAGCCTCGTTTGTAAACGGACGCAGAGTCGGACGCGTCAAGAGGCGGTCATGACGCCGAAGTTTGGTGACTTTGGGCTTGTGGAGTGAGCATGGAAACACCTAGGGAACAGAATAAAGTCCTGTTGAGGTCCTCGAGGGGGTGTCTGTAGCCTTGTGCTTCAGGGAAGTCCAACAGGTGAAGCGTTTTGAGGGAACAGCACTGCTTCCATCGCCTGAGGCTCCAAGCACTCTGTCAAGGACTGATGCGCCGTTAATTTGATCAGTTTCTGGATGAATGTCCTGCATAGTGGCTTGAGACTGCTTCTACGACGAGAAGCTCGTTCGATCGTTTGCTCGGAAACCTGTGTTTAACGACTGCGGGGTCACTCTAGAACGCTATCCGACAAGCAAACTAACACTGAAGACCGTTACGCTAAATTGGTTTTGACAAACTCCGCAAGCAAGTCCACTACGGCTTCAATTAAAGAAGAAAAAGTTGTAAAGAGATCAGAACTGCGCGCTCAAACGATGTCACAACGTCTTTGGCTTCTTTCCGAATGTTTCAAATACGGTTAAGGTCCGTAAGTAAGGGCGCAAGCGATTGATAGAGCTCTGAATTTTCGTGTTGCCTTGCGTACGAAGGAATCTTTTGGAAAATCACTGTCAAAGGGAATCTAAGAATTGGCGCTACCTGGGACCACCCGCAGCAGGCATCCCCGGGTGGACTCCCTCTCTCCGGGGGATATCGTCCAGCGTCAAAGTCTGCCCCCCGCTCCGTGGCCACCAGCTGACTTCCGGGGCTTCTCTCGGTTCCAGAACCCCTTCCACCTCGTCGGCCATCTGCTCCCCTTTCTTGCGCGCGCACTTTCTGGGCGCGGCCGGCCGCGCGGGCGCCCAGAGCGCGCTCGGGCCGACGACGTCCTTTTCGTACTCAGAGAGCCGAACGTCGTAGTTCGCGGAGTAGGGGGGTCGGATTCCCCCGCGCTCGGACCCCCCGGCTGTGTTTTCCGAACCGCTGACAGAAGCTCGGTCGCCCGTTCTTTGCTTCGTATCGAAGCGCGGCCCCTCAGCAAACCGTTCGCCGCTCTCTCTAGTTTCTCCAACCCTGCTTCGACCATTTGCGTCGACAGCCCTCAGATGGCCCCTCCTCTCTTCGACGTTGGAAGTTTTCCGCCCAGTGACTTCCCCCGCGTTCGAAAGTTCGTCGAAAGTGCCGTCGCCTAGTTTCTCCAGCTGGTCGAGGACCTCGCCCATCCAGGGACGCTTCGCGCGGTGGCCGCGCACGCACGCTAACGCCAGCGCGGCCAGCCTGACGTAAGCAGCGCGCGGCCAGGCGGCCTCCGTATCGGCGTGCGAAAACGCCACGTCATCATTCTGGGACATGGACGAACATAAGAAAAGGAGTTGGTGCAAGGCGGACACGAGTGCTGGAAAGACGTGTTCCGCAACGGGATGACTTCTGAGAAGAGGGTGATCAGGCCGATAGAAACCTTTGAGAACGGCCGAAAGTAAGGGCACAACTTTCTCCATATATTCTGCAGGAAGCAGGCTGTACCCTTTCAAGCGTCTCTCCACCATCGCAGTCTCTCCGCTAAAAGGCACGCTCCGTCAGCAACCCTCTTCGTTGCAAAGCCCTCGTCATCATTGCGTCATCCTGAGCTTCCGAAACGGGTCGACCATCTTTCCAGATCTTCCTTTTCTTCTTTCCCACGCAGACTTTCTCAGCCGAGAATCCACACCGAATCCAAGCAAAAGACCTCACAGACTCCAAGTGAGGTCACCAACGGCCATACCTGCAAATCTTTCTTCATCGCCGCTGCGAGCGTGGCCCCCTCTTCCGTGATCGCCGGCAGCCCCGTGAGCATTTGCAGGCACACCACGCCGAAGCTGTATACGTCACAGCGTGCGTCATAGTGGCCCGTGCTGGCGTAGTCGGGGCAGATGTACCCGTACGTGCCCGCCATGTGGCGCGTGCTCGCGTGCGTCTTGCTGGGGTGCGCGAGCGCGGCCTGGCGGGCCAGCCCGAAGTCGCCCACTTTGGCGTTGAAGAACTCGTCCAGCAGAATGTTGGACCCCTGCAGGAAAAAGCGTTAGGCAAAGTAAGGACTCAAGCATCGAAAGTTTTGAATAGGCTCTGCTCTCATATAGGAGAGAGATACGGCTTTGACTGAGTCGGGGCTCCGCTTACAGAGCGGGGGGAATATCAAGTGAGATCACTTTGACGTGCTTTGGGCCGCCCAAAAGTGTAAAAGGCATGGTCTCGCCATCGCCCATAGACACTGCTCTTCAGTCGCACCCGCGGAAAAGAGACCTTCGTCGTTCCCATGGCTACAGAAATATCAACTTGAAATTAGTGGTAAATCCAACATTAATCTCGTACTTATGATTGACTGGCTTAACTTGCTTCAGCGGCTTCCAACAATCTTCTGCCTCTCAACGACCCCACTTTGCAGAATGATCAACAAAACGTCGAGTACGCATGTTACCTCCAGCTTAAGGGTGAAACACAGTCAGTGTCTCAAAGCTTCCGCCACCGGACCCCCCCTCACCTTGAAATCTAGGTGCACAACAGGGGGCTTCGCCTCGTGCAAGAACTGCAGCCCCCGTGCTGCCCCCACCAAAACCTTCACCCTCTGCCGCCATCCCATCAACCCCCTCCGCTTCATACCGCCAATCGCTCCCCCCCCAGAAAAGGTAAACGGCAGGTAATCATCCGCACTTCCCCCCTTCATCAACTCATAAACTAAACATCGCTGCCCCCCCGGACCGATGGCGCCCCCCAGAAGTGTGACGAGGTTTGGGTGGCGGAGCGCGGTTAGCAGGCGGACTTCGGACTCAAATTGGGCTACCCCCTGAGAGCTGTCCTTGCTCAGGAGCTTCACCGCAACGGGCGTGTGGAAAAGGGTGCCCTGAAAATAGCAGCGGTTGAGAGATTGGATTTTTGTCGAAGGGTGGGCACAGCAGTCGGGTGAAAAAGATGGTAGAGGTAATGGTGAAAGGCACAGTTGGCGGAATGGTGTCGTCTGACATTGGGGATGATGAGGAAACTTACAACTCCCAATCATGAAGCAGGGATTGAACGAATGAGGACTTGAAAAACACTTGAGGAACACTTCAAAGTAGAACACGAGTGTCCGCTTTCTCTTGAGTAGCTCGTGGAGACTCCTGAGGGTGCGTTCTCGGCAGACCTCGCACGGACCACAGGTGTCAGCTAGCTCATTCTGAGTCATTTCGGACACTCCGAAGGACAGTCACATCGTTGTCGGGCGTCCGAGGGGAGCCCACCTGGTACACCGGTCCGAACCCGCCGTTACCAATCTGCTGCGACGGCGCAAAGTTGTTGGTGGCTCTGCGCACTGCCTCGTAGTCCAGCACCACTTTCAAGCTAGCACTGTGCAAAGCCATCTTCGATAACGAACAATACAATCAAAGACCGAGATCTTGTCGATGATTCTCGAGAGTAGGAACACCTTCGTGGCTTTCGAGCTAACAGCTCGATACTGCAATCTTGAGACTGTAAGGAAGGATTCTGTTGCTTAAACTTCCCAGCAACCTTGGTTCAAGATGTCTTTGTTCCTGGAAAGACGTTGTACCAACAGGGATGATCTCCTTGATGGCGGCCAGTCTGCAAATTGTGCAATGCTGCCCACAGGGGATTGATTAGTTCCAACGTCATTAAGGACCCTAAGCATTACGCTTGGAATCGTTCCCAGGACCGTTGTCAATGTCCGATGATCTCGCGAGCGTGTGGTCCCAAGTAAGACGCCATGCAATGCATGCTGTTCTCAAGCTCTGCCTCAGCCTGATAATTGGCCTGGGACATTGGACCATGATTTTGGGGGCCCTGCAATCAAAACAGCAAGCAAAATTGCCGGTTCCTGCAGGCTTATTGAAGAATCTCTCGGATGATATTAAAGATTGAAGAGCTTGACAGCCTTGTTGCGAAACCTGCAATCAAGATAACTAGAAGCAAGCCACGTCGCGGTACAGTAAGATGATGATTACGGCAGTCTCCTAGGACTACCTATCTGAGGCTGCTTGAGCGGCACTGGTCATGAGTCATGACATGATTGTTAAAATCAACCGCTGCACTCGGTCTTAGCGCGCGCGCTCTAAGGATCGGACGGTGCTGAGAGTATCTGTCCCAAAGGCACCGGGAAGCAGCGCAACCCAAAGATTGGCATATGGCTGCATGGTCGCCTGCGTTGACGCGAATAGGGGCGAATGAAACACAGCATTGCGTCTTTCGTATGCGTATCAATCATTCAATGTACCCTGCTTTGGAGTAGGTAGAAGGGCGTTTGGAACCGGTCTTTGATCTGGGCGAATGTCATTAATTGTCAGGTCGGGTGTTGGCAGCTTGCCTTTGTTTGGCGTTGGAATCAGAATCTTGCGCACACGTCCCGCTTCTGCCAGTATTTGCCACGTTTGGACCCGATTGGGCAGCTCAAAAACCTCTCACCGCATATCCTTTCAGCGAGCATACTTTACAAGCAAGGCTGTACAAGCATTGCTCGGCTCGTCTTTTCACACCACCACCATTTTGTCGCGACTTAACTCTGCGCAACAGCCCCCATCCAGAATGGTGTACATTGAGAGAGGCCAGGTGTTCCCGGAGAAGCCCAAAGTGCCAGCTGGCGATGGGGGCTCTGACAGGTAGTTCTGAATGTCTTTCCAGTGACTAAGCATTGTTGCAATTCATGGGCTGTCTGCAATGTGTATCACTTTGTTTTAGCTCCTGATAATACGTGTTTTTCTACATGTTCACCCTTATTGACGGACGTGTACAAATCGCTCTCTTCATAGCATCTGCAATTGACGGACAGAAGTGAGGTAGGCAGCATGCTTGCGTGTGCAAGAAGTCCTCGGAGGTCGATCTTCAATGCCGTAGATAAAGAACCGGAAGTAAACCCTGTTGCCTCCCAGTTCCCCCGACTATTACTCTATCAAAATTGCGAAGCATGCTGCCTTGGGTGAAATGTCAGTGCAGCGAACCCCAAATTTCAACACCCCCCCCTGTAGCCAGAACCATGTCCAGAACACCCCCTCATACATTTCAGAAAGATCTGGAAAGACAATCATTCAATTCCTGAGCTTGGCAGAAGGCATGTATTCAGCTTGGGATTTTGGGTAGATTGTCCAGTCAAGAAACACTGGCTCATCAGACCGACATGCGCCGCCCTTCTCATCTGAGGTCAAGAAAACCACAGCACTATCCTGAAAGAAGCTGCTTTCCAACAAACTGGGACATTGTTTCCTATGCGTGCAGCTCTGAAATCAAGCCCACTGTGTTCAAGTCCTGGGTAAGGCGGAATCCGAGTGGCCCCTCCGATCTGCCGGCAGAGGCTGGACGATACCACCTTTTGGTTTCCCTGGCGTGTCCCTTTTCTCATAGGGCAATCATCATGCGCTCTCTCAAAGGTCTGCAGGTGAGGCGTATGTCCAGCACGGTTATTTTTGTGCTTCTGGGTCTGTTTTTCCTTTTAGGTTTCCTCGCTCCTTGTTCTTTCTTTCAGTACCAGTTGTCTAATGCATGCGACTTCTTGTTCCCCCCCTCCCTTTGTCTACATGTTACCCTATCTCAATTGCTTCAAAACATTGCATTTTCGCCTATAGATTCTGCTCATGTGACATGCATGGCTCTGACCAGTCTGTGCCCACCCAAGGATTGACTTTTTAGAAAAGAAACGATAAGAAAGGCAGCAGAGGGATCCCCCTCTTACTGGGGCTAAAGCAGAACACAGTCAGTGCCAACGAGGAAGTCCTAATTGGAGCGCTGACCACGGAGATGATTGCGCATCTACGACTCAATCATAAGTACACACGTTATACAAACAACAGGTCCCAACTGAAAACCAGATGCGCCGACATACTGAAAAGATGTCAACAAGTCTGAATGGCAATCTTCCCTTGAATACGATTCTCATAAAGGATACACAAAGTAGCCAAGCCCTAAACTCCAGTGGTATCAGGGAGCAGGATCCCTTGATCGTACACAAGTTGACCAAAAATCGTCGAGACAATCTTGTCACTGCTTCAGCCAGAGCCAATCCAGTAGAATATCAGCCCCGAATTCTTTACAGTCCTGAAGGCTTCTAGCCACCCAAATCGATGGCACCTACCTATCACACTTGGATTCTCCTTCTCGACGCACTTTTCCTCACCTCCCAAACCCCGATATTTCAAAACGCAAATCTCTAGCATCCTTAAACCGAATGTTAACCCGTTAATACGCCCCCTTCTTCCCAGGCCGCTGTCCCAATGACTGTTCTGCACCCTTTGAAGGACAACCCCAAGGGGTGGCACTTTGTCGGGCCAGAAGGCGACGAGCGCTACCCCGAGTGTCGTCCGGACACAATCGGACTGGACGCCCGTTTCCTTACGGACGTCTACCTGGCTTCGGACAAGGACTACACGGGGAGAGTGTCCGTACCAGTGCTCTGGGTGAGAAGTGCTCTCGGGTTTCCGAGTTTCGATGGCCTTATTCAAGAGCTAAAATTGGGCCGTAGCTTGTGAGACGTGGTCCTGTTAGAAAGGGAAGAAAGTAGAGTTGGGTTGTTGTTTTCGGCCCGTTTCAAAGTAGAAAGAGAGAACTGTGGCTTTTGAGGGACGGCCCTGATCGGAGTCAAAAAGATTGGACATGTGGGGAAAGGAACGTGCCTTTCTTTGGGGTATCGTAACTCAAAAGTCACCTCAATCTGTTGATGGGCGCTAGTGCCTGGATCTGGACGAAAATGCGGCTTTCGCAGAAAGTCCTGACGCCTTTTCTGGGGTCCTCCGTGGCCAGAGTGGCCGTTCACGGACGCGAGAGAAAAGTCGCATTGCGGGGACTATTCTTCTGCACTTCCCCTTTTGGGGTGACATCGCCCTTTCGGTGCATTCAGCATTCCCTTATCGTCGAATGCTTGGCAAAGCGTATGTGCATCTTGCAAGAGTTTTCCCGTTTCTATCTCTCTCCTCAACGTGACTCTTCCAGATATTTGTTGTCCGAATTGGGTTGTTCTTGTCTTGCCGAGCCGCCCGAAATTTGTAGTGACGATTGAAGGAACCAATCCGGCCTGCGTTTTAAAAGACACTTTCACGATTCCCCTCCTCAGCTTTTTGTCCTCTTGTTGCAGGATACTAAAACTGGTAGGGTCGTCAGCAACGAGAGCGGCGACATTTCCGAGATGCTCAACAGCGAGTTCGAGGAGCACGCAAAGGGCGTCCCGGTTCCCGACTACTACCCGCCCCATCTCCGATCGGAGATTGACGCCATAAGCGACTGGCTCGGCCCGGAGCTGAACATGGGCGTATACCGGACGGGCTTTGCAACGACCCAGGTATGACGCTTCACGATACAGCTGGCACGTTCTTTGAGTTCGTCCACGACTTCGTTATTCGTCCTCGTTGACTTCTGTTGGGCGTCTAAAGCTCAATGAAAAGCATGACGTTTTGTTTTGCAGGGAGAACCACGCTTTCTCCCCACGTTCTTGGCATGTTGAGAAGGTGACCGCACTTGGTCTTGGACTGCTTGGAGCCTTTATTTAGATTGATCCAGCTTTCTGGGAGCTTGGTTGCAGTTCAGGCAGCCGTGGACCAAAAGAAACGGAGGTTGCTGGTTTTGGGCCACACTGCGAAGTCCGTATCAAGTTCTGCTATCATGGGCCGTTTTCGTAATAGCGGGACTCGGTAATTCAATACGTACGAAGAGAGGAATATGTGCGAAGAGAGGAGTCTCCAGCACAGGGATCCAACCTCATTGGACTAACTCAAGAAGTCAACTTGCTTTGTCCTAGTCGTGTCCCCACAATCCGGCTCCTGTTTGAATCCCCCTTGCAAATCTCAGGTAAACATCCTAAAGCTCGTTATCCTAACCCCTTGACCCTAATCGAACCTTCCTTCGCTTACCCCCCAGGAAGACTACGAGGCCGCGTGCCGCCGCGTGTTTGCTGCGCTTGACCGGTGCGAATCAATTTTGGCGAAGCAGCGTTACTTGGTCTCATACTACCCCCCCGGCGCGAGCGTGCCTTCTCCGACGCTTGCGGACGTCCGTTTGTTCGCGACGCTCATCCGGTTCGACATCGTCTACTACGGACTGTTCAAGTGCATGCTACGGCGGATCGCGGACTACCCCAACCTGCAAACATACATGGAGGTGCGCCCACTTCGGCCAATTGAAACGGTTGTTGGTTACTGCTTAGTCAGTGGACAGATTCACTCCTTTCTTGGATGGTTGCAAGCAGAGTAACTGTTCTCTACTAAGGCGCGCATGTGTTTCTTCATCTGTCGGCAGCTTCGAGATGGGAAGGCAGGATGCCAACGTACGCTATAGAAGTCCCAGTGATGAGACATGGATTTCCATTTCACGAGAGAGATCTGCGCGTCCAGGTCTGCCGTGCGGTTAAAGGCATTTACAGTCGCAGACCTCTCGGTTTTATCAATCTTAGGTTGACATTTTCATCCCACTTACTGCGCCTGTTGTCAGTCCACAAAGTTTCCCTGCTGAGTGAGCTGACATATCCCATGAACTGCCCATCGTGCTCGCTAAGATGATGTCGTCTTTCGTATTACGGTTCAGAGGTCTAGATATGACTCGCAGAACACTGTGTTCCTGGTTACGTACGGTCGATTAGTTGGCCAAAACTTTCCCGCTCGCCGTCGAAGCGCATCCCTACATCTTGTCATTGCGCACTTCTCGTGTGCGTCCCCGCCCTTTATGGCGACCACTTACGCGCTCTTCAGCCATTTCAGTCGCCCTTCCCAACCCCTGCCCTGATCTACCTACAGGACCTCTACTCCAACCCCTCGGTGGCGACCACCGTCTCCTTCCCGCACATCAAAGACTCGTACTACTTCACTTTTGTCGCCCAGAATCCGGCCCAGCTCGTTCCCCGCGGGGGGGCGCCGTTCACCCCTGAGGTCAGCTTCTGCCGGCGCAAGCTAGGCGTCCGAGACTCCGCTCAGCCTCAAGGTGAGTGTCCGAGCGTCCGCTCTCATTCTGAATGTTAACCCCAAAAAGTTTGAAACCTTAAACTTTGGAACCGAGTATACTAGAACCTTGAACCCTGAAGCTTTGGAATTTACAATCTGGAAGATTCTGAAGGGCAACCAAGCGCAACTTCTAGAATTTCGATACAAAGGGACAGTATCATGAGTTGCAGAGCAAACCCTTCAGGATCCACTCCGACTCGGATGCCTCCCTGAGTATGGATGCAGGCATCCTTTGGCAAAGGTACCTAAAGCCTTCCTCTAACTTACGATTTTCGGTACTCAGAAGCCTTCCTTTGTATCTGCACTTGACAAACACGTCTACGTATCATATCAGCCAGCATTTTAAGCCGACGCTTTCGGGCCACTTGTTTGAGATTGCTGAACACTGCAAGTTTTCAAAATAATCATCACTTTCCCGAACCAGAGTCCAACGGCTCGCCAGCGGCCGCCGAAGCGTCGGCGTCCGGAGGCGCCTACTCGCACGGCGCATTTGTACGCCCGGATAGCAAGCTCCGGAACTGGATCACTGCGGACGGGTCGTCCGGTTTCAAGGCTGAGGCGGGGCGGTATCACCTGTACATTGCGAACAACTGCCCTTGGTGCCACAGGTCAGAATAGAGAATTCTTGAATTGTGCTGAAAATGTTTTTGTTTCAACGGTTGGAGGATGTCAAACCAGGTTGCGGGATGTTTGCGTTTCGCTTCGTTTTGGAAGGAGTTTGTAGTTTGAGACTCATCTTCGGTAGTTGGGTATGATCATGGGTTTTGGCTCAGGAGTCTGACACGCGCACTTCGCAGCAGTTCGTCTTGAAACCTTGAACCAGGTCAAAAATCTCATTTTCCCGGTAGCTCATCTCTACTTCGCCACCGCTTTCTATCTCATTCCCCCTCCACGGACGCGACATTGCACTTGAAGCTCTTTGGCAGGGACCATACTCGCGCATGCTCGGCCTTGTGCTCGCCGCCGAAAGCGCCACATCAAGCATTTGTGACGATTTAATGGGGTCAGGTCCTGAACCGCCGGTATTGCCCTGCAAAGCTTACCTAAATCGGAGAGACCGTTCTCGGCCGCCACGCTCCAAAAGCGAAAACCACCACCTAGTCCTACCATACTCATTTTTCCCTCACACCCAGATTTCCCCCTATCTCGACAGGTGCGTGCTGACGCGCGCGCTGCTGGGCCTGCATGACGTCATCTCGATGGACGTGCTGTTCTACCGGAGGGACCCCGACAAGGGCTGGGTCTTCAACCCAGGCGAACCGGGGTGCACCCCCGACACCGTCGCCGGCGGAATCGGCGGAATCCGGGAGCTGTACGCGCGCGCGGGATCGGCGGAAAAGTCGGTGCGTGCCCCAAGTCTACAAGAACTAGGTTGTTAAGATTCCATGCGGAGTCGGAAACTGAGTTTCAGTTGAAACGTGTTGTTGGTTGTCAGCTTTAGAGCAAGCCCGTGTCTGGATTCGCTTCTTGCGTACGCTCTGGTGCTGAGGGCATAAAGGGACTTCATAGTCTGCCAGCTTCTGTAGAGTGGGGCCTAGTGATTATTCTTGACGTATTCCCCCCTCATTTCCAAACCCTTTGCTCGGCGTTCGTATCGGACGTCTTTCAAAAGACTGGCGCCACAAATGGCCAGACATGTAGGCTTTGATCTGGTTCGCCGGAGTTCCTTCGTCAAATTGAAGCCCGATCGAAGTTGGTACTTCAAGCAAGACGCGACAATTGTCAAAAAGGTGTCATTGTCGATCAATCAATATCGGTGCCACATGAGCAAGACCGTTTTGTTGAGACGAAAGACAAAAGTGCACAAGCCCAAATTAGGAAACATTCCCATGCAGCTTATTCGCCTCGTTTGAGCAGGTTCCCGTGCTGTACGACAAGCAGACCGCCACGATCGTCAGCAACGAGTCCGCTGACATAATCCGCATGCTGGCGACCGAGTTCCGCGAATTTGCCGCGCCCAAGTCGCCGGAATTGGTCCCACACGATTTAATCCGTCGGATCGACGAAGTGAACGGCTGGATATACGACGCCATCAACAACGGCGCGTATAAGGCGGGGTTCGCAAAGGGGCAGGTCGCGTATGATAAGGCGTTCGACGAGTATTTCGAGGCGCTGGATCGGGTGGAGTGTCTTCTCGACAAACACAGGTGGGTGGCGTCTTGCAGAATTCAGAAAAATTTGACTTCTCGGATCAACTTTCCTTGGATAAGAGACTTTCTTGTGTTCTGTATAATCATTCAACCACTGATAGCTTTGTTGCTTCGTTTTCTGAAGATGAAGCTTTTACAACTTTTTGAAAACCACAAACGCTTCCGTTTACCTGTCCCGGTCGTAGCTAAAACATCTTGTGTCTCCTCTCCCCCTGCCTTTTGTACGGCAGACATTGAGCGAGACGGCAGACATAAGGCTCGCTCAGAGCAACAAATCCCTGAACCAGCAGAGGTTCCCAAAAGAACGAGCATCTCACAATTGTACCCCGCTTGTCCAAGGAAAGTGCTGTGCTTCAACCCCTCAAGCGATTGTCGAGAAGATCAAAAAAGGGCGAGAAAATGGACGGTGATTTCTGAGCAACACGCAGAAAGGAAGAGGCTACTGGCATCCCCAAAATGGGCATGTAAACGAACAACCAGAAATGGAGGATTTTTTTTTAAAGCCGGGCAACTTCTTGCTGCTCAAGACTTTGAACACAATCCTTGCACTCTGCGGAAAGCCTACCTCCGAGCAGATACATCGTCCAGAAAACGAAGACGTGTCTCATCTGCCGCGCAGGTACTTGCTGGGCGAGACGCTGACGGAGGCTGACGTCCGGCTGTTCCCGACACTGTTCCGGCACGACCACGTGTACTTCGTCCGCTTCAAGGTGAACAAGGCCATGCTCGCGGACAGCTACCCCAACACGCTGGTGAGACGCGCCGCCACGTGGCAGGCTTTCTCTTGCATGCAAGGCCCCCGATTTGCGGCGGAGTATAAGTCAGCCAATTGTTCTGTTTCAAGGGGCACGTGGCGTCGTTGTCAAGGGGCACTGTCGTAGTTGTTGCTGATCAGAATTGCGACATTCGGACCGTTCGATCGATGAAATTGACGTCGACAAACTAATGACGCGTCGACCCACAAGCTCCCCCGTTCCCCGGCAGCTTTATAAGCGGTCGCTCCGTGCCAAGACTGGCATCTTTGCGCTTGGGGCAATGACGCAGTCAGTAAGGGTTTACCGAGACGCGTCTATTGCTGGTTGAAAACTATATTCCAAACCCCCTTATCCATGACCCTCGGGTCGGGATAAGACTTTCTGAAAAGCTGACCTGGAAAGGACTCGGCCTACACACCCCCCCTCCCTACGTTAACACCCCCTCACACGTCGCTCCCCACAACGCACTTCCTACAAAACCCCCCAAACATTGCATGCACTCCCGCAACCTACACATTCCGCCCCAATCTTCGCCCGGCCGCACCTCATTCTCTGTCAAATCTGTCATTGACTCCACTTCTTTTCAAGGCCTGAATCTTCGACTCTGTCTGCAATTGCGGATGGGTCACCCCCGCCTCTCCCTCTCCCATGAAATCTTGCGAGTTGGCAACCAAGACCCTGCTGTTACTCTGTTAACCTTCCTTTCAGCTACTCCTACCTGCTTCTTCTACACATTATTCGAAAGCATTTGTTGCCGTGTCATTGAGCGCATGCTTCTCTTCCAATCGCAGCGGTGGCTGCTCGACGTCTATTCCCTTCCGGGAGTCAAAGAAGCCTCCAACTTTGATCATTGCATCGGGGGCTATTTCGGCCGGTGGGCGATCCCAACCGTCCCCCTGCGGCCCAAGCTTAGCTACAGCTTGAGCTGACTTTTGAGAGTAATAGTTGTTAGGAGTCAAACGAGCTTGACACCTGTGTCTGGTCTTAGTTGCTTCGACGTCGGAGTTGCGAGTTTATAACAGGGCAGCAGCAGGACCACCTTTCTGTTATACGAGGTTGCAGTTGTACATAGTTGCACTGGCAATGCCACGGACGTGACAAGGGTGTCCGCAGCTCACTCCAGAGATATCCGTGCACTTTGGGATGTGAAAGTTGTGTCTAGGTGCAGTGAGTGTGGCAGTGCAAGTTGCATGTACTCATGGGCAAGCCTAGCAACGTTGCTATAAAATCCACTAGATATGCACAAATCTGTGGATCTACGGCCTGATGGTGCGGCGCAGTGGATAAGCCAAGTTTATACAATGATGGGATGACTATACGCCATGCATGCACATGCCAGGCGATCCGCCCCTGTATAGTCAGGCCGGTCTAGCTATGTGCATTTTAAACGCGCTACACCCAGATCCGTGGCCTCTGCGTCCATGGACTGCAATCGCGCGTTGCATGTCTGCATGAGTCTTGCCGCCTCAGTAGGCGGCCCTTTACTAAGCGAACTTAGACCTTAGACGGTGCATGACATCTGGCATGTGCATTGAGTTGTAGGATTCTTATAGTAACGAGCTCACTGAGTCTGCACCTTCAATGCAACTATGACCGTCGACATAGCAATTCATATATACCATGACATTGGAAATCGAAAGTTTTTTGATGGCCAAAAGCGAAAAAAGCTCATGAGTGCATGACTGCAGTGAGCGCAAACTTCGATCGTACGTAATCAAAGTCTTGCATGTGCCTTCCGGCAAGGTAGCTTAGGCGGCTACACTATTCTACTTCGATACGAGCTCAACTGGTATGGCAGGATCAATTCAGACGTACGGTGATGCTGAGAATCTCGTTAGTGACTGATCTTTCAATCAATGAACCCCCCATTAAGGACTATCGACTAATTGCACAGCGCTGGACGCGAAAGCTAATCTTTGCACGCTTTGGTGTTTGACAACTGGACATTTATATCAACGCGTGAAGCAAACTCAAAATGATGCCAACGGCCACGGTTCCCCAGGCGGCCTGCACATACGAATTGTTGTCTTGTCTCCTTTGCTTTGTTGCTCAGTGATAGTCCCGCTAAGAAGTGGCCCGCTCAGACATTATCAAGATTCGCTATCACACACAATTTGATGCGTCTCTTGCAACACAAAGACGACTCGCTGATCCACGGTCATCTGGTTGAGCAATCTGGTTGGAGTCGGGAATCGCAGTCGTAAGAGAAGCACTCAAAATGGAGACCACTAAAGACAGAGGTACTGCGTTGCAAGGCATAAAGCAGCAGGGGAAAGTTCAAAAATTCGATTTGCCATTGCGTTACTCACCCTCCCTGCCATCCCAGCAGCCTTGAGAGGCTCCAGCGCGACGTTCGTTTGCACGCTCAACGCGACGCTGATGACGTCATACCCCGTCAGCCCGGACGCGGCTACGGACGCGGCCGCGCCCCCTGACGCCTCCGACGCGCGCACGGCGTCCGCGAGTGCGAGCGCTGCCACGTAGCTGCCCGCCTGGACACCGACGTCAGCCTGGAGGAACGTGCCGGTCGGTGCTGACGTCAGCAGGGCGCGCCGGCGGGCGTCGGACGCGGACAGGACGACGTCCGACGCGGACAGGATGCCCACCTGCTCGGACGGAACGCCGGCCATCTGCGGACAGGGGAGGGCGAAAAGTTCATGAGCGTTGTCGACAATCGGTACAGGTTTATACGGGTTTTCAGGAACGGTTCGGAGCTACTTTGAAGTCTGTGCGGCATCGAATCATCAGGGATGTAATACTGCGGAGGGGCTAAGGATCAAACTTACACGGTAGGACAGCTGAGCGGCATTTTGAGGGCAGGTCCAGAGAAGGCACCGAATTCGCCCCAAAAAGAAAGCTACCAAACTGTGTAAAAATCCGAAATTCTAAATAGCGAACGTAGCCCATGTCTGTAACGATCGCCGAAAAGAGAAGTGCCCATCGCCAAATCCTCATCTGAGAGTGCGGCACTGGCAACGACCCGAAAAACGTTCGCCCGAAAGACTTCCTTGCCAGATTACACGACAGCTTTCCAGCCAAGGCCTAGAGTGCTCCGGAAATCCGAGAATGGCACTCGCGCACCTTTGCAACCGCGTTCGCAAGTTGCCCCTTTTGCGTCGCGCCAAACCCTGCGGCCGACGGCCCGCCGACCGTCAACGTCACTACCAGCGAGAATGACGTCGCCGACAGCTGGCTCATGACGTCATCCCCGCACGGGTGGCCCTGCTCGCCCGCCAGCTTGGCGTACTCCGCGAGCCCATTCACACTCGTCTGCCCGGTTAACCCGCTCGTGTTTAACTGGGCGTCGAACCAGGTTAGGTTAGCACCGTTAACCAGCTTTAGCAGATCAGGCATGCAGACGCCGCTCCCCTGGGGCTGCCCGGTTGGAGCGACCGGGAGTCCGGCGGCGGTCCGGACCAGGTTTTGGACGTCCGTAATAAATGCGCTGGGGCTGGCGCACGTGTCCGAATTCAATGCGGACGCGTTCACACCGTCCGGGAGCCAGAGGAGGTTTGCGAGGGGGTCCGTGGAGTTGAAGAGTTGCACGCAGCGGGTGTTGGCGCCGCAAGCGGAGTCGGAGTCGCACGCCGTCAGGCTGTAAGGCTGCGGACGGAAGGAATGACGTCAGCAACCATGGGGTTTGGCAGGAGAAGACGACGTCAGCAGTAGAATGCAGCAAAGTTCACAAATAATGGAAACGTTGTTACAACAAGTTGTTGAATGATAGAAGCACTGGCGCACAGGATGAGACGGGTTTGCCCACATCTTGGATTTTGGCTCAGCAAAACCCTGGAAAACGATAAAGAGACTAACTTCAATTCATCAAGCAGTACTTTTGCAAAATACGTACTTTCACAACTCTCCTTTTCGCTGTCGGAATCTCGACCTCGGAGAAGCAAAGCCGACCTTCTTAGAGCGTTTGAAAAACTGCAGTAAGGTTCACATCTGGAAACATCATCCAGATACGAATTGCAGGAAGCAAACCCAAAATATAAATCCAAAATCCGAACCCGAAAAGACGCCCACCTGGAACACAGTTGTGCAGTCAGCGCCGACACAGTCGAGGTACACGTCGGGGAGGCCTTCCGGGAATGCCGGGCACCTAGTGATCACGGCCCGCAGCGTGACGTCTCTATCGAGCATCGCGCGCAACCCCGAAAACTGCAGCCGGCACGTGCCTGACGTCATCCAGTCGGCGAGGGTACAACCGGCGGGCATGGCCTGTGGAGAAAACGGGAGCGGGTGAGTGGGGCGTAATGGAAGTCGCGACCATTGTGTCGTCAAACAATGGAAACAAGCGGAAGTTTTAGTCGGCCAAGCGGGGGAGGGGTCCCTCGCTTGAATTCGTATTTCAAATCGCATTTCAATTCTTGAGGTTCCTTTTCTTTTTGCATACTAAAGTTCGTCCACCTCCACCGGTCCTCTACCTGGCTTCGACCGTTTCCACATTTCTTTCGCTCTCAAAAAGCTCGAAGCAGCCTCACAACCACCAGTTTGCGTGCTACCTCTCGATGATCAATCAATGATGAGAAAGTCGAGCGAGGCCTTTCATCATCGCTGAGTAATGCCAATTTCAAAGGCGTCTCACCGACATAAACTGCACCAGACATGCCCTGCCATTGGCCTGTTCCCGTGCTTTTACGCTAGAACCTACCGACACGCTCCGCTTGCAAGACCTTCTCTTATGGCTTTGCTTTTTACGGTATAGTCTTCGCCAATAGGCTGGGCTCAACAAGGCGAATGCACGTTTCAGGTATCCATTTCCTTTGCTCCTACGCCATAAACTATGCACTCACCAGAAGGCTGGGCCACGTGCGCGGAATCGCAGCCGCGATGGCAGGGGGCATGAGAGTCCCTTGTCTGACCAGCGAGAGAAATTACCTCCGACGTACTGTTTTTAACCGCACTTGCACTTTTCATCTCCTATGCTCCTACCCCATAGGCTATGCACTCACCAGTAGGCTGGGCCACGTGCCCGGCGTCGCGGCCGTGATGGCGGTGCGCATGACGCTCCAGGGGCTGGCCAGCGACAGAAAGTGCTGTACGGCGTACTGATGCCCCCCCGAAAAAAGGAGCGTCGACCAGAAGTCGGGCTGCCACGCGTCGAACCACGCGCGCACCTGGCCGGCGGGGACCGCGGGGCCGCCCAGGCGACAGCCGACGAGCTGCGGACGGGGTTTAGGGTTTATGAGAAAATCGTCTGAACGATGATTCGTTGTTTTCGAAGTCGAGCAAGGTATAAAATGGAGGTACAATTTCTGATGGAATGTTGTTCGTGTCTTCTGGTTATCTGGTTAATGAGGAAGACGGCCTTCGTCAACGCCGCACAAATTGCGTTTAGACAATTCTTCAACTTATTTCTCGAGACGGAATCGTTCTAAAAGCATCATTAGCGATAATGACTCGCTCGCGTTCTAACCCCAACCCAAATCGGATGGCCAAGTGATGAAAATTGGCTTCAAATCCTTGAATTGGTTCCAGTTCATTCGCTCCTAGTTCCAAGTGGACAAAAAAACTGTCAGTAAGGCGAGAACAAAGAACCAGATACACCGAAAACGAACGGCTGAAAACGTACCCACGTCAGCAGCTGTTGGTGCACGGTGGTGAGCAGCCCTTGCAGGTCCGGCAGCGCAATCCGGACAGCGATCGGACTCATGGGCGTAAGCTGCAAGCTCGGACGTCCGCACGACAAGCGAAGAACCGGGAGGGCGCCGGCCGGGGATGCGCACGTTTCCTGGGGGAGCCGGAAAGCGGTTCCATCTTTCCGGGGGGGGTCGAAGACCGGGGTGCCGTCCTCTAGCTTGCCCCCCCACGCGATTGGGTAGCCCGGAATTTGGTCGAGGCCGAATTCGTAAGAGGTGGAAGCGGTGGGGGAGGCCGGCGGGGGGGCTTGGATGTCGTCCGGTGAGTCGCCTGTGCAAGAGAGGGGCTTTTTGGATGAGAGGACGGGTGACTGGGGGATTGTGCACGATCGGAGGTTACGAGCATTGGTAACCTGACAATCTTTCTGCGAGAAAAACTATGATATCCAAGGTCAGTTCTGATATCGTATCTTTCTCCCAGAGGGAAGGCAGAAAAACGCTCGAGAAAAAGAAGCTCAGTTCCTGGTCTTTGCTAGGACTCCCGAGGATTGCAGGCGGAAAGTGAAACTGCACTATTGGGTAGCGGACTAAATAAGCACAACGTCTACCGCGTACGAGACTTTTGCGGGGGATGTTCAACACCAAGCAAAGGCCTCCGACCCTGCGGACTTCATTTGCCACAACAACGGAACGGGCGGATCGAGCAGACGGAAGCGGACGGAATACGCGCATGAGAAAAATGGCAGTGCGGGATCACAATGACCACAAGCAGCTCGAGCCCACCACAGGCTGACGTCAGCGCCAGCTCACCGCAGAACTGCGCGCTGTCCAGGCAGTCGCTCTGGCCCGCGCACTCATCGGCCCCGCACGGCTGCAAATCGTACGCCGTCATATTGCACTTGCGCGTATTGCCCGTGTCTTTCGAATTGAACCCTCCCGGGGGGGCCGCCGTCCCATCGGTGAACCCCCCCAGGCCGTCGGCCGCGACGCAGACGGTGCGGTTCTTCCACCAAACGACCTCCCCCGGGGCGCTGTTCGACGCCCAGTAGTTGCTCGGGAGGGCGGTCTTGTACGTGGTCAGACTGGAGTGGAGAAGGGCGAGTATCGAAAGAGAGAAGAAGAAAGAAAAACGAGATTGTCTTAACAACGTCACTTTCTTGAGGTAACACGAACCCCTCGGCAGCCGCTTGGTTCCCGACGGGGAGTAAAGAATGAACTTTATCGGGAGTTTTTCTACACCTGAGAAGATGGGAGAAATACGCAACCGACGACACGTTGGTTCTAGCACGATCCGCCGGGACCAGCTTTCTCAAAAAAGAAACCAATGGGGACAATTGATGCGGACTAAACCCGCATTTCGAGAGAAGTAGCCGCTCCCCTATGAAGCATATGCGAATTTTGAGCGTGCCATGAGAGATGGTACGCGGACGTTTCATCGCTTGGGACCTACTCGTCCCTTCATGGATACTTCGTCGTGAAAGTACCTGCCACTTGACTCAGACCTCCAGACGGACTGCCACAGAACCTACAAGCAGGCTTAAGGTTCGACTCTACTCATGATGAGATCTTCTCTCCACATCGCAGAGGAGAAGATGTGGACTGGGTCAACTGTCCGGCTACGGATCGAGAGCAGATCCGAAGCCTTTGATCGAAACCCTCCTCAAGAACGCGGTGTCCGATCTGGTCGATTACTGCAACGAGATCCAATACTCGACTCCGCTCCACGCTGACATCAGCCTACCTGGTGCTGACGTAGGGGTTGGCGTAACACGCGTCACAGCTGATCGCTGACGTCACCAGCGGGTACTGGGGGTATTCACACATGGCCGTCACGTTCTTGCACGTCTGCGCGGGAGCGGGCAGCTTGACTCTGTCCGCAATGTCCGTAACCAGCGCCGAAGGCACGCATAACCCGTCCGGAGTGGCGGCCGTGTCCGTCCGGTACAGGCTCTGTGTACAAGAAAGGTTCAAGTTAACGCTTTAATGAAGGGCTTTGAATCTGTGATGATTGCATCCGCATTCGATCAAAGTCCAAAGTCGAGAGTTGCTCGCGCTGTGCAGCAGTTGTGCATGGGTTTAGGATAAGTGAGAAGAGCCCCTCGTTGTGGCGGCGCAGCCCTTTTCAGATGCAAGGCAAAGAGAACTTGCCAAACCGCTTCAGTCCGTCCACAGGTCAGATCCTCAGAGGGAAGTGGAACGGTCTGAAGCTGGCCATGCTTCAGAGGCAGACGTCCTTCTAAGCCCCCAATATTGTGTTCGACCGATGACAGCGTCTTCCTCTTTCCCGGCGAGCCGAATCTAAAAGTGCTACGAAATCATGAGGAAACTTCCAAAAGGACGATCTACCTCTATGGGGTTGCGGACATTCTCCGCCGTATACCCAGCCGGATGATTGTGAGCGGGCAAGAATAGAACGTAGACACTACGACATCGTCCTTGGCGCTACACAAACGCTGCCGCCAAACAACAACGAGTTGCGCGATAAGAAGACGCGGCGAGTCCGGCTTTAAAGCCGTGGAATCCTACAATAAGACCACATCCTTACGAAGGCCCAAAACCCTGAAACGATAAAACCCTCTTGCCTGCAGGTATTGCAGGGCGCGCGCCCACATCTTCCCCGCCACTTCCGGCCCGCTCGCGCCGCACCGCCCGTTGTCCAGATCCGTCTGCGTGTACAGCCCCACCGACTCCAGCAAGCCCACCAGGATTCCGCTGACGTAAGTCGCGTTGGTCGGGGGGATCCCCCTCTGCGCCCAGAACGAGTCGTCTCTCGCGGGGTTCAGGATCGCGCACTGCAAGCCCGTGCTGGCGTCGAGCTGGTTCAGGCCGGCATATGCCGCGTTGGCGGGGGTGCCGGGAGCCTGAGAGAGGCGCTGACAATCTGCGGACGTGGCGCACGGGCGGGCGAGGTTGCGGCAGCGCGCGCCGCGGCAGCTGATGGAGACGAACGGCAGGGCTTGGCCAGGGCAAGAGTTGATGCCCACCTGGAAAACGGGGAATGCGATTAGACCCTGAAGGTTCCAGCGTTTTCTAAATTGGTACCTGGGTGTCAGGTTTAGAGGAGCGAGTGATTTGTACAATGGTGAAGTGCGTGGTCACGACTTGCCAAGAAGCTCCCGCCAATCTTTATGTGCAGAGAGATCTCTAAAGAGCTTCTGCCAAAGAGCCTCTCAAAGGCTAAGACGCGCAAGGGAGGGTGACAATAATGCAAACGCGTTCTTTGGTCATCTTAGCGCCGATCGCCTCTTTGAAGGAGTTTCGGTGCCAACACAACGATACGCCCTTTATAGTACTCTGTTCCAGTCTGACAAATCCCCAATCTCGCACTTCGCTTACGAAGCTTGAAAAGTAGGACGAGCTCGGTCTTTGCGCGGGACTGTTGAACGTCAGAAGCTTGTCCTCTTTCGACAGTCCGTTCCGGCAGTCTCACCTGCAGCGTTGCCTGCGGATCCAGCGGCAGCTCCACCTTGCAGCCATTCCCCTGCTGCCACGTGGCAGCGCTGCACGTGGACTTCGGCCACTGGCCCAGGCTGCCCAATTCAGTCCACAGTGCGGACCAGCTTCGGACAAAGGTCGTGTCCGCGGTATTGCAGACCGTTCCCAGGTTGCCAGCCAAGCTGCCGTCCGAAACCGCGCTGGAGAGAGGAGGCCACGTGTCATTTCTTCATTTGAGGGCCATTTTTGCGAGAGTACTGTCTCGAGAGGCAGAAGGACGGACGGCGTGCAAACAGAGCGGCCTTCTAAAAAGACGTTTATCGGACGAAGATAGACGAAGATAGACAAAGAAAGTGACATGGGTTGCAAGACAGACCAATGAATAACCGAAGGAAAGTGAAGTTGAGTCGGAAGGCAGAATTCACAGAAGGCAGATTCACAATGAAAACAGGATCTGTGCAAAAAGTCATTGGCGAGCTGTGTGACATTGAGTCATCTGGTCGCCACACAATTTGACCCCGAGATGCATTACCCAAGACGCCTATCTTTTATTTCCTTCTTTCTAGCATTCTCTATAAGTCCTGGGTTCTTCAAAATTTTCTTTTACTCGGACTCACACTCAAGTAGCCCTGCCGTCAACGTCCCAATCGCAGTAGATAGTCCTTTCAATCTCTTCGTTCCTTTCTCTTGGACTCACTTGAGGCTATTTCTAGGACGTCTCGGACACCTGTTGACCCTGTCGGATTTCCCTCGTGAGGCTCTTTTGGTCTTATTTGGAAAGGACACGTGTCCCTCACCTAATGATACTGCTGGGGTCCAGCTTAAAGCTGGCCTGGAACTGCGCATCGGAGAGCGCCGGACAGTGACACTGCGCCCGACGCTTGACCATCGCGTTAACCGTGTCAAAGAGGCCCTGTTTCACAAAGGTCTGCAGGCTGGGGCTGAGCGCGACCACTGATGACGTGGCAAAGTGGTGGGAGGGGAAGAGGTGGAGGCGCGCCTGGCAGTCTAGAACCAAGAGCTGGTCGAACGTGCTGGCATCGCCAACGGTAGAACCTGACGGGAAAGACAGCACTGGTTACGGATGCTCAGGACGTGGTTAGTATGGGTTAGCGGGGGTGAAATGAAATCGTAAGAAGCATGGAGGATGGAGTCCCTTGTTAACTGCTTGCATGTCATAAGAGAAAAGACAAGAAATGTGCACAGGCAGAAGTAGTGGTATTGGACTCGGATGAAACACCGAGCTCGGGAGAAAATGGTTTTTCTGAAGATTGGTGGCAGAAAGTCGAGAGAAAATGCAGTAGACATCGCTGGCAGAGCAGGAAAAGAAGCCTACTTTACTAGAGTCTTCAGACAACAAACCCCGAAACTCTTTGACAGCTGTCAGACATCCACTGATGAACAACTGACAGCTGTCATGCGCCATCAGCTTTCAACCAAGTTCTTATTCCCAGTGGCAAGCAAACACCGGAGAGGTGCTTTAGAACTCCAGTAGAACCCGCCAAGTGCAACGCACAATAAGGCTGAATAGCATGCCACCTTTACTATAGCTCCTTTTCAAGTAGTAGCAGCTGAATACCGTACAATCAGTACTGCTCTTGTACGTCAGGGCCTTTTCAGTTGGAGATTGCTGCGAATCTGCTAAGTGCAGAATCCCTGATCTCAAGGCGCTTGTCGTGACAGCCCAGTTAGGCATATCACCGCAAAAGAGAAGAAATTAAGACTGTGACACTCAAAGCTACTGGAAGGCAAATTTCAGCAAAACGCTGCTGTGTAATGGTTGCTTTTGTTGTCAGCGGCGAACCGCTCTTTATAAACCCATACACCAATGCTTGAAACCGCGGGCTAACTGCTTGCTGACACACCCTGATGATCATGCCTGACTATAGCCACAGCATTGTGGAGGAATGAGTGGCAAGTAGAGATTCCCACTTACCTGACGCAATGCTGTGCCCCAATAGAAAGACCACCAGGAGTGTCCTTGCGGCATGCACTTTCCAAGGTGCCGCCATTGGGGAGATCTAGAGAGCCGACTGGATACTGCCCCACTGCGCTCTAATCTCGCTAATCTTCAAGGTGACCGTCTTATGGAAGAAGCGACATTTCGTCCTCAACATGCATCAACTTGATACCCAATGCCAAGCAATTATTCTCAGGACGTAGTGACAGCATTGCTCAAGTGAGGCGGAGGGCGCAGAGCGCGTTTAGCACAAACCCGGCAGAAAACCTGTGCTTGGAAAAGCCGAAGATAGTGATACATATAACCTATGCATGTGATCAAACAGAAAAACTTAGACATTACTGCAGGCATGCAATCCTGCAATGCAGCAGGCCGGCCACAATGCTGCACCAATTAGTCAACATATCGGAGCTTGTTGCAGGTGGTGAGTGACATTGCAAATGGAAAATCTAAGAAAGACATGTAGACTGTCAACAGGCTGGCAATGCTGCTTTGGACTCAGGAAGCTAGGTAGGTGACGGAGCTAGCTCCAACGGGCGTGCAAAAATTGGAGGGTTGCAACAGATTGAGCAAACGTGTGCGCGCGAGCACTTGTTACGACAACTGCCTGCTGATACCCAAGCACGAGACGGCCGCCCATCGAATCCGTCGAATAGAAGATCGATGAAAACTGGTGACCGTCCGATGGAAGTTTGCCAAATCGAAACCTGACCAGAACCCTGGACGCGGCGCGCTCGCGCTAAGCCCGGCCGCGTAAGCCTCGACGATCGGCGGCCGGCGAATCAGGCTGATCGACGAACTATCGCTCGGCTGTCGCACAGCCTGCAGATTGGTATCAAGTACACTGTCAACTTTGCGAACCCGGATTTGATTGAAATCCCAAGTTGCCAAGTGTGCACCTGAATTCATGAAGCTGGGAAAACCTGAAACCGTATGAAGAGCCACAAGAGAACAAGAGTATACAGTAACTCTCTTCAGACAATGTCGGAGTATCTGTTATATTGGATTATGGCTTGAATTGGCTTGGATTGGCTTGAATTGCTTGGACGTTAAGAACCTTCAACTTCCTTCAGCCTAACCGCCACTGATGAGCCGTGCCACTCAGATTGTTGGGTCTGGTTGTTTTCATCCATTCAAGGCGTCGGAGCCTTGAATTAGTCAGTTTTGGCGTAAATTAGAGATCTCAAGTACAACGTTTGTTCTCGCAAGACGAGCATGAATGAAACCGATCCATTGCACCACGGCACATTAACTAGTCGTCCAAAATTGAGATCGGGAGCTTCCCGTAGGATCGGGCTGCAATCTTAGTTGGTCTCAAAAGCTCTTTATGCCTCGCCCTCATTTGTCAGCAAACATGACGCGTGTAGAATACGACTTGAGAAGAAAAATCGGCTTGTGACGCGACTAGAGAATTTTGCTTGCAAGCATTGATAGGGCCTAAGCCACGTCCAGTGATGCGGAAGATAACGCATATTCCGTCAAAATTCGCTCGCCGAAATGTACAAAACCCGAAACATTTATGATCATTTGGTCGACATCTCCCTTACGATTGAGCTAAGCCTTTGCAGACGGCTTACTGGTCACAATTGTCCGCAATCTGCAATCATGGGTCTCTTTGTTGGAACACCGCTCCGTGTGCCAAGGCTTTCGAGGACTGGAAGGATATCGAGCCCCTCAATCTGCACAGTCGTGAAATCGCGTTATATTGACACGAGGGAGCCACGCCTGTCCACATTTAACGAGGAGGAAAAATAGAGTCGTGGTAATAGAAGAGAGATGGCAGAAGTGGGGCTTTAAAGCGCAGACGTGAGTAGTCACCTGGTCCGCGTAGATTTGAGTAGTCACCTGGTCCCGTACAACAAGTACACAAAAACGTGCTTGAAGTGCTAAATGGCCACGATGAAACTCACGAAGGCACCAAAGTCAGAACAGGAGCGTGATATACATCCCCTGCTAGTTCTGTTAAAGCACAACAACCTTTATAAACTCACCACTTGTCCGAAGACAACATGCTTCCCGTCCAACCTGCAAGCGGATCGAACTCGATACATGTTAGAGAAACGCCACCTTCTAATGCCCATTAAATCCTAGAAGGTCTGGGCTGAAGTAGCGACGTACAGGTTTGGTCAACCGTAGAATGAAAAGACACCATCATGGTCTAGACCGGTTGAGGAAGGAAGGCAGAAGTGAGACTCAAAAACGGGACAGTTTGCAGCAGACACGCCCGCAGCTTCTAGGTCCGTAGGGAACAAGGGGCTTTCAGAAGCGCGAGGTGAATACAGGTTGAGCGCTTACCTCGGGGTCTCCCTGAAGGTAATGAAAAACTGAGAGCCGTTGGTGTTCGGACCGGCGTTGGCCATTGACAGCAACCCTGCAGCAAGAAAGGCGAATCTCCACTTGTTCGGTCAAGCAATATACCAATGGGACTTCGGCCTAGGGTGAACGGCATTCTCCAAACAACGAGACTGCGAGACTTCCTGGCTGCCATGCACCTTCTCGTTTAAGCTGAGTGTAGCAACTGCTGTTCCTTTGGATGACGTCAACGTCAATCAAAAGAAGAGTGGGAAAAAGGTTACGGGCACCATGACCAGAAGATTACAGCTTTTCCTTGGACGAAAGGTTCGTCGAGGGCTCCTTACGCAGCTCAGATCTGGCACGCGCGGGTCGACAATCACTGCCCTTATTTTCTGCCAGATTTCCGCTCACGAGAGTTGCATGCGAAAAAATCCAGCCAAATACGCATGACCCAGAAATACGTCACCTAAACTGTTCGGAAGAAGAAATGTGCCCTCACCCGGACCAGAGTGGCTCAGCTTGAAGTTCTCGTCTGCAAATGTCCTTCCAAAGATACTCTCCCCGCCTCGTCTGCAGTGCGCAGCATGAGAGACGCCTTAGAGGAGGGAGGCGGAAAATGCTCGGAAGGCCGCATCTTCGCTACTCCATCAAACCTGGATTCATCGCCTTCATCTAAACACAAACTCATCACCATCGAAGCGATGGCAATAAGCAAAGCCAGACGGAAATTGAGATTCCCTGGGTTGTGGTCGATGTGGTCGACTTGATGCTAATCACAGCTGATAGCTAGACCGATTATGCGGGACAACCAAGGGCGTAATGAACGAACTACAGTGAATTTAGGACGAACAGAAGAGTCAAATTTCTCACCCGTCACCTTTCGTGAAGTCCCCTCCTTGAGCCATCTGTTTGCGAACAGAGTCACGAGTGACACAAGAAAGGTTGTACCATCTTCAAGGTGGTTGCAGGTCGAAAAGTATACAACGGCCGAACTGGAGTCACAAGCGGCATCAAGAAGGGATGCAAATGTTGGGTGAGACTGTCCAGAAATCTTCGATCCAATGTGCACAATTCGTTAGGAACTGGAGGCTCCTCATGAAGTGTGAAGCGAGCTCAGGCTGATTCGTGCATCTCCCAAGTGAAGAGGATACAAAGCCAGGAATAATCCGGTGGAACGTGCTTCCTTTGTAACCCATGCCATATTCCCCTGCACAGCATGCGTAGCAGGACGTCAGGTCAGGTCGAACCTGTGTCTGCATTAGATTCGAGACATCTATCTCTTGCTTCTTTGAGAGTCCAAGCCTACTAACTTCGAGTTTCTTGACGGCGAAAAACAGACTGCACAAGGCCATTACTCAGAAAAAATTGAGGTCTGAGGAGTGCGCAGTCACCTGTGCATAGGGCCCTGAAGTTCTCGCACGTTTTAGGCACCACCTGCGCTTCCAACTGCACATGAAGTTGGACGTTACGAGCTTGAGTGACAGAGTTTCTAGCTCGTGCCCTTAGCGACAGGCTTACTTCGGGCCTACTTACTTAAGATTAACAACACAGTGCAGACAGGTTTGTTGACAAAACCTTTCTGTGGAAGGGAATTCGAGAAGATCCAAGATTTTGGTTCTTGAAGGCAAAAGCGTCTTGGACCTCAGATTGTCAAGGAGATTCGAGTAATTCCAAGAGTTTGGTTCTTGAAGGCAAAAGCGTCTTTGACCTCAGATTGTCAACTTTTGCACCAATTACGTTGTCTCTCAGATTAAGAACGGAAGGGTGAAGAACGTGGCGTCCCATGAGGATAAAGATAAGCGAAAAGACACGAAAAGCGACAATCTCACCTCAAAAACCAGCCGACCGATGTCTTCTCCGGCAACTTGCAAGGCAAAGAAGACTGCAGAGAAAGGACAAATCTGCTCCAACTAGGCAACTCCTGCTTTCGCTTTTCATTTTCTTGAATATTCCAGCTGCTTCACTTGTTGAGGTAGTGCAATCATGAGCATAAATTGCCTGCCAATCTCTGTGAAGTCAGCTTCTTCCAAAGGCAGAGGAAATCTCCATCTGATCAACTTCTCAGTGTCAACAACAAACACCTCTTTATCCTGCTTGTGAAGAACTGATAGTAAGCTGACCTATGTGCCAGCTGACTGTGATCCTCATTATTACCTTACTGTTCTTGGCAGTCAACATGAATGAAAGCTAGGTAATCTGTACTCTGCTAATCATTCTTGACTGGCTTTGAAAGTCACCGCCACCGAGTCCACCACCACCACCACCACCATCATGACCTTCCACCTGATGAAAGACTCAAAAGGCTGCTAACTGGAGCGCTGACCTTTTGGGTTCACTTTTGGGGTCTGAACCTGCAGGTATCGCAGTGCTCCCGCCGCTGATCGCAAGATGGATGACATTTCGGACCTCAGCTACGAAAAGGAGAACACATTAAGACTGCTCAGGGTGCCTCAACAGGCTTCCTCCCCCGAAGGAAGGCAACTGCAGCTGGCAGGATGACGGCGGAGTCCTTCAGTGAACAGCTTCTTGAGCTACTGACGCTTCTGCCCAATCCACTTGAGAGGACTCAAAAGGAATCCTAGGTGGACGAGACCACCTATCTGCCGAGCAAAAGCAGCTCACTAACTCACAGCATTGCTATCGAGGAAAGCATTGTTATGCGCTTGCGTACGAACAGATACTAATAGCTAGATCACTGGCAGCAGACCAAGCTGCACCTCCCCTCATCCTAGAAGACGCCTGCCTGATGTATTGGGTTGTATTACCTAATACACTTTGCGTATGGTCACTTGGCCCATACCGTATGCCAGCCATGGGTGCAATGTTCGTGGCGAAACTAATTCTTTTCGCCAATTTGATTTTCGCCAGATTTTCGCCATTTAGTGTCTGGGAAGGGAATTTCGCCGGCCTGGCGAAAATGGTCAGACATGCTCGGGTGCTCCCACCCGCCTTGACGAATCTTAACCCTGCTCAGAACCCCGTACTTTACCTTTGCCCGCAAAATTTCAATTGAAGATCTCCAGAGACAACGACAAAACTTGGTCGGTACCAGAAGTTTTTGGTGCCGGGACACTCTACCGGCCACAAATGCCGCTGGGATTTTCGCCATTAGTGTCATTTTCGCCAATCAGTGTCTGGGAGCTCCTATTTACTGTATTCCAAGATTTATTGTCGCCACGATCACTGCATGGGTGTTCGTGTGACCATGCAGCTCAACATGCAACGTCTCAGTCACGATGGGCAGAGGCGCGGGCCGGTTTCTAGATTGCAAAAGATAGAAATGTCCGTAACGGTTTGGTTCAACATATGTATGAGTGTTACAAACCTCTGTTTCAGAAAGCGTCCAGCAATTAGTACAGCAATGACCGCAAATGTCGTGTCTTTGTGCCCGCAAATGCATGCGTCTTTCTTCAAACAAATTGCTGCTGCATGCCAATTTGTGCTGCCCAGCAGCTCTTTCCAAGTTGAACTTATAAATTTAATTTTAAAGGGCGCAGAGCGGTACTGGGGGGTGGTTTCTGAACTTCGTTTCAGCTGACCAATCGCACTGGCGGCCTTGCTGAGGTGGTCTTTCTGAATCATTGGCATTGGTTTGGTTGCGGGCTTGCACGGGCAGCTTTGCTTCACCTTGCGCGCCGTCCAATTTTGTCAGAGAGCTCTTCTTTGGACTTTACACTCCCCTCAACTCTGCTCCAACCTGACTGGCAATATCAGCGCCGCAGTCCTTGCAAGTCGGGGGCTCTCGTTGGCACACAACCCCTAAGCAGAGACCTATGATGACGTGCCTCACAGCGCAAGTTGGTACAGCCACAATGCTGTCAGCATTACTTGGCCGCAATCCATGCAGTTCACGAAAAGGGGCAGGATGGGCCTTTGGTTCAAGCCGTAGTATCTGTCTTCTCTGCCCCTCAACTTTCACGACATCTGGACCATGTCGGCGAGGAAGTAGAACGGCCCCTGGAAGAAAGGGGCTGAGGAGCCAAGCCGGGGATGACAAGTCCAGCGCCGGTGAGGACACAGACTTCTTAGATCATTGCTTTGCTTCTGTAAGACTTTGGCGGAAGTTGTGCTTATCTGTCGGCCAGAGTGCTCTTAATGCGCCTTCAGTAATTCCACTGCAGTATGCCAAAATTGTCAGGGACTGTGTTTGGAGATTCTGCTTCCTTCGCACAGATTATTCGTGTTTGACTAGCCTATGCAGCAAGCTCTGGCTACGTACTTCATGTAACTGGCAGCTTGGTTGCAGCCACGCGTACTTCAGCCGCACCTTGTTTTTAGTGGTACACCTTCAGCTGTTTCTGTTCGAGAATTTCTACATGATAGGAAGCTATGACTTGGCTTCATACCACTCGCCGTGCCACACTCTTATTAAAGTAGGATAAAGAATCTGCTTATTTTTGCTCTACAAGATACAAGTGGTGGCTGTATTGTCAGCTGCCCCTTATGCTCACACCATCAGGGCATCCAAGTTGCTTGCATGCTGCTCGCCACAAGCACCGGTACTCCTCGAAATGCCTTTCAGAAGTGTTCTGCTCAAAGTCCCTGCTCGTATCTCTGGTTTTGATTGGTACGTCAAATTAGATTTTGGGCTGGCAATTTTGATATAACATTACACCCTGTCCTCAAGGGAAGGAAATACTTTGATCAAGTTGCCTGTCGCCCTTTAGACCAACTCTGCAAGACGTAGCTCGGTCAAGTTCCTGAAGAAGCCTTATTTCATTTGGCTGCTGTGCCTCACAGCGGCAGATACAGATCCAGCCCGTCTTTCCTGGGGCAATCTGGGCGAACTTGGTGACGAGCAGGCTCATAGCCTTGCTCATCTTTCAACTCAGCCCCTGCAGTTGAATCATTCAACCAGAAGTTTCGAGAGAGGCCCATCATTACTGAGAACTTGAGACCCACAATCATGCCTTCCTTAACGTCAGAGACGATTTACAAGAGACGAGAGCAGCTCAAACAGGTTCAAAAATGCTTGAACTTTTCTCAGGCAGCTCCCCCGGAGACACGTAATCTTTTGACGATAAATGACTTCGATGGCCAGCTTTGCATCAGCCTCATATGCGATTCCAGTGCCTTCCAATTGCCAATTCGACCACTGAGTCGGGACACTTTTTGGTCTCTCCAGGTAACTCCCCTGAAGACGCCTTTCAGCGGGAGCTCAGGCGGCGGGGCCTGCGTCCTGATGGCACCAAGGACCCGAATTTCAAGGGACCAAAGACAGCAACCGAAGAAGGGGGTGCGGGGAAGCCGGACCCGCCGCCCCCGTTTGCGAAGTTACCGGATCAGCTGGAGAAGTCTCGGAAGTTGAACAGCGAGGGTCTTGAGGTGACTTTCAGTTTACCCTAACGGTTCGTTGTGGAGCGGATGTGACCATGGCAGAAAACGATGATGTAGATTGGTCTTGATTAGAATGTTGCGGCATGGCCAGTCGTTTTGGCTCTCACAGAATGGTTCTCTTGCTCCAACAATTGTTGGCTGCTTGCTCCTAGGAGGCAGCTCGTTTGGGACACTGGCTTATCGTGCTACTGTCTCCTTAGGAATCATTTTGACTGGCGATTCCCATACTTTCTTAGTAGGCGTGTAAAGAACCGCTGGCCTGACTGTGCACCTCCGTGCAGGGATTGCTTCCAAGAGCCGGGGAGCTGCTGAAATTGGGTACAACCTTTTTCTTAGCGTTTTGGCCGCTGGTATTGACAGCCATCGTTCTCTTTGGGGGAGCTTATGCGGTGAGAATTTCTGCAAAATTTAAAATCAGGCACCTCTCCTTGCTGCGGCATCTCTGGGCTCCGTAAATGTGCAGAGTGTCAATAGCGACTTCTGCGAGGTGTGGTCTGGTTCATTACGGAACTGGTATCACAGCAGCACTCGGGCAATTTTCGGAGGGGCCTGGCGGTGGGCATGCTTATTGATATCGTTCTTGCAGTTTACTTGACCGTGGTCGGGGACTATTCCGAGCTGCGTATTCCTTCGCTTCCTGCTGTTGTCTTGATTGCTGACTCTTGTTTGTAATCTGAACTGCGAAGCGACCTTGACTCTTAAAAGCTCGGGCTTCTTGTCATCTGTATGGATGCGACAGAATTCAGTCATCGGACTGGAGCTTCTTCTCGTGGATCAAAAGATAGTCTGTCGTTCGGAACTGAAGCGAGGCTGTGTCAATATGTCCGATGGCTATCAACGTCATATGCGTTCGAACGATGTTTCCATTCAGCAATTTCGTTTCGCTTAGACTGACGCTGGTTGTTGATGTAGAAACTTGGACATAAGGACGTCTGTTTTAAGGGTCAGCTTTCCAAGTTGTCACGCATAGCCCACGAGCCGCTTTAGAAGCTTTTAACTGGTTGTTACCTTCATCAACTTTTCCAAACCTTTGTGTCTTTGAATCGTCCAGGTCCTTGGTTCGAACTTTGTGCATGGTGGAGAAAGAAGTCAAAACGCGGGTGCCCCAAAGTATGTGGACCCATACGAGTTGCTAGCACAAGAGGAGATTATGAGGGCTTATCGGGAGGGCTATATTGATAGGTAAGTGCAAAACCTGCTTGTGAAGTGGGCTAGATACATTGGATTATATCTGTACAAATGAGACCCTTGTCATCGTCTTTTCGAAGTAATTGAGACAATCATTTTCACCTTGTGATTGCGGGCCTTCCCAAGGCCGATGTATTTGTATAAAATATTACTAAAATTGCCGGGAAGTGGATTGAAGCCTGGACGCATTCGTTCGAAGTTTGCATGCGGGGTCAAACGAATCCTGTGATGCCACGCCCTAGGAAACCGAATATGCCCGTTCAAGTGAAGCAAAGAAGTTGACCTTTAGGCCGTTCAGCGTGTATGAGAGCACGCCACAATGAGACCGTGGCGGTTTGGTAGTGAGACGAGCAAGTCGCTTTTGATGTGCTAGGCACCTGTACGTGAAGTCATCTACCTCACTCATCATGTCAAGATGCTCCAAGTAGTACGTACAACCTAAGCAATTTGCATTGCATGACAGCCGAGTCGCTTATGCTCGAACGAATTACGGCGCATGTTGCATTGCGGTGACATACGGACTGATAGGTGTAGTTTCGAAGATTTCCTCTTTTATCATGCACAGTCTGAATTCCAAAAGGATCGTCATATTTGTCTACCTTAAAATATGGCCGTTTCCGCTGATGTCCAGCGAAGCAACATGGAACTTGAGCTGTGGATATGCTCTGCACCCTTGAGCTGTGCAGCGGGCTACAGTACGGAAATCCATTGCTTATCGATTCGCACACTGAGTCGATTAGGTAGCTTCTTTTGTTTCTTCTCTAGCCTTTAAATAATATAGGAGATTACTAAGGACTAGCTCCATTGAACTCTTCCGCCTTCTTCCGTGTTCTTTCTTATCAGTCTTCTTCTCATTTTGAGTGAAGACGTCCCCACTCAGTGTAGCATGCGGAACGTTTAAATAGCGACCGGTTGAGACCACCGTTGTGACGGCCTGTTTTCACATTCAGACCGGAAAATTGCCCGGGGAAGAAGAAGCGGGATGCAGCGCCCGGTGGTTTTGACACCACCAATGCGCACCTGTGTACCTGGCAGTGGTATTCAACTTTAGGCTTGGACTTTGCAGCTTGCATGGATGGCTCGGCTCGAGCCTGAGGTTTGGCGCTGCGGCTTGGAGTTGCCAGTCACGTGAGAAGGAACTTTCAACATCAACTTCAAGTTCACAAGAAACTTGGAAGATTATATTGGCGCCGTGATTGCCGGCTCAGTCGAAGCTTAGGTTGCCTTGAGCTCTGCTATGCTAATAGTCTGTTTTGCTTCCTTGAATGTTCTGCTCAACCGTGCCCCTCTGAAGGTCGTCCTTATCTTAGCTGCATAGCACAACTCCTCATGCGGACAGATTACCAAGAAGGCGACCAGCTAGAGCACTTAAGAAAAGAGGTTCTTAAACCAAAAGAACAAAGGTACACAGACGTTGTATGATCAGTTAGCTTGAAGTGACAACACATCGTCATCTCTGGGGGCTGTGGAATTTGTTCACGACCACTATGGTAGACAAGGAGGGAGGAAGCGTCTGCCCGCACTGGTATGCGTCAGAGAGATTCTGTCCTGGCCAGATTCTCTATTCTCGGTCCAGAAAAGTTGTTTGAAAAAGTGTGCAGAGCATCTGTGGCACTTAGCAGACTTAGTCAAAAGGAGTTGCGTAATGTTCAAGTTGCTGTTTGGATGCTCTCCCTTGTTGATCTCTTGATTCCTCTTATCTGCTTGAAGAGTGTTTCTTGCCGAATTATCATGACTCATTCGCAAGTTGCAAGTGTTCAGGTAGAAGAGCCAAAGGCTGAACTCCTAAGCAGAAAGAAACCCTCAACTTGCACTCTCTCAAGGCTGCCACTGACCTTTTGCAGTTGTTCAGAATTTGTTAGAGCGATTTTGTGCGCTGGCTCTTCATTAAGTCACTTTAGTCTACCGTACGGTACCTCGCGTCTTCTGGTCTGCATCAATCATAGCGGGGGCATCACAATCTCTGGTAGCTTCTGATCAGCTGCAAAACTGGTGTGGTTGAAGCTTCGCGGTAGCTTGTGTCTTTCTCAAAGCTCCAAAGTATCTCAGTGACTACATTGCCTTTACTTAGCTGTTACTGTCTGGACGTTCACCAGTTGTTGAAGTTCGTGATGATGTTTTTGGAAGTTGTCAGAAGCCTGGTCGTATCTCACACTTGGTTTGTCACTCACTGCAGTAAAAAGGTGATATCGACCGCCAACTTCGATCTTCATGCTGTCCACTGCAAACGGAATCTGGAAAAGTGTCAGCGATGCGGGGAGATGGTGGCAAGGGTCAGAGCTGCGGAGCACTTCGATGAATTCCATGCTCTGGTGAGTCCCTTTTTGCCAACTCATCGTTGAGATAGATTTATCAAAGAGCACAACGAAACATATCATTCTGAATGGGAGTTGACAGTCCAGTAATCATCGAAAGTGAGCAGGCAGCCTGTCAAAGCAACATCGATTGCAGTTGCAAACAAGTCTATGAGAAGGTGGCGAAAGTACTGGAGATCAGTAGGCTGTCGCAAATCATGAGGTGCTCCCAATCGTCGTTTGTGTCTGCTCAGGCAACTCACGACCGATCTCGCTGTTGAAAGCATCTTTGCCGCCAGGTCTTCAAACAGTCTCGCAGATGGAACAAGGTCGACATCCAGTCAATAGGATGTGCCTGCAGGAATCTGTTTCTTGCAAAGTCTAGATGGAAAACAGGCTCGCAACTACACATCGCAATTCTCACTTACATTGCAGGTCCCCTGTACTTTATGTCAAGCAAAGATCGAGGTTTCAGATCTTGCAAGACACAACCTCAACCAATGTCCTAAGCGCGAGACCATTTGTCCTTATTGCGAGTTCAGCATGCCGGCTGAAGATTCTGTAGAACACGAGTACTTTTGCGGTAGCAGGACGGACCTCTGTGTGTACTGCAATAAGTACATAACGAATCGGGAGAGACTAGGACACGATGTCATGGTTCATGGCTTCGAATATGATAAGGAAGTCAAAACGAGTGGGGACGGAAGCAGTAGTGCAGAACCTGTGGAAGTAAGTAGTCAAAGTAGGGGCCCGGGGCAAAGAAGCGGCAACCATTTGCGAAAGCTCTGGGTGACGGCAGCATTGGGGGCTGCTGTTTTCCTGGTGAGCGCTTACTTTGGTCGAAGACCAACAGCACGTGGAGCCTCGTAGTTTTATAAGCCCTATGTTCCGATTTTTTGATCAATATTCTGCATAAGAGTGTTCACTACGATTGCCCCGCAATGTGCGGTTTCTTTCATTCAGGCATGCAATTCTGGCTTGAACTTGAATTTTACCTCTTGTAAATGGTCGATAATCGACGAACAACTGTGGCGCATTATATCAATGAAGCTGATTACTATATCCCATTACAACAGTTCAGTACACTTAAAAGCCGTCCACTCATTCAGCTAGGGCCGGCATGTACCCATATACTGGAACATATAATCGTTTTTTTCTAGGCATGCGTGGTTCGCATTGGGTTAACACTATGAATTGTTCGTGTTCTGTACGATGCTTTATCCCGCATACATCCACGCGCCCTGTCCGTCTGCTTAATGCATGCGAGCCTGAGCTTCCAACTTACTACTCTGTACATTTTTTCTTGTAGTCGACGTCCGGACGCGGTGAGTCTGGCCTTTTCTAATCCAGAATGTACATATGTACTTCGATCGAACTTGTATATTGCAGTTCCGGCCGGCATGATTTCTCTTTTCAAATTCGCCGTAGCCACATGGGCCATGTAGGCTTCCATGGCATACATGGGAACTTATTGATGTGAATGTGCATGATTCCATATATCGAATTTGCAGTTTGCAATCAGCTGGCATGTGCAGTGCAATCACTGTCAATAGACGATTGAGGCAAATTTAAATTCTCAACTTAAGTGGGTAGTGCTCGCCATACTGGGACAGTATATGCAAGCAACATTCATCATTGGGGACGTGCCGGCCATCATATCATGATCGATGCACACTCGATCACACTAGCCTAGGCTACCAACAGCCAGCTTTGAACATGCACGACGATCCCTGACATATCACCATGTCGAACGGCGGATTATACACAAATGATATCATTGTAATTTGTCTACTTGGAATTCAATGCCAGTTTTTCTTCACCTGGATGACAAAACAGTCAACTCAAACCGCTTGCAAGCATGTACCATGCAACACTTGATTAATAACCTTTCAGCTCCTTACGAACAGTTACCTTAATTAAGTCCACTATGTACAATGTTATAACCTTACTACATATGTACGTTACAGCTGCGTATGGACAAATTTCCTACATACAGTCATGCCTCAAACTATATCTCCTTGAGATACACATTCTGCCGTCATTGTTCTGTTCCGAAAATTACATTTCAAGGATCTCAGGCCTTGCGACCTGATCCCTGACACCATGCTATAAGGAGGGGCAACTAAAAGCTTTGACTATGATTTTACCTTGCCCTCTCAAGAGCCTCAATCAAACGCTTTGCAACGGCTCTTTAATGTTTGTCTAGTCGAACTTGAGAGCGAACCATTCCAACGGCCTTCCTTTGTTGAATGCGTCCAGCCGCCCTGGTACCTTGGTCAACTTGAGAACCAGCTTGTCAGAACGTCGATAAAAACTGCAATCTTGGGGGACGATCTCCCCATATAACCTGCCAAAGGGAGCAGAGGTAGCATTGAAGGACAGCCTTCGTAAAAGCATCGACTTCGACTTCTCTCCTTTAGTTGGAAGCTAGCATTTACGAGAGTATCTCAAGGGGAGGAAGCTCAAATTTTCTCAATGTAAGGAGACGAATAACGAAGCTAGTGCATGTCCACTTCCGTAAAAGTGATGCTTCCCGATCAGAAGTCCAAACCTCCAGGCACCAGAATATCGCACACTGAAAACTTTGCTCCCTGCCTTGGGAACAATCACTTGAACCAACGTGCAGGCTCCAGCAGTTGAGAAAATGTTTCCAACTGTTGCACAGTTGCTGCACTTACTGCTTAAAGGCCAGCCTATGCTGGACGCCCCTAGGTGTATCTCGGACTGTCAGCTCCAGTGACTCAGTCCCATAGTTCACCAAGATAGAACTCTCAGGTAGATTGTGGACGCCCACGAGAGGTATAAATACCCTGCAGGGCAACAAGCAAGGGACCATTCAAGCTCAGAAGTAGCGTATTGTGAGGTTGAAAAGCTAGGTTCCCTACTTTTCTTTAAGCTCGGGAGAAAGCCTTTCGGGAGGTCTTAGCTTTTCTATGCGGATTCAGCCAAATGATTGCCACCTGCTCCTGCGGCACGAGGTATGCCGCGTTCGGGAGTATTCTATGCAGAGAACGCTGGAAAAGCACTGTCTTCTAAACACTCACTTGTATATCAGTGCCACAGTTCTGATATGTGAAACAGAATCCAACACATGCAACAAATTCACCAGAAAGCAATCAGCATAAATACAAAGCAATTGCACATGATTATGTTCGGCATTATATTCTTCCACCTGCACACAGCAAAGACAGTCTTTTGGTCTTCGTGCCACATCCAAAATACGAAATTGGCACGTTTATTTCAGAGAGCACTTTTCTCCTTGCGTCCTCACCTGACTTGCAGCTCCCCATTCAGCCAGCTGTATTGCTCAATGGGGACAAGCGGCAGGTCGCATGCCTCGCGCTTGATGTTGAGCAAATCCCCCTGCATCTGACCTCCAGCAGGGAGGTCCATTCTGGCCCCTGCGAATTGCAGAATTGCATTGGACTCTTGCCCCCCAGCAAGGTCCTGGGCCCCCCAGAAACCAGAATCTGAGTCTAAGGCACCCTGCCCAACCACCTCCATCCCCTGGTCCATCCAGTCTGGCATCTGACTTGCAACCTTTCGCCGCCGGCTCGGTCGGTCCGACGAAGTAGAGGAGTTATCGCTGCTGCTCGTTGACGCTGTTCCTAGGGAGAGGCTCTGAAAGGTGCTGCTGCTGGGGTGGGCTCCAAATGCAGCTTGTAACCCAGATGCATGCAGGCTGCTAAAGTCAAAACTAGACGCGGCGGGGCTGCTGCAAGAACTAGGCGCGGATGATCGTGATGCCCCAGGCACGGGGATGAAAAAGCTGCCAGGGGAATCGACTAGGCTTGTGTAGCCCCGGAAGCCTGAGGAGGCGGGGGAATGGAAGCCTGCGCACTCCCTGCATTTTGAGAAAGCAACGGTTGAAAGTCTGGAGAAACATGACAGTTTCAGACCCTTTGCAAGCAGAGTCAATTGCTCACAGGCTGGTGGGCGTCAATGGCTACAAATTGTGTCTGCCCTAAAAATGAAGTAACAATTGTCAATGCTTCTGTCCACCTCTGAGAGCGTCAAAGTAAATGACAAAAGTAAAAAGTTCTTGAAGGTGTATCAAGGCATTTTGTGGAGTGAAGAGCATATGTTACTACTCCCACAGTGGATACTTACCATGCAGGGTCAATTGAACCGTTTGGCTCCCTGACATCTGGAATCAATATCCTTGATGGCTCCATAACACACGGAACATCTGGCTGGGAAGTGCGATGAGCTGATGACAGGGGTGTAGTCATGCTCTCAAGCCTGTGATTCGTGAAGATATCGGTATGGAAGGCCTCCCTGCAGAAAAAAACGGTATCTGCGTAAGTATTTCATATGATGATACTGTAGTGACAAAAACAGTTTTCAACGGCTTGCAGGCAAGAACGTGAAACACCGTCTCAGCAGATCATAATATCAGCGATCAATGAGAGGTTGAGCACTAACATCAGCCCCTCGTAGCAGGAAAATAGGGCAACTTCTTTTGAAACCTTCCATGCAGATTACGCAACACGTGTCAATGTGCCCTCTCAAGTCACATGTGGACACCTTGAATGCTGCACTTGCGCACTACCATGTAAGAATATCACCATGCTGCACGAAAGTTAACGCTGACCCTAAATCATCTTTCGATACCACACAGTCATCACCCAAACTCCGTCGGCCCAGACAACATTGTGTCCCTCAACCATATGCTTTTGCACATAGATAGAAAAACAGGAATCGTGAAGGGACTCGCCCATTCCCAATTGCTTACCAATCTCTCTTCATGACCACCGATGGCGTCGCTTTACTATAGTTGCTCGCTGACAAAAGGTGACGCAACTAGCTAATTTCAGAAGCAGATTCAAGCTAGCTACGGCCCCATGGGCTTAATACAAAATGAAAGAAAAGTACACTTGCTCAAGCCACTCTCTGGACTAGACTAACGCTGGCAGAATCCAGCTTGAATAAAGACCTTTTCCAGGGACAAGTCCACTATGAAGCGGAGATCCGACAATCCTGGACAATCCCAGCTTCTTCACGAAAGCTCTGCAGCTCAATCATACGTGCAAGACAGGAGCTGCGCACCTTTGACATACCTCCCTTCTCGTCTACTTCAGCGTCGCTTAGCTAGCTTCGCCACTTTGGTGGCGAGGATGGTGGGCTGCACCAGGATAAACCCGTAGGTGGTCGACAGACTCGCCGAGGCCACAGCGTTTCCTGTGGCAAGCTGCATGGCGCCCTTGGGCCTTGGTCAGATACAGGAAGGGCAAAAAAGTGACCCTGGGACCGGGCCCTCGCCCGCTAGCCAGAACAGCTGGCATGAACTTTTTGGATCGGTGCCAGCAGCCAGAGGCTTGCCGCCACTGTGCACTGTGCTGCGTGCAGTGACGCTAGCAACTACCTACTACCTGTACCTACCGTAGGAGTGCATCATGACTAGGTAGATTGTGCGCACTTCCAAGTTTCAACATGAGGTGCAGGTACCGGTACAGTAGTACAGTACCTATACGGTGACAATACCGAGCATAGGTACCGTACCTAGCATGCATGCACATAAATAACACGGCATGTCTGAACACGCCTTGCCGATAATCTCGCAACTGCTTGACACCATCGATTGGTCAAGTTAACCGGTATTGCCTTGCTCTTCTATACTCGAGAAGGCGATCGCTACCAAAATTGCCCGATCGGAGCGCTAGTCGGGCTCTGATAACCGCAAAGGTAATAATATCTTAAAGTTCCAATAATCTTAGAGCTTCCTTGAAATTTCAAAAGCGCCGCCCTCGTCTTCGACGCCTCCTGCTTGTCCGTTAACGCATACATCACCAACGTAAGCTTGTGTCAAGTTTCAAATTTTGATGCATCTCCGCTGCGTCACATGCACACATCTGCTGCGACCCGCTCGCGTCATCGAGTCGCCGCGTTGACCTGCAGATCCGTTACATCATTACTACTCGTACACTGTACACTGTACAGATAGAACTTTTAGAACTTGTCGTGCGGCGATCCGAGGCCGCGGCAAATCGTGCCAACGAGCAACGATACATCCCAGGATCTTGTGTACGGCTCTGAGAAAAGCGAATCGAAGATACGACTTCTGATTGGTCGAAGCACGTAAGGGTGCACTTTTTGCCATCACTTTTTGTACAATACGGTATATCCATATTCGGAGCACCGGTTGATGTTGGTGCATTCCGCCTCGTCGAAGCAGGGCGGCAAGAGCCCGGCCGGCCGAGATGGGACCCCGGCCGGTGCCGAAGGCACCCCGCCAGCTGCTCAGCCGGCAGGAAATGCAGGCACTTGCTGTGCTCGGCCGGCCGGTACAGCCAAATACCGGTTATCGGGACAAAAGTCGGCATGGGAAACCCTGCGTCAAAGTCCTCGACCAGCGAAAAGCCGGTAGAATACACGGTCGAAGTTACCTTGTACGACCGGTAACATCGCGAACACGAGTGCGCACGATCCTGAAAACTGTCGACATTGCACGCTGCGGACCAACTGAGGCAGTCCCGACTCCCCCGGTGGGCGGGCGGCCGCAGGCCGGGGTCGAATCCGGCCCTGTGATGCATCGTTAGTCCGACTTCGGAATTGAAGTCGGACTAACGATTCACCTGGTGCTAGGAAGTCCGACTAACAGTCAACGAGAAGCCAGAATCTGATGCGTGAAGTCGGACTAACGACCATGAGATTGCCGTTCGATATGACACAGTGGCCGAACATCTGGCGGTTGGAAATTAAGCAGCTGACCAAATCTTGCGTGGGGTTCCTGCCTTGCAGAAGGCCGGGGGACACAAGGAAGGGGGGAGCAGCGCAGGCGACCACAATTTGAATACTGTTTGGTTAACCGCCTAGTCTGGCCAAGGTTTACAGCAAACCTCGCAAGTTGAAGACTGACTGACGTAGGTATGGTGCACTGTGCAGTGTCAAAGAATCAAAACACAGGCACATCAGGTCCTGTGACAATGGCTTCCTTTTGAAAAGCTGAGAGCCTTTCTGACAGGTACCAACCGCACTATGGCGTCTGGCCCGGGTCACTGTGCTGCCACAGGCTCTACAGGAGTCCAAGCCAACCGCACTGTGCAAAGCATCCTGACCAGTGGACCTGGATCTAAGGCGTCTGGAGATACAGCTGCCAATATAATCCAAGGAGCGAGGATGAAATCTGTGCAATGAACGTTGTAGAGTGGGCCCATGATCAGGTTGCACCACCTGCTAACTGGAAGGACAAAAAGAATAAGCCGCCTTGGGTGATTCCTGACATAGACCCAAAAGTGGGCCCGTCAAAGGATCAAGCCCCCGATCCTAGGTATTGGCCAAGCATGAAGAAAGAGTATCCTAATCCGGTGCAGGCAAGCAGAGGGCAGAAGGCCTTGCAACCAAACCACTTCCACCTGGCCGGCAAGGTGGTTTACTTTGTGTTCTGGCAGTTTTTCTTTGGAGAGCTCGTGCCAGTCATTTATTGCCCGAAGTGCGGAAAGGTGGACAAGGTGACATCCGATGGCTGGACTGGGGTTTCAGAGAAGATTCGCCGCGTGTGCAGTGCGAACGCGCTTGCATTTCTCTTCAGCAAGGTTTTTCGCTGTGGGAAGGGCAGAAAGAAGGGCGAGGGCTGTCCAGGTACGTCAAGTTTAGCGCTGAAAGATCCAACTCTTCTGGTCTTCAGGCTTGATGACAATGTGCTGATAACTTGTTGTAAGATGTACAACCGTTGTTATCTTTCTTGCTGTTCCTTCTGACACGTTCAAGACATGATCTGCAAGCTTTTAACTTGTTTTGACCAGGTCCAGATGATGCACTTGTGAGTCTCTTCAAGAGTTGTCAGCTGTACTAGAGGTGTCATGGACAGGCTTGCTAGTGGATTGTGTTTCGTTACTGTTCTGCACATCTGGCAGTAAGTAGGTTGACTCTGACGGGTCAAGCTTTTTAGTTATGTTCAGCTCAAGGCGCTGAAAGGATTGTTTCCTTGCGCAGCGAACGACGGGAAGCCCTACCAGTTTCGCTCCCACGATGAGGGTGTGCTGGAGCAGCTGCGGCGACAATGCCCTGCGGTCCTGGATCAGCTTCCGATCGTGTTTACCCGTGGTGGGGCTATCGAGCGCAGCCTGCTAGACACCATGGTCCGGAATGTAGCAAGCAGTACTTCTATTGCCGACCAACAGAAGATGGTACGTGAAGCCCATATGCGCACTTTCACGCAGCAGAAGGTTACCTACATTCAGTATGCGGCAGCGCGTGCCAAACTTCGACAGCAGGAGAGCGGTGCACACCTATATCCTGGGCGTGCTCAGCAGCCGCCCCCCCCCCCCTCTGATTTCGGAGAGTACGCGGACAAGGAAGGCTACCGAGGTTGGATCCCTTCAACGTCCTGGATAGCAGGTAAGTAGACATGTATGTTTAAGGGTGTCAGATCATTCTCTTGCTGGATCATTTTCTTGCTTGCACGTACTGAAATTTGCTCTACAGCTTTGCAGATCTGGTGCACAAAGCAATCCTTTTGTTCCAGCGCTTTCATTTACCTGCTGAGTTGTGCGCAGATTACAAGGGCTTCAGAGTCGCATGCTGTTGCCGCCGAACAGATTCTGCTTCATTCTGCTTGGTTGGTCTTTTTGTTAGATGCATTGGCAATTGTTTGGGAGGACTTGCTCAGGGTCTGCTCTTGATGCATTGTCTTCGTTGTACAGGTGTTATTCTAGCGTCTCTGAATTCGCGGCTTGCGTTTCTTGAACGCCATCTGGCTGCGGTGGATGGGGTTTTCTGGCGAGGGGATCACACCTTTCAAGCAGCCTCCCGGATCCGCTCTGCTGACGGGCGGAAGGACTACACAGCTATCTACTCGATAATGAATGAGTGGTCGCAGATTGTGGGTCAGTGGGCTGTGGGCGACACCTCCTTTGACGAGTACGCCACTGGCGTTCAAGATGTGCTCAAGCGCTATGATGCCCTTGGGTACCAGGTGCGTTTGGTCTGTACTTCAAGAGACATGTGTTTCTGGATAGGGTCCTTAGGTTTGCTCTCTTGCCTGTAAGATCTTTGATGCTGATCTGGAGTGCGCTCGTTGTAACTTCTCAGTTAGTCATCAGAGTCTATGTAAGTTGTTGTAGCCAGCAGGTAATGCATTGCGAATTGGCTGGGTCTTTGCTGTCAATTGTCCGGCCAAGTTTTAAGCTAAGCGTAGATGTGCGTCTTTTTGTTGCAGCTGCCCAAGTACATGTGGGTTGATAACTCCCAAACTGTAGCTGCCCAGCTGTACGACGCCATCCCCAGTTTGAGCAGAGTTTTGGAGGACGCCACACATGTCATGCGGCGGGTGTTCGAGATCATTCCCGATGGCCACTCCCTCAAAGGTGGGGACCTCTGTTCACCTTGATCTCTTTTGATGACGCATTGATCCTGCATTATTGATTGGTTGACGCTCCAACATGGGGTTTCTCAGGTACTTTTCATAATCCTGATCTCCATTTTGTGCACCATCCGACACAAGTGCCTTTGCAGATTGCACATAAATCCTCTTTAAAGGTCAACGTGTCAGTGAAATGCACATGTGACAAGTTCTATTGAAAGAGCTTGAGAACAGTCAAGTAAAGGTTCTTGTTCTGATGCAGCCGACTTCTGCCGGGACTACTCGAGCGCAATCTTCCAGATCCACCAACAAGACAAGTGGGCTCTGCGAGAGTTCCTCCTGGCTGGAGGTCCAGGAAGGCGGAAGTGGACACAGGCAGAGGGTGGCCGCTAAGCCTGGGAGCTACTGGCGAGCGCGCTGCCGCCATACCATTCCCCCCCCTGAAGAGCTGGTCAGCGGCGTCGAAGCGGTCATGAAGAAGTATGAGAGGGGAACCTGCATCATCCACGGTGACCCTCTCATCACTGAGGACGTGCAGCACGTGCACGAGCTGCAGCTCCAGCTCATGCAAGAGGGCTTGCTAACAGGTGAGCCGTGGAAGACTCCATGGTCAGGGTTTTGAGCACTGAAATCTGTCGTCTGGCACCGTCTTGTTCCGGCTGTAGCAGCAAATTTACCACGTTCTGTGGTACGTCATAATGTTGTTCAGTGACACTGCCATGTTGGTGCGGTGCCCCTAGCGGCTAGTAAGTAATGGCGCCGGTGTTTGATTGAGAAGGACGACTGCAGCACTTGCATGCAAGCAAAGGTTTGCTATCATTGATACGTCGTGCTTCTTGAAGGACATGAAGCGCAAATGCTTGACCAATTCATCGTCATGTGCAGATCCGTTGAATGTGGACGAGATGTACATCCTCGTGAGCGCGCCCGGCTGCATGCCCTGTTATGTCGGTGTGCGAGGCTGCTCCTCGCTCGAGGGCTACCACCGCCACCTCAACGCGCTGCTAGGCGGAGGCAACTACTCCCCGGAGCTTGCAGGGGCTCTAATCGCCCTCTTCAACTACCGGTGGAACTATGAGTGTGCCGTTCGCAGCAAGGGGGCAAAAGACTGGGGAATGTTCGATCACTGGCTGCTAGAAGCGATGCAGGACACATGCGCAGCGATGAGGTGGCCAAATCCGTGTCCAGAGTGGCGGCGCGCTCCGCCGACCGAAGAGCGATTTGGCGTCCATGCAGGCACTGTGCCAATCCGGGCAGGGGTCTCCCAGGAAGTTGCCGGGGAAGAGCCGGAATTTCTGGATGAGGAGGCCACTTTCGTCGAGACCATGCTGGAGGAGCAACATCTAAAGAGCGCGCAGGCTGCGGGTGAGGCATCAATTCCTTGGGCGGCCGAACTCCGAACCGTCAACAAAAGCTTATGTTCAGGTCATTGAAAGACGAGGTTCGCCGTTATAGGACTTTCTCCTCTATTTTTCAAGTTGCGTCTTATGTTTGTGCTTTCTTTCCTTATCCGTTTTTTCGTTTATTCTTCCAGGCAGCAATCGCAAGCTTCGTTAGGACGTGTTCAGCTTACCATGTTGCAATCAGAACATCCCTTTGGCTTGCTGTTGTTCTTAACACCGCTTCGCTTAGGAGAGTTTCATTGCGTGGACGCTTTCAACAGCTTTCTGATGCTTTCGGGTCTTTGTGCTTTGCATATCTTTACCTCAGCGGCTTGAATATGAGACCCCTCATGACCAGCACGGGGCTGCTTTTGCAGGCGCACTTCATCCTCAGCAACCAGTGGCGGTAGCGCTTCTGGATGGATCCACCCCTCTGGCCACCCCCGCGGTTGCCTCCCTGCCCCAGCATGACGGACAGGCTCGAAACCCGCCCGTGTCCTCACCCGGGGCCCCCAACCAGGAGCCCCAAGACGTGCGCGCCGCCGCGCAACAGGGGGAAGAGCCCGCACTCTCCCCCCCTCCCTCCCAGGACGGACTGCCCCGAGACGTGCGCACGGCGGCGCAACCAGGGGGGCAGGCCGCACTCTCCCCCCCCCCTCCCAGGACGGACTGCCCCAAGTCGCGCGCGCCGCG